CAACTCAGTGTTATTGATGGGTCATATCAAGAGGCCTCGGCCACATAAATAAGGATCCAAAATCTTGCAAAATGAGGACTTCAAATGATTACACATTTTGATAATAAATTTCTTTAAAATGTACTTGTTCGCTTAGCAACATCCAAATATTCTAGTTTATTGTTTTATTTTCTGGGATTTTCGTTTACGGTTTTTCGTCGAAAATTGGCGTAAGAAAGCTAATCACGGACTTTCTTATCGTGGGACTCGAGCAACAAGTTCATCGGGGGCTATCGCCAGAATTTGTACTTATTTGAAATTGTTTGTATTTTAATATATGCTCATATGTACATACATATATTTTGTAATGCCGCTGCAGGGGGTATCATAAAATTGGTCGGAATTTCGTAACGCAGTAAAATGGACATCTCCGACCCTATTAAGTATAAATATTCCTGATCTGCACGACAAGACGAGTTGATAAAGCCATATCCGTCTATCCGTCTGTTTTTATACCGATTGCGAGTCCAGTTTAAGAGCTAGAGTTTTGAAACTTTCGCAATCGTGTTTTTTCATGTGTACGCAGATCATGTTTATCATAAGAAGAAAGGAAGCAAACTTCGGCAAGTTGAAGTTCATATACCCTTGCAGCTAGTGCAAACATTAAATATTCTTGAAAACATTAAAATTATCATTTACTTGCGTATTTTGCGAATTAAAAACATTGAAACTATGATGATTTGCAGCTCAATTATACGATAGTTTCTATGGCAGCTATACGATATCGTTTTCCGATTTTAATATTATTAAAAGCCTAGTTCAGAACTGTCAAGTTATTAATAAGTCAAAAAGAATTTAAATTAGAAAAATTATATTTATAAAGGAAAACATTATTTTAATATTTTTATTATTCCTATGGAAGCTTTATGTTATAGTCGTCCGATTTTAATGAAATTTAAGCCGTAATTCTGAAATATTTAATCATTACTAAATGTCGTAGAACTAAAATTCAGAAACAGCAAAGTTATAATTTTTTTAATTTTTGTTTCCGATTGTTCCTATGGGAGCTTTATGCTATAGTCGTCCGATCCGTTCCGACTTATGTACTGCCTGCAATAGAAAGACAACTTTTGGGAAAGTTTCATGCAGATAGCTTTAAAACTGAGAGACTAGTTTGCGTAAAAAACGGACGGACAGACGAACGGACATGGCTAGATCGACTCTCCTAGTGATGCTGATCAAGAATATATATATACTTTATAGGGTCGGAAACGTCTCCTTCACTGCGTTGCAAACTTCTGACTGAAATTATAATACAAATACGTATCTTCAAGATTTACAACTTACTCCGCTGCTCTGGCAGGCCACATGTCGGCCATTCGGACAGAGCGCCGGGTCACAATAATTCTGACAAAATGAAGGATACAGGACGGCGCTTATTAGGGATATTGATAAGTGGATGGACCAAGGCGACGATTGGGATCGTGTCATTTCGGACTCATATACGAAAAACTACTGAGGTGTTTACAAAAATAAATTTGCATGAATAGTAAACGAGACGACTCATATATTTAGGTCACTGCCTGGTTATTTTTGGAAGAAGTAAACAAGTACTTACTTTTAAAACATGCACAACGACTTCATCAAAAGTGAGTATAATGACTCAATAAATGTGTGTTTAACTACAGTGAGCCCCACATTAACAAGAAGATAGTAACAAAATGAAGGACACAGGACTGCGCGCTCTGTGTAATAATTTTAGAAATGTAGGATAGTATCCGCACGCATTTAAAATATTTTTTAAAACATAATAAAAGGAATCAATTTAATTAAGTCAATGGAATCTGTCATTTTCTGTGTCACAATAAAATAACTAAGGACAATTAAAAAGTTCATGTAAAAATGTAATTTAATATTTCTATTTTAAAATCTTAAAATAATTATTATTTACCACTTATATAAAATGCTTCAAAAATATCTTTTATTTTTGATTTGTTCTATTCTAGTCTTTATTTATTTAAGTCAAAATATAAAAATCACTCAAAGGTTTTTATTCCGACTTTTTGCATCCAAATTAAATCAGCTTGTAAAATTTTTCTTTTGGTTACCGTGGTGGTAAAATTATTCCTTAGTAGATGTGCGGAAAGGCGACAATGGTACAAAGGTATTCTATTGCTAGACCCAAAAACAATTGTTCATAGAAGCTAAACTATTGTTATATAAATTTAAAGCTATTGGGTATGAAAAATGTCTCAATAAGAATCAAAAAATCAATAAAAATAAAAATTATGTGGCTTAAAAATAAGACCTTAGAATACAGTTCAAGACTCTTCGGTATAGAAATGAAACAAAAAAGTATAAGGTAGGTATTATTTTGTATTGAATTAATACTTAGACTTTAATACTGTCAGAAGTTTATTTTTAAGAAACACTTATTAACATTATACTTTCAGTTTTTTTTTTTTTTGGGGGTGTACGTAATAAAACCAAGTCTACGCCACCTGAATAGAAATAAATTTTCGATCAGAAGCAACAGTACGTATGAGTGATAAACTTTTAAAAAATAAGAACATTATTTTTAATTTCTATAAATAAAATTTCAAAAGAAGGTAATAATTCAATTCTTATATTAAAATTTAAATTTAATGATTTAATTCTTTTGTATCATTTCAATAATTTTACAAATTATAAACGATTTAAAAATTAAAAATAACAGTTTATCATGTTTTCGAATTTGGTGGAAAAAAAAACATAAGTAAAATATACCAAAGTTCATTTGATAACTAATAAAAGTTGTCGATTAAACGATATCATTATTGAATTATTATTATTATTAATTATTATTTAAAACTCAAACACGTTTATCACGAAATGGCATTTTTGAATCCGTTACGATCTCGTTAAACTACAACTGTGGATCACCGAAACTAAGATGGCAGGAGTGAAATTAAATTATTTTGCGCCAAGATTTAAGGGTTGCACGTCAGCAAAATACCATCTAAGTCAAACTGGAATATTTTTGGCAAAACCTTACTAACCATCCAGCAAATGGATGGTGGATTGTGATCTGTAGAAACAGCGCTTTAAGATGACTGATTATTGATATTCTTGTTTTGCTGAACGCAGCCATTTATTCTATGCGAACGCGACAAAAGCACACCTATTGAAAGTAGTCGATAGTTGCAGTAAAGTATCGATGTTGGCAAGTGTCTGGCTACATCGTATTAACATCTTGTGTTATACGGTTTTCACACAGCCGCTTCAAAAAGTTGTTGCAGAAAAGTTGTTGCGACCTATTCGACAGGTACCCGCAGTTGCAAAAGAAGCTGAACGGCCCACGTAAAGTAAACAAACCATCAATAAAAAAGAAAAGAACGTGAAATATCATTTTCCCGATAAAAAAATCTCGTCCTCCAAAAAAATTTTATGAGTGTTAAATAAAGATTTAGCATTAATAGTAATCAAGTTGGTTCTGCTGAAAGCTTATGATACATTACGCATTAATTAATTTATTTTTGTTTGTTTTTTTATTTTTGTTTTGTTTACATTCCGATTTTTCTGTTTGTTCTTATCGATATTTATACCATCTATATACGCTAGCAGATATGTATCATGTATTAAGAAATGGTAGCGTAATATTTTTACGCTCCTTTTCTGTTGATCATGATTGAAGAATTTTTGCATCATTATCAGTGATCATACGCGTTCAGCAGAACTATCGTAAGAAATCCACTGATTTATGTTGGTATTTTAAAACATGTACAGCCCATTTATCGCAACAGCGAGCTGTAACGACGCTTTTTTAGTCTTCTACCACATGTACTTCTTATGAAAGAAAAAACCTTCCCAATGCGTTATCTGAATGTAATGTACACTTGTATGCTGATGATGTCCAAATGTATGTGAGTCGTAATTTAAACAGAATAAATGAATGTATAGATGTTTGTAACAGAGAACTTGAACGTGTAAATGAGTGGGCCGGCAACAATGGACTTGGGATCAACCCATCAAAATCAAAATGTCTTGTCATAAGTAAAAGAAAGATGATTTTTAACAATTTGCAGCCACTGAGTATGAATAGCACGCCACTTGAGTACGTTGATACAGCTGTAAACTTAGGTTTTACATTCAACAGAACTCTTACCTGGAATGATCATGTTAAAAAGTCTGTAGGGAAAACATATGGCATAATAAGGACATTATCCGTAACTAAAAATTGCCTGCCCACCCATATACGTTTACTAATAGCTAAAACCTGCATTGTTCCAGCGCTATTTTATGGAGTAGAAGTTTTTTCAAACTGTGACACTACCAGCAAGAACAGAATTAAAGTTCTATTTAATTGCATAGCCAGGTAACCAACCACATACAGATCACGTATACGAATTTTCGCTGAAAATATTCGATATCTCGCTAAATGAATGGATAAAGATGCGGAACTTAATTTTTCTGCAAAAAATTATTTTCCAAAAAGAACCTTTGTATCTTTTCGAAAAACTTCAATTTACATCCTCTAGAAGAGCAAACAATCTTACTTGCATAAGACCTAGATCATTGACATCCGAAAGACAATTTTTAATTAATGCTATTCGATCATGGAATAAGCTCCCAAACCATCTTAAAAATATTAGCAGTGCCACGCAATTCAAGATAAAATTATTCACACACCTTAAAAACACTATTACGTAAATTAAAGTAAAAATAGAAGGCGACTTAGGTTAGTTTTTATGAAAATTAATTTTAAGTATAATGTAACAATTAGATATTTGCAAACTCGTAGTGACTAGCGCATTAACTTATAAGTTCCAAACTTGTAGCGTTAGGATGAAGTTTTATAATAAATACAAATACAAAGAAAAAAGCGCTGTTGCAGAAAAGCAATGGAATCGGGCTATAAAAAATGATTCATTTTCGGTTGGGAACCCGGTTGGCCGAGCCAAGTTTCGAACCAATCGCATCAAGGAGAAAACACCGATATTATCGATGTCGGGCATCGATGTTTGGCCACCTCTACAAGTCACTGCCGTATTTTTTTTTTCACTCCCAACGAAATCACTGAAAATCGCGGTTAAACAATGGCGAAGAGTGTCGGTTGTGCGTGCGCGCGAATTGCGATCCTTTTGGCCTTGTGCCATGTGGCTATTCCTGGCATATCGGCCTGGTGTAAGTGAAACCTAGTGAAATCCTGTAGACTAAACAGTAGCTCCCATTGCGCCAGATTTTCCATCCCTTTTACCTTCTTTCTCTGTCTTTATCCATCCACCTCGCTGGTGTGCGTGTGTGAGTGTGTGTGTTGGCTGTAAATCTGGTTGTTATTTTCTTGTACGCAGTTTCGAAAATTCGAATAAGACGGCGGAGAAAGACCTAAAAACATATTTGTAGGAAAGGTGTATTTATGTATTTATGACCTGTTGTTTGTACACAAAGTGCACATAAGACAATTCATCGTTGTTCATGGGTGGAGAGAAGGTTTTGAAAGGGGACCAGTTGGTACTTTTTCGTATGGGGAAATTTACCGCTGCCATGTTGTATTTTTTTTTGTTTTTTTTTTTTTCGTGTGTTGGCACATCAAATGCGTTAATTGACAACGACGAAAAACCGAATGTTTGTGTGTGTGTGTGTGAGCAGCCAAGTGTGAAAATGGGCAACGTCCTGTGGAAATGCGCCCCCTAAAACTAAAAATTAAAACAAAAATAAACCAACTCCCACTGCCTGTAAATTATTTTTGAGTTTTGTTTTGTGCGACGCACTCATTTTGTGCGACGCACCCACTTAACGTGCAACAATTTTCCATCAGCGACGTCGCCACCAGGCGAACAACCTGCATATATCAATTGAAATCGCTGATTAAGGCGCAAAAAGCTCATTGTTTTTGTCGCAATTTGCAATTGAAACAAAACGTTCAAGAGGCGGAAAAAAAAATTAAAAGATGATAAAACCACACAGGCAGGCAACTCATTTAGTTTCTGCGACAGGTGGCAACATTGCGCACCGGCTAACGGCACTTTTCAGTTTTCCCAATAAGAAATTAAAGCTAATAGTGGGGAAAAGCGCTTACGTAACGGAAATACCGCCCATTCACCACCCACCGAGTACTGTGCTTACTTTTCACAGTTTCAATTATTTCTGTCTTGTTTTGTTGATTCAGTTTGTACGACATTTAGCTTTCTTTGTCTGCTTATCGGCTCATTTATTTACATATTTCCAGCCAACCAGTCGCTTTGGCATCAGTTAAAGTGCACTCTCTTATCTGCGTGGCCAATTTAAATACCGTACACACTGACGCACATCTGCTACAGGTATCGAAATATTTGCGAATTTCCACTGACTTTCAAACAACTAGGGTAATTAAAATGAGCAATATTGCATTGCCTTAACGGACCATAAACTCAGCATTTGAGCTGAACAAACCTCTCACAAAACAACAAAGTTCACATTATTTATTTGTTATTATTTTCAAAATTAATGATCAATATCAGTTTTCTTTTAGTGGTTTGTCTCTTTAAGCAAGGGAAACCACTTATACAAATTAGCCGTGCGTATATTAAGTGACATATTTCTTAACTAATAGATAAATTCCCGTCAAGAAGTTTTTTTTTTTTTTTTTTGTAAAATAAACAAAAAATTTTGTTAACATTAACATCAAAAAATGAATTGATTTTTGGTTTTAAAAAGGGTCCCGCTAAATTTAATATAATTTAATCTTCTAAAGGCTGTAGGAAGTATCGCGTATATATCTTAACTAATAGAGCCGGATGTTTTTTCCTAAGTCCTTTAAATGACAGGGATACCCCTCGAGTCGGAAACACTTATCTGCAGCGGAATTTCAACTGCAATTCGCAACCCATTCCCATTGGACTTGCATCTGGCGTCAGTCGGCTACTGGCACCACCATTTCTTATCAAGGGCATTCGCTTATTGCTCCAATCTGCTAAGCCATGGCTTCTGTCCGCTTACAGTAATCACTCGCCCGGTTTTGAATTACTGATCCTCGCAGCTTTTTCGATACTCCAAAACAAGCAAGAGTTCTGAATTTGCATTAACCTATAAATTGCCTATTCAAAAATATGTCTATGGATTACAAAGAAAGATAGCAAAGAACAAAGACTTTAAATACATATGTTACTTTCAAAATCTTATCTTATATTGACATTATGAACTGAGTTGATAAATTGTTATCAGTGCTGTAAACTTAGGCGTTTTTGCGTGTGTGAAAGTTTCTTGCAACTTGTTAGAAGCATTATGATGCTTTTATACCCTTGCTGAGGGTATTCTTTTTGGTCAGAACTTAGTAGCGCAGAAAAGAATACATTTCCCAGCATATTTAGTACATATATTCTTGATCAGCATATGTATATATTATTTAATTGGTTAGGTGGGCATCTGATAGATGGGGCACTCGGCTATATATAGCCATTTTTTTTATGTGTAACACGGATCATGGATCAGCTGCCATAGGGAACGATCGGGTAAAATTTGGTTGCTTTCGAAGAACTATGCGGTAAAATGGTTTTTTATAATTTCGGATCGATCCCATGAATACAAGGGTATTAAAACATATTAAATGAAATAAAACTAAAAATTAAAAGCTTAAAAAATGACAAAAAGACCACATTAAAAAATTTATAAGTTAAAGGAATTTTGTTTGCCTCTGGCACTATATTTGTAAGTGATAATACACTGAATCCAGATGTAATAGAATTATTTAATAATCAAACTAATTAAATCTTATCTTAGACAACGCGAAAAAAATCAAAATATTATTAGATTCTTAGAACACAAACTTTCCAAAACGACAAGATTGGAATTCAAGCCGTGTTTTCCCCATCTTGGTTATCTTTTAATTTCCGTTTATTACTCAAAACTGGGTGTCAAAAATGTCAGCTTCGGCACTCTGATGAGTTTAGCAGACCTAGCAATTTTTTTACGTCCATAGAAACTACGAAACCTCGGGTGACAAAGGCACAACAGGTTATCTTGTCGGTGCAATTGCTAAAGTGGTCTGCCTCAAAAACAGTTGACAACACAGCCTCTGAAACTGGTTTCTGTGGTAAGGGCTGTTCCTAGTGGCAATGTTCCTTTTACGTGTCACTTAAGTTCTTGATTAAAATTATACTTGCCAAAACAAAAGAAAAGGGAACCATTTTTGTATGTGATATAATATCCATATTCAAGATTTATTAGGGAGAAACCCGGATAATAACATGATTTATAATATTTCATATGAAGTTTATTTAGCGAATTCTTATTTATCAAAGTTTTATAAATCAGAGTACCCAAATTGGGACAGAACATCTTGCTGCTGAATTATAAAACCATACTTATAACGTTTCACGCATCAATAGACTTCTTGTTGCAACTAATGCGCAACGCAAAAGTTCAAGTTGAAGTACCTCTTCATGGGAGCCGGAGCCCTTGAGGCAAATAAACAACTGCAAGCCATTGTGGCTAAGCAAAATCTACGCATTTATACAAATGTATCGCTTGCCATTGTTCTTGTTATTCGTCATTAGCACAAGATCATCATCATTGAAATAAGTTTGATGCCCTACTGTTGGTTTCTTGGATTAAAAAGCTGCGGCTTGTCCCCGTTTTTTCCCCGCTGATAAGCTTTTCCGCCTAACGGCGACAGAAGAACTGTTAGTGCGTTATAATTCTGTCCACGGCTGCCTGGTGCAACGAGCGGATTTAAATTGACGACAAATGCACATAAAGAAATTTTTAACAGGAATATAAACAAAAACATTTGGAAAATATCAGTTTGATTTTATACTACAAAAACATTCATAATGTTATTGATCTGTAAAAAACAAAACCTCATTGGCCTACATATTGTACTGAGAATGTGTTTTATATGACATTTACACTTTGCTTTAGTATATCACAGTGTGAAGAGCATATAAGCAAAACAGAAAACTAGTGATAAATCGCACCCTTAACATCGAAATATATGTTAAAAAACATTTAATATATACCTTCTTACACTATACGTCTCTACAGTAAATAGCGACTAATTTTATCTATTGCATAAGATGTGTGAAATGTGTGTATATATATTAGGTATCAATCTCAAATCAAAAAAAATCAAATCGAAAATGAATTTAATATTGCTCTGATTTTTTTCCGTGTCGTAATGTTCGAGTTCGCGTTCTACCGCCCGTCAATCAACCTGACAAATTTAGGTAAAAGCGTGCATCACAAATTACTCGCCGAAGCGTCGGTGCAAGGCAGGCATTTTTATGGAAACTCTGATAAACAAGGTACCTCCCCAAGTGCACCTCTTATCAGCAATCAGTGGGAAATAATAGAGTCGAAACTCCAAACTAAAAAGCAGTAATTATTAGTAATAAATATCCCAATGCTTATATTTTTAAATCGCGTTTCTAGAAAGGATTGTGACAAATTTCATCCGGTTTTATACGTTACGAGAAACTGGTCAAATTAAATTAATATATAGAAATGATAAGATATAATTGAACTTTCCCATTTACCTATGTTTCCCATCATCCTAATAATTTATTTTAGGTTTCTGGAAACTGCTTTGTTCAACAACACTGCTGGGTTCTAGAACATTTTTAAAAGTATAGTGTTTTTGCATTTGTATAATGCATACCTTATAGAAATAAAAAAGAAGAACGTTGTTGCTGGCATTTCAAATTCCTGAACTCAATGTCAAGTAATTCCACAAATGCGAATTCATCCAATTTAGTAAATATGCAAGAAAGAAATGATGTATTCAAGAACCCCTTAAGTAATATTACAAATTTATTTGTTTTAAAATCAACTATTTAAGCTGTTATTATTTGCACTGTAATAATATTGGTACGGTCAATACATCACATATCCACAAAAGCCCATAAATACTTCATTGTTTTGTTGTCAGAATATTGTATACGTACACATGTAAATTTTTTCCTAGTTAACCGACATCATCGACAGTATTGTTTTTCGTTTTGCGATAAGGTATTCTGAACGTCAGCAAAAATTAAAAATTGAAGAGAATGCTATTATGAAAGGCAAAGAAATGTGTGCAAACGAAATTATCGTATACAGAAAAGTACCCTAAGGAATGTGTCATTTAAAAATTGAAGACTGAGCTTTAACTCTTTGAAATTGGTTTGAGTTTTGACATTAGTTAGTCAAACACATTAATATTAAAATTTTAATTAAAACTCTTATATTCTTATAATTGCGAAGAGCTATTATTCCATATTATTAACTAAATAGTCTTATTTTTTGGCGGGACAGGTTTTACTATCAAAACTGTTTTGCAATCATATTTACTTTTGTTTTACGTCTCGATATCATCGACTTTCATTGATTCATTCGTCCTTCACACCTTGTTTTGCATTCAATTTCATCCGCAGCGACAATTAAAGATGTTCTACGAAGTCTCGAAAGTGGGTCACTGTGCAAATTATGCGTTCCACTTGTGGACTTCTTTTGGTTCCTCTAAGGTTGTCCGCTCGGCCAAACAGAAAAAATGCTACAGCAAATTCAAAAAAGAGATATCAACTCAATTATCTAGTCAGTTAAAGTTAATTAAAATCAAAAGAATATATTAAGAAGATTTTGGATTGGCGTGGAATGATTGCAGAGTGAAGAGATCTGGGCAAATGGCGATATGAACACGGAACTGTATGTTGTATTGTATGTTTGCTCTATGAAATATTGGAAAACGAATCGGGTTTCAATCAAGTGCCGCTTAAATTTACGCCAATTATTTTAACGACCATAACAGAAACCCTGGGGAAAGACAAAAACCGCCACTTACAGCAATTAACACTGGGTTCAATTGGATCGGCGTCACGCGAATGTGTATTGCTTGGGTGGCGAGTGGGCTAAGGGGGCTGGATTGGGCGGATTGGGTGGTGCTCTGTGGGGTGGCAGATGGCAGGTGGCGGGTGGCAGGTGGCGTTCCCAATAGATGTGCATGTCCATCTAGCTGCGACACTGAAATGGGGCTTTGCTAAATCATTTCGACTGCAATCGCAACAAATAAATAATAAGTGAGTAGGGGAAAAAGGGCGAGCGGTTTTAGTACTTGTGTTTTGCTAGATTTTAATCAACTAGGTAAAAATTTGTGGCCTTACAATATATATACATGTGGTACATATGTCGAAAACTCAAACATTTTTATTGGTATTACATTTTTATTTATTTTACATAAAAGCAAGAAAACGTATAACAGTTGTATATTAGTTATATGTAATTATTGAATATTATACGTTTGTGATAACTGCAAGGGTATATAAACTTCGTCTTTGGTTGCCTTTGTTCTTCTTCTTTTTTTTAATACAATTTTCAATAATCACTAAAGGGTTATCTAACAATACAATGCACAATCGATTTTTAATGGGGTTATGACTTCAACATTTTTTTTTCACTCTCTAAATAAAAAATAGTTTCATGGCTTTAACACATGTTTCACTTTGCGTAGCGCATGGTAGGTGCACACACTAACGAAGCGAAGCGAAAGTTTTACGGGTGAGTGGTGACTAAAGCACTCGAATACAATTTTTCTGGATAACAAACAAATGTGAGAGTGCAGTTAACTAAAAACATTTTGGCATACCCAGAGTATGAGTAGAAAATTTAAATAATAAATTTAAATATGAAATATGCCTAGATATGTTATAAGTCATCATTAAGTCATTTTTATATATGTTATCAAATTAAAACCCAAAAAAAATACCATACCAGTTTCTCAGCTAAATTACTATAAGTAAGGAGCAGTTCTTTCGCCCACTTAAATATATTAACTTTGGTTTTCAAATATATTAAAATAAAATAAATAAAATAATTAAACGTTTCTTAATTATTACTAAAATACCTGTTCGATTTCAAAAATGTTTAATGTGTTGATAGATCAAATATATACACCACCCAATAACTGGCCTCTACTTTATCTCTCATTGACAGGACTGTTCAAAAATATCTCCAAATATAATTTCGCTGAAACTCAAGTCCTCGCAGTATATAGGTCGGATGGTTACATCAGGTTTATAGCATTGTTTCTTAATAGCCTCCTAGGTCGAGGGAAATGAATTGTTAATCAATCAATCACGGCTAACTTTCTGGTAGACCAAAGTTGCAAACAGTTGTGCTTGCCAGCTAGCTTGTTGTTGTTAAAGCAATTGTAATCGATATCGTTTGTTAATGGGTGCAAAAGTCCTCCTGTCGGCCCCTCAAGCCATCGAAATCCCCCAAAACCCTTAACCGCCCACCGCTGACCGCATGTTGTGAATGTTGTAAATGTTGTAAATGTTGTAATTGCAATGGGGACTGTCGACAATGGTCTTTGATGTGTCATTGTGGTATTCGTACAAGTACATGCATATGTCGGCACATGTGCGAAATGAAATAGAAAATCAATATCGAGAGCGGCTTCAAATAACAGCTGGGTTTGGTTTTGTTGCAACACAAGCAAGTATGTAGGCCCCCCAAATGAGCACAAAATGCGGTTGTAGTACTACTCAGGCATATGATAGCGTCTTTTCATGCCAGGATGTCCAGTTGATGAAATAAGGCTTTCAATTAATGAGGTCAGAAGGGTCAGAATTTAGATTATCTGTATGTGTATTGTTTGCTTGAAAAGTGTATTCCCGAATTTGAAGTCCAGAGATACTCAAAATTGCTCATTTGAGTTGTAAAGTTGTTCTGTTGTTGTGTAATAATAATAGTTATATAAGGTATACAGCACTTTAATAACCCGCCTTATCTTCTTTGCAGCCAACCAGGAGACTTATGATACTCTGGACACAACACTGCCCTTCCTTAATGCCCAAGAGGTGGTGCGACTGACGACGGACCAGCTGAACCGGCAAAAGAGAGCCGTTCCTGTGGATGCAAAGCCAGACGCAACGAGCCAGTACCAGTCGGTTGTGAATGTCAATGGCAGTGCGACAGTGGGAGCTGGAGCAGCGGCTGCAGAGACCACGGTGACCACCGTGGACAACAAGGCGGCCGGCGGCAGTGTGTCCTACAATGTGCACAACGTCGGTGTCAATGGCACTGGACAGCGCAAGGCCTATAGCGTGGGCGATGGTGCGGCCACGGGGGCTGGCTCTAACTTCACCACCACCATCAACATGACCGCCAAGAAGCCCACCCAACTGGTGGCCCAGTCGGCCTTCCCCAAGAAGGTGGCCGCTTCCGCCGCTGTAGCCGTTACCAGCACGGATCGGCCGGCGACCGAAATTGATGTGGACGTGGCCGGAGTGGATGTGCCCGATGACGAAATCGAAAATCGGGTCAAGAACGAGTCGCTGGTGCGCAGCGAGGACTTTCACGATTACTACAACAGCGTGCTCTATGTCAACCCAGAGGAGGTGGCGTCGCTGTGGACCCACCTGCGGACCACGCCGGAGAACACCCTGCTCTCCTCGTCGCACCGTCGCGCCATGACCGTGGAGCTGAAGTTCGATTTCCCCTTCTACGGCCACTTTGTGCGCAACATAACGGTGGCCACCGGCGGATTCCTCTACACCGGCGAGTACGTTCACTCCTGGCTGGCGGCCACCCAATACATCGCCCCATTGATGGCCAACTTCGACACGAGCATGTCCAAGGACTCGTTTGTCCGGGTGCAAGACAACGGTGAGTTCAAAGTCCCTGTGCTCTCTTTCCATCGAGGATACATCAGCATCAGCACCAAGCCGACACTACTAATTGTACAACCGAATGCATTATTTAGGCTCTACTTTACTTGGCTAGAATATAACCCCCGCCATCTGCATAGCTAGTAAATGAGTTCAGTAATTCGGTTTTTATTGATTCACAACAAAAATTGTGCCACAAATCACGTTCCCCATTTGCCAAAAGCCAAATTGCCTAATTAAAAAAAAATAAGTTTATTGTGTTGTTTTTTTTTTTTAAGAAATACGCTGTAGTATTTTTAAACTTTTCAGAAATTATTTTTTTTTAAATCAGACCACTGTATTATACAGCAGTCATAGGAAAATCCAAATTTAAAGACAAATCGACATAAGATGTTTTTTACGAATTCATAATAGATTTGAAAATTTACAAAAATCAAAGACCTTTATCATACAGATGAAAAAGAAACATGCAAGAATTATATCGATATGACTTAACTTTGTTTAAACATATAAATGTGTATAAGGTCGTTTTAAAGAATATTACATTTTTATTTTTGTAGTGAACATGACGAGATCTAAGAGAATAGTTTCTTTCCAAAGCTGTAAAGCAAAACTGTGATTTGTTTATAATGTCAGGGACTGTCTCTTAATATAACCTATCGTTTTACAAACGAATTCCAGGAACCGCCTTTGTTGCCGTGTGGGAGAATGTGACGCTGCAGGATAAGCCAGATTTCGGAAAGTTCACGTTCAGCGTGACGCTGCACCAAAGCGGCGACATTGTGTTCGCCTATCTGCAAGTGCCCACGCACATTAACTCCATTCAGGACAAGGAGCACCCGGTCAAGGTTGGCCTCTCCGACGCCTACATCATCGACAAGCACCTTTACTGTGAGTACTAATCGGTTAATTTGTGTGTTTGTTGTCGGTGGCCAACCTGTCAATGTCAATTCTACACCGCCAGTTGCTCGACGAAAGACAATCTACGAGTACCACCGGGTCACCTTCCAGCAGCAGGAGATCACCAACTCGACCATCATTAAGCTGGCGGCCCAGCCCACCTGTCTTGGCTACAATGACTGCACTTCGTGTATCAATCACAACACAACGTTTACGGTAAGACTGCTACTTCACTTCCTTCCTCCACCTAACTAGCTAATTCCTCCGATTTGGTTTGCTTTGCAGTGCCTCTGGTGCTCGGCACTGAACCGCTGCTCCACGGGAACCGACCGCAAGAAGCACGAGTGGCTCCAGAAGGGTAGGCTTTCTTTCGGCTGAGTGTAATGTTCGTTGGGGTTCTAACGTGAAACTCGATTCTAGGATGTGAGACTGCCGCCGTTCGTGCCATCGAGAGCTGTCCGGCGCTGGGCGAGAAGGGCAACAATGCGTCCCCACCAAAGAGCGGTGCCGCGAACAGTGGCGGTGCATTGGCGGGCAGTACGATAAGCCCCGTCACGGCGGCTACCGGCTCCTCAGCAGCAGTTACGGAGCCTACCGTGATTAGTACGCGGCCGCCGCACGCCACGGCCCAGTTCAAGCCGAAGGCGGGGGCCACCAATGGCGGCGGCAGCGGCAGCGGGCAAACGGACGAAAAGGCCGGAAACGCCGAGTTTTCGAAGGCGGGAGCGGACAACAAGAGTGTGGGCATGGCCTTCGGGTTCATGGTGCCCATCTGCCTGGTGTTCGCCGTCACGCTGTGGCTCTTCTACGCGTACCGCAATCCGCACACCAAGAGCGGCCAGCTGCTCATCCAGGTGAGTCTCTTAACGAACGTTTATGCCATCCTCTCCATGGATACTCAATCGTTATCCTGTGTGTTTCTTTTCAATTACAAGCAGTCCAAGCATTTACATCAGGTTTGTTGATCTACGGTGAACCTTTGCACGTTCTGTGTTAGTCCATGATTAATGCGTGTATTATTTATATATATATTATTATATATTTTATTTAATTCAAATTAGAGAACGATTTTTTCCAAAGAACGTAGAAATGTTAAATATTTACTTTGCAATCTTTAAAATTGAATAAGGAGGGACTATTTTCAATTGATATACAGCTATGGACAGATAATTAGCACAGGGATGCGGCGGTTCAATTCTAAACCTATTACAAAGTCAAAATTTAATCTAAGAAGAATTATTCCTTCATTTTATTTGATAAACACTCATTTATGAATCCAACAAAACTTAACACCATTGTTCCAGAAAGTTTAAGCGGTTTACATATATGCTCCTTCTGAAATTAATTTATTTCGGAACAATTATAATAAAATGTATGCAAGTGTTGTTTTAATATAAATAAATGTTTATCGAATTTAGTTATGGCCAATAACTCCATGAGATTAGACGTTGGCTTTGCAATGCGTTCAATTAGAACCGCAAACCCTGTTCTGTACATGTAATTACCATTTATTTCACGAACAGCTAAGTTATCCACTTCACTTTCCATGGAAATTTGGTACATTGCTAATTTGGCATGCATGTGCAAACACAACAAGAAGCTTATTTTTATCTAAAAGGCGACTTCGCTGAACAAATAATTTTAAAAACTATATATTTTCGCTGTTAATAAATTTTTAATAAAAAAAAAAAAATCCCAGATTTTTAAGATATTTTTGCACCTAGACACCTGAAGAGGTTACATGTAAAGTTGAGGGGAAATAGTGAACTAGTTTTTTAATTTTTTGTACGGATTTCATTTAAATTCTATTTGTTAAATCGTGGTGCCATTAAAGTAAAAACTGAAATCAAAAAAATTGTAAAGAATTTATTCAGGTGTTCTTTAACGGTTTGTTTTCCAAAAAAATTTTTCTTTTTTTTTAATGTAAATCCAAAAAATTGATTTTTGAAGTGTTTAAAACTTTAAGCAAAAAATTAATTGCGAAAAATAAACAATTGTTATATTGCATATTATATATATATATATTTGCTGCTACAAACATTAAAAAAATGAAAATCGGTTAAAAAGTTTTTGAGTTATAAAGTTCATGGTACTTTTTAAAACTTTATTCCGGGAAAATCGCGTTAAAATTTTTGTGTCAACTTAGGTTATGCTTATTTTCGAAGGTACATATAGTACATAATTTCAGAATATATAAAAATTGTGGATTTTTTAAGCCTCAACTTTATGTATGACTCTTTAAGAAGTGTTTTAGTTGTAATGCTAGCAATAAATGTATCGACTTTGGACCCTTCTAATCGTTTTTTATTCCACAGTTCCGTCCCAGCCAGTGGTCATGGAGGCGTGGCGAGGCCCGCTACACGGCGGCCACGATACACATGTAGGAGGTGATCGCCGGTGACGTAGAGGGGTACAGAGATCGCGACACGTGGGAGGGAACTGCAGCTTTACCAACGACGAAGAAGAACCAACCAATCGGATCCTGAAAGAGCAGTATCGTGAGCGGGGAACTGAGAAGCAATTGACACCAATTACGATCACAACATGGACGACTTGCTCATCGAACTGGGCAATCCCATCTATTTAAGACATTTCAACCGCTCAGTTATGTAATGTTCCCATGTCCAGGTCAAACAAAAGACAGATTTTAAACTGATTGTTGCGATTTTGCACTAAAAACGCTGCCGAAACTGAAAATAAAAGCAATGGATTTGTGTAGAGCAGTCCCAGTCGCAGTCCCCCGAGTCCACAAACTGCTCAAAAGAAGAAAAAAAAAAGACGACTGGCAACAGCATGAAGTGATCTTTTAAATGTATCTTTTTACCTTTATACCGAAATGACCCCGAAGACAACTGCATAATACTTTCAGACCAATGGCTCCCACCAGGCCACGCACACACACCCACACACTCACACACTCATACCAATACCTAAACACACACACCAACACACAGACACGCAGACACAGGGCAAAGTGCTTTTAATTGTTTAATAGTTCAATTTTGTTTAGTGTTTTTTATCTTACTCTGTATCCTATCCAGAGGAAGGGCTGTATATTTTTTTGTGTGCGTGCGCGTTTTGCTGGACTCTTCGCCAAAAGTTCTTCCTCATTCTGTGTAGTTTTTGTTCGTTTTTGTTTTAAGTGTGTGTAGCTTGGCAAAAAGCAATTATGGGATAAATGTATTACTGTGAACAGAACACTCGGCGGCAGTTTTTCATACTGTATTATACGCGATTTGTATGCAAGTTTTATGTGTGTATATTGCGTGCACGGATATTACATTTGTGCGAGCACGCAAAGACCTTATATATATATATATACTTTATATATATATATATACACCTTCGCATGTACGCATGTGAAGCATATATGGATATATCCAAGACAACCTCTTCTTTTTGTTAGTATTTTTTTCTATTAATTAATATTAAAAATAAAAACCAAGAAAACAAACTTATATATATATATATATTAATAAATATAAAGTTATAACTAAATGCGGTGTGAAAAGCTAAACTAAATCCATAATTAACTAAGTAAGGGAGATTGGAACAAGGAGAAGAGATAAAAATATGATTATTAGAAATATCAATAAAATCAAACCGATTAAACGCGACAGAAACAAACCGCAAAAATCCAAGCGAAAACAACTAAGAAAATTGTATAACAATGTATTTTGATAAAGAAATTAAACTTGTATTTTAAGCTCTTCTTATGTATACATGATAATTTAAATAAAAAAAACATACTCAAAAATCAACTGAGATGGGCGTTGTTTTTTGACAATTTGGTTAAGCTTGTTCAGCGTTGAGAATCACTGTTAAAAGATTTATAGGATAAAGTCGTTTGATTTTGATACTTACCTATGTCCGTCCGTATGTCCATCCGTCTGTCCGTCCGTCTGTCCGTCCGTCCGTTTCTACGCAAACTAGTCTCTCAAATTTAAAGCTGTCCTGTTGCAGGTAGTACATAAGTCGACACATGCCGGATCGGACGACTATATCATATAGTTTCCATATGAACAATAGTGAAAAAAATTAAAAAAAAAATATAACTGCTGTTATTACATTTTTGTATATTTCTCCAGTATTTAGTAATTGTTTATTATTTTAGAATTACGATTTAAGAATTCGAAATTTAGACGTCTTAAAGGGGTGTATAAACTTTGGCTTGCCGAAGTTTGCTTCCTTTCTTGTTTATTTTAATAACTGAAAATAATAATTTTTAAACCCTACTGGCCCCTTAACTAAATATAATATTTTAAGCTGTCACTTGAAATCCGTCTCGACCCTTATTCAGAAAAAAAACAATTAACGTTTAATTTAATATTAGGTTCCTTTTACTATTTCTGTTGGTCTTTAACTTCATCAAACATGTTATTGATGTAAATATATATTTTGTGTTAGTAATGTTGCTAATTGGAAATTCCGTCTAAACATTTAGAGGTTTTCTTTCAGGCGGGGCGTTGGGCATTGCTAATGGACTGGAACTGGTGGGCAGGTGGAGATGCAGATGCAGATGCAGCTGGAGTTAGAGTTAGAGTTGGAGCTCATAGCTTCTGCTGGGCCAGCTCGTCGATGGTTCGGGCATTGGTGAGGGTCACCCAGAGCGGCGCCTGGATGCTGGCCAGCGAGTAGCTCTCGGCGGCGTCCAGGGATTGCGACTTTCGCATGACCGGGGACTCCGCAGTGTTGTTTGCACCCGATTCTGCTGCTCCGCGCCGGCGATCGCGCTTGGATTCCCGCTTGCCAAATGCGGCAGCTGCCTCGCCGCCGCTCCCACCGCCGGCGCAACTGACAGCCCGGAGCTCCTGGAGGCGACTCCTCCGCTTGGCCAAGGCAGCCGGATCGTCCCGCACACTGGCCGCCTTGCGCAGCTGCGGCGGAGGCACCAGCTGGGAGGATTTGGCCAGCGAAGCAACCTTCGCCCCAGATTCTTGGCACTCGGACTCGGGCTGGCTCACAGCCCGCTCCGGCTGCGGCTTGGCTAACTGTTAGCTCGAGGAGAAGGACATCTTGTAGGAGGTGGTGTCCATCGGCGACTCGGGGTTGAACATCTCCGTCTGGGTCTGCTCCACGTCACTGCAGCGCTCCTCCAGCACAGTGTCCAGCTCCAGGGAGGTGAAGCCCTGGCTTAGGCTTCGTTCAGGACGTAGACTGATAGCTCGCGACGATCGGTAATCTGTGGAACACAGAATTCATTTTAGTCAGCATCATTGGGCGGAGAGCTAAATGCACGAAAGCGAAGGACTTTCAGGATATGGATGATATTGTAGGCGACACTTTTAAAATGTAAATAATACGCAAGTGTCACGCACTTGGGTATTCTAGCCTGAAAAGTGATTTACTAGCACCGCATCCCTTGTCTTGAATGGCACTTAATTTATTGTCAGAAAGAACGAAATGTTTCTTCATAGCATAATATATCATTTCACAAACAAAAAAGTCATAAAATTTGGTAGCAATTCCAGTACAAGTTCTATATCCTTGAATACATTTCTATACTCTTGCAGTGGGTTTTCGTTCAAAATTTTGCAACGCAGTGAGTAAATAAAGTTTAGTAAAAACTAACTAGTGCTCCATGCTAATAAAATGTAAGAAAAACTAGCGTATAAAATCCCAGCAAGTATGCTAAAAAATTTCGGAAAAACAGAAACTCATTTAAACTAAACTTTTTGCGGTGAGTACGTAAGTAAACTTTTCTTTCAACGCTCAACTTATTTTATTTTCATCTCTGACTAATTTATTTAGTTGCCAAAGAAGGGCAAATGTGATTTGCCTGGCGAAAATATTATGTGCGAAAAAAGTTACGAAATTGGAAGGGACAAGAACAATGGCTTCTGCGGCGATGCGTTATCGTGTTGCGAAATGTATGCCAAAAAACGTATGTCCCCGTGTGGGGTTGCAAAAAATATGAGTTGTTTTGGGGGCAAAAAGCTACACAACCGAAAACAAGTGTCGTTTGCGGTTGCCTGTTTTTGTTTTTGAACTGCGGTTGTGGCGACCTCGTCACTCTGCCTTGATCATCAGTCGTTCTAGAGCTGCACCGTAAATAAATGCACTACAAATGGTGAATGCTTTTGCAAAAATATGTATATCTTATCCTACCTGACTTTAAAAAAAGATTACAAATACCCTTGAAAAAGACTTTATTTAAAACATTTCAAGACTACATTTGCAATTTTATCGCAATATCTGTTATAGGAACCATATTGATAGGCTGGTTGTAAACGATGAAGCCGTTAAAGTATTTTACACTTTACTTTTTGTCAGAAAAACCCTGTTTTCTGTCTTTATACTTTATATATACCACCAATATACTTTAATACCACCAATCACAAATAACATTAGTCACTTTTATAGAATTGTATTACGTTCGATATGTTTTAAAAGCTTTTAGACTGAAAAATGCAAATTAGATTATTTGATTGTCATTATCAAAATTGTTGTGGTATTTGCAGAAAAACCGTCAAATAAGAGCACTTTTCACAATAGATACTTGTATAAAATGCTGAATAAATTTTAAAAAGGTGACAGCATACATATTAGGGTGGGTCAATATATTGGGATGCAAAAAGGAGTGATCAATCGGAGGGGCGAAACGTAATCTGTGGACAATTCTAAGCAATATTGTTTAAGGAACTATATGTCTACTACTTCGACCTTTTTCTTAGTTCCTTTGGCAATATTGATAACAATACGATTTTTGGACTTTTAAATCGATACACCCTAGTCTTTACATATACACCTATATTTTGAAAATGTTGTATGAAAAGGGTTGATTTTGCTTATGTTTTTTTCATAGTGCTTCTTTAAGAGACCTGAAGTGGCAGTTTCACTCTTCGCCTCCCAGTTATAAAAATGTCCTGCGTGTTCGTGCGTGCATATAGCAGTGGAATTCTCGCACGAAAGCGTGGCTTAGTGTGCGTGGCAGCTCCGTGAAGGGGGAGGGGGGTGGTTGGTCGTCCAAACGGCAAGGGTCCTGGCATGTTGCTATTCTTAAATAGCGGGCTACATACTAGCTCCCATTTTTGCTTTTCTTTACCTGCCCCCGATTTCGTGATTTTGTGATATGCAAAAAGGACTGCGAGCGCCCAAAGGTATGCTATGCAAATTCAAAATGCAGGCAGCCCTTTCTCCTTGACACTTGTAAAGCAGCTCATAAACCCGTATACAACTGGCAAAGGAGGGGTGCCAACTTACTCCCTGTCGCCCAGTGTGTAACTTTCTCCCAGCCAAGGTGCACTGCTTTCACTCAGCTCACGTTCGCTGAAGTTTACATTTCTGTTTCTACACATGTTCCTTTTTAGGGGGAATCAAGGAGGACAGAATTTTAATATTGTTTTGTTTTAGAATAAAGGAGTACAGAATTTAGAAATTGCATTATTGGATTTTTTTTTGTAATTAGACTAATTGAAACAACTGAAGTAAATCATTGTCTAAATAATGAAATTGTAATAGACAATAGTGGACTTCTTCAAGATCTTCTAAATAATATTACAGGTTTTAATGGTGCAGGGCAGCTTTTACTATGCTTACAGTCGCATAAACCCAATACGAGTATGTATGGATTAGCTTGATCAGCATAATAAGCCGTTGAATCGTTATAGCCATATCCATCTATCACTTTTTATACCCACTAGTATTTCCCTTTTTATTTAATTAAAATGTTTTTCAGTATATATGTACATACGTAGATATTCCAAAATATATAACGTTTTTAAAAGTTAATTGGTGTCAATGTAAAAAAAATAAAGAAAATATTTTCGTTCTGTTTTCAACCCGTTAAATAAAAAATTATTATTATTATTAATTCAATTTATGTAAGCCCCCATTCGCATAAAATGAGTTCAACTGGTGTTCGAACTGAGTGCAAAATCATTTAAGTACTAATTTTGATGTGTTTCGTTATTGAAAATGTTTATCCAAACTGTGTGGAAGCACAAACACACTCAGATTAAGTGCAATGCACTTGATTAATTCTCGCTGTGTATATGACAAGGTCTTTTTGGGCATGCGGGCACTCAAAAAACATTGATTATGGATATTGGTAATGCGTTGGGCTCTTTGTTACCCTTTTGCGAATGCGAACTTCGTTTGATGCAGGCAGGCAGAACAATGGCCGACAGGTGTATATTAATGAACATGGCAAGGCATAGATTGAGAGGAAAAGTGGAGGAGAAGTGGTGAGTACGAGTACAGAGCTAAGGGTGCAATGCAAACTTGGTGCTGAATGCGAGTTAGTGAGTGGGGGGGAGAGGTGAAAGTGGTGATGAATGATGATGATTCGACAGTCTCTCGACTCTGTTCGGAAAGTGCGGACAAGTCAATCGATCTGCCTGTGGCTGCAAACCAGAGAGATTGGAAGCGAGAAACAGAAACAAAGAACAAAGAAACGTTCGTACACAATTACACGACATTCAAACTCACTAAGCCTATGTATTGGACTAAATCTGACCAGGCTGACGGCATGGTCCTGCATGTCGTAGTTGCGCCTCCTGTCCCTTTCCCGGGCCAACTTGGCCCGCCTCCGAAGGCAGCAGATCACAATCAGCGCCAGGATCGGGAAGCCGAAGATGCAGGACACGATCGGGATTACGATCGATTCGGGTGAAACTGCAATGACAAATGGGGAAACAGGCGGTATAATATAATATATTAGTGATGAATGAAAAAGTATCTAAAAGTACGAAAAAAGCGTATGTCTTTGGGCTATAAGATTAATATTACATATATTTCTACTCTATTTCGCCATCAAATGCAGACCGTCGTATAAAGACTTCGAGTTGGAGAAGTATAACTTATGTAATTTCGGTTGTAGCATATCGTAGAAAGTTCTGACCATTAATAATTTAATCAATAGTGTATAAGACAACAAAGTTATAAATTTGGTGTAATAATATAGCAGCTATAGAATACCGCCTTTTGATTTTAACCCTTCCGACCTAAATACTGCGTCATCTTAAGATTGTGCGAAATCTGCTTGGTATTTTAATATTTAAATTATATTTTAAAGCCCATTGTTTTCGTTGAAAAGTAACAAATTAACCCTGTGGTACAAAACTTCGCAAACAATATCGAAAACGATACTTATCCGGTACAGGATAAAACATCCAAAGCAAATACAAAAACGTATCATCTATAGTTTGTGTAAACAAATGTTTTGTTTACGATAGTTCGTTGGAGATTAATTAACTGAGGGTTTAATAATTGTTTTGCGAGACTGTTTTTTTTGTCGATTTTTTATCCAGTCTTTTTATTATGTCTTCTTCTTTTTCTAGAAACCGTTATGGATTAATATTCAATTTATTTTACTTTTCCCTGCAATTTTGGCAGTTATGTTTGAAAAGCGTCATAAGAACAAAGATCGAGTCTCCTAGTAATGCCGATATTCTTTACATTCTTTACAGGGTCGGAAATGTCTCCTTCACTGTTTAGCAAACATTTGGCAGAAATTATAATTTCCTCTTCAGGGCTATAAAAGTGGTTTACTGATTATCTTTTTTTTTTTTTTAACCAAACTATAAAACTTTCCGCATATTTACACCATGTAGAACACGACCTTTGCAATTTGAGGTAGCCCTTTGTTTTTATCAGCGTACCTGACTCTATCTCACCTTGCCCATCTTTTGCAAATAATTTTACCCAAATTTTATTGAACATTTCTTTGCCTTTTTCAGGTGCCTTTCACGTAGTCCCCTTAATCTTGCTCAACATCACGCAACCGTACTCATTCTTGACCCCAGCGTAACCCAACGGCCTTTGGCTCGCCCCTCTCTGATTTCGCCTGCTGTGACCTTGCCCAACCTTATTTCGCCCCATTATGCCCTCCTCCCCCGGGCCCCACAAATGGCCTTGCCAAATGATGCACGAATTTTAATCGCTCTCGGTTGTCAACGCCCAAAAATCCCGGGGCTGGGAACATATTTGCCTAAGTGATGTGGTCAGCCGCAGAATTGCCATCAACCCAGGCAAGATTATTTATTTATATGTTTATTTTATCACAATAACCAAGTGCGGCATGTTGGCTGGTTTAATGGGCAACGCAAACTCATAATTCCGGAGCACATTTCCGGTTCATTTGCATGACCTCAAATTCGGCCGAGAGTAGGCAACATCTACAGTATCTGAACAAAGTGAGGACTGGGGCATCGAAATAATATAGAAGAGGAGGTCTTCCGAAGGATAAGAGCTGCGAGGGGGTTGTTTGCCGTACGACTTTTCGAGCACATTCCTTTTGCGCCATTTGCATTTTCCACCGTTAACGATTCGCTTGGCTGTTTAATTTAGGCTCTCAGTCATAAAATGAGTCTTCATCTCCTACCGCTGCTTAACACACATATAACTTTTTTATTGCACTTGGAATAATTAAAAACAAAAACACATTTATACTGCTGACATTCAATAAAGTTTAAAACACCAAGATAATACATAATACATTTAATGCTTAAAAATCAAAAGACATTAAAAGTAATAATAACATTACTTGGAGAACTTAATTTGTACAGAAGGTAAAGGCACAGAGGTTATGAAACTTGAAGTTGTACAAGATTTAAAAAGTTTGTCAAAATATATCCTCATTTTTAGCAGTTAATTTGGATAATGACCACCAATTTGATAGATATATTTTTCTGTTAAAGTACGTTTTAAAGAAGAATTTAACTGAAAACACAAGACTCCAAGGTAAGGCTGCTTTCCATTTGTCATTTTGCATATCTCTCCGAGCGACCCACGAGCTGTTTTAAAGTCATCCTTTGGCACGACGCCCTTATTTACCACCCGAAACCACTCATACGTCACATCCACCCACTTTCACCACCCTTCCTTCGAAAACGGAAGCCCTAATCTAAGCCACAAAATCCATGGCCCAAATTGTGTTTGTGGAAAAAGTAGCATAAAATCAGCAGACCAAAAGAAAGCGTCGAAAGCAAAATGCTCTAAAGGGTTTCGGAAACGTGTTACTTTTGTGATGGTTGCCGAAAATTATAGTTCAAAGTTAAGAAACTATTGTATTAAATTCTATTTTCTAAACCAATAAAACCAAAAGTTTTTATATAAAAACGCTTGTAAATTGAGTAATAGTATGGCATTGGATGGGATAAGATGTTAGACCAAATTGGAAATTTAGTGACATTTTTTTTTCTTATATTTTAAATGTAGTTTTTGATTATTGCGCACTCAAAAGTTCAACTCAATCCAGCTAAATTGACGAAGATTGATTTAACTTTTTGCGGTTAAATACAACTTTTAAAATTTGCCATGTTTTCAAAAATTATTTTTTTTTCCGCGTAAATTAATAAAAACAATGAAGTTGTTTTCGAACACAGTTCGAGCTACACTAGAAAGAAGATTTTTTGGAAAATTACAGGTAGCTCTAAGGCTGAGACGTACAGACTTGTCCCCTTGTACTCATAAAGTTTTATTCCAATTGTAATTTACTTGTTCAGCAAAGCATTGCTTTTTATAAAAAAAAATAGCAGTTTTTTTTCAATTTAGGGGGGTTCCATTTTGTAAATCAATAAATTGCTTATCAATGGACTTAATCCAGGCCCAGCGGTGTTTGTCTCCCGAAAGCTGGTTAAAAAAAAAGGTATTTTATTCCTATCACTGTCGGCTCCTTTAAGCTTTTAAAACCTCTTCGCGCAGCACAACGAGCACTTGATGTTGGCCCCACATTATTCGATTAAATCCGAGTTCGAACCTGGGCGCACTCTCATAATGTTTACTCCGGTGTTATCAGAGCCGCAGCTGGGCCCACTTTATCCTGCCCCCCAGCAGCTCCAGCTGCTCCTGGCGGAGAAGGACCTTGATCCGGGACCCTCCGGCTGCGCCATTGAATCCAATTAACGCCTTCAAAGTGACAGTTCAAATTTACACAAATTGATGGCGCGGAGTGGGAGTGCTTAGTTCACTTTAGTTTGCTGCCGACAAGGAAACTTGCGGAGGAGGGGAATCAGTAGCTGAAGGTGTCCGCCATTCAAGCTGAGTCATCAGGCATCGTTTGATGGCTGAAATATTCAATAAGTACAATAAAAATAATACCTCTGCCCCACGCAGACAGACGCGCCCATCGCCGATGCCTTTGAATCGAAATTAAATGTTTGCATATTTGACGTCGGCGAAGGAATGCGCTACAAAGGCTTCATCGGCAGCACAAACAAAGCCAGCCCATCGAGTGTTGAAGCAGAAGGCCATATATATATATTGCCTATATATGCATATATTTTATACTTGTATATATACCTGTCTGCACATACAGACAGACACTGGGGTACACATCTTCCCACTCGCATAGAGTATGCTCGTAAGGAGTAGCATAAAGTGATTTATGTAGCTCGAACATATTCCCATCAAAGTCACTCGAGCCTGATTGCGGCCGAACTGGAGGCGAGCCAAGTTGAATGTGGGATGGGCCAACTTCAAAGTCCGCAGGCATTCACAGAGAATAGTTTGCATTTGATATAGCCCCAAAGTTTTACATTGGCTCGTAGTTGCTGCTGCTTCATAATCGGACAAAGTTGCCCAGTGGCCCTTTTGTTAACAAAACTCCAACTTGGAAAGCTAAGTAACCAGTAAAATGTGGTGTTTACAAAACGGTTTTATGTGTCCTCGAAGCTTATACCATATTAAATTGACCGTATTTAATTAAAAAACAACAAACGCATCTCAGATTAAAACCTTCAAAAAGTTTGTGAATCGACTGAGATAACATTAACTTGATTAACTCATCAGAAAAGTTAATTTTATATTATTAATCAAAATTTTATGCCAGCAAAAGGGACACTGAAAAAATGAAATTGATCGAAATCATGAATTAAAATTCAAGCAACTTGAGCGAATTAACTAGAACGGATAAACAAAAATTTGAAATCCTATGAAATGACTATTTTGACTGTAACCATACAAAAATTGTCATAGAAAGTAAACTGTTGTTAGTTGAATTTTAAACTATTGGGTATGAGAAAATGTTCAATAAGATGAGTGTTAAATTAATACCATGAAAGTATCAAAATAAAACTTATGTGGTTTAAAAATAAGGCCTTAGACATCAGTTTCAGACTCTTCAATATAGAAATGAAAGTATGGGGCTTATGTTATTTGTTATTTATTGAATTAATACTTATACTTTTATACTGTCTGTAGTTTAAGTTTAAGACACACATATTAAAACTAAACTTTGCGTTTTTTTTATCTTCCATAAAGAGAATCGTAAAATAACTAAAATAAAAGGATCATATTACTGCTATAGGACAGATTAAGGGTAAAATTGGCCTAACTTCGCTGTTTTTCAACATAAAGAGGTATAGATATATTTTATCGAGGTATGTATGCTCGTAGACTTAAAGGCCATATTGCATTCACTGAAAAGTATGTAAGAGGGAAACGTTTCCGACCAAACAGGAAATGAAAACAGTCATCTTTGGAGTAAATTTTCTATTTAATGTTGAGAACTCGTGCCATTAAAGTAAGGCACCGTTTTAAGTGAAAAACGAGAAGCCCGCTACAGTGGAGAACAGGCATTGGAGTGTTTCGCTAAGTGGAATGCATTGTTAACTTATCAATGGAGCTGAAGGACATCGCATTCCTGTTACACCATTTTATCGGATGAATTTACGCACTTTTGTTGGGGCGACGTTGTAATGGCAAAGTATTTTTTTTTTTTTTGGCCCTCTGCGATGCTTTTTGTTCTCATTTTATTTTTTGTCAGCATGGACAAAAAGTTGTATCTTGTGTCGAACTGACGCGGTGGCGGCAGCTGGAGAGCCACGCCCACAGGCCATGTCTACGCCCCTCGACGTCGATGCTGGAGTTACTGCCGATTGTGGTGGGGGGTTGGAGAAATTATATGGATGTGGGCCTACGGGAGGGATGAGCCTGATAGGGCGAGCAGGAAAGTCGAAAATGTTGTCGACAATTTTTGTTGGCCCATCTACATTAACAATACACAGAAAGAACAAAATTGTTAAAGTAAAATGTTTACAAAGCTCTAGCTTTACGGGTTTGTGAACTGTGTTGATTTAAAAAATGATGTCAAGAGCTATAGATATATATAATATAAATAAATAGATTAATTTTCTTTGCCTTTTATCTCTTTTCTGTATAGCCTTTAAGGGTCTTCTCTTCTCAAGGCGAGAAATTAAGTGGTTATTTAGGGAATTAATTACAAAAGTTCTACTGCATAGATTTGAAAATTTTTAATTTGTAAATTTTCCTTTAAACTTCAAAAAAAAATGGTTTTCAGAACCCTTGAATGTGCTTTTTAAAGCATATATGAGAACTAACCTATCATGTGCTTTAAAAACCGAACAAAAAATGACTAAAATCGACCGCGGCCAAACATAGCGGTATGCTTTGTGAGCAGTTTGAAAAATACATTATTAAAATCGTACTAGTTCTCCTTTAAAAAGTCTTATTCGGCAGCTAAAAAAACACTACTTTCGGGAAAACGCGTTTAAATGTAAATTACGGTGCACAACTTGATTGAAATATGTACATAGGTACCTTACGGTTAGCAGGAACATGCGAAAAAATATTATTTCGATAAAATCCTTTTTGCAGCGCTTTCCCAGACACATAAAGATTAAGATAATGAATTAAAAACAAATCGATTTGTTGAAACTGCGAGAGTGGAAGACCCCCTTAAGACTCTATTTTGCGCGCGGCTCGCAGCCCTGCGACATTGGCGCCAACTGTCAAGGCCCACCACCCATACCCATACCCATACCCATTTTACCACCCATTCAGTTGGGCTGGCGACACTTGCCCCGAACAATCAACAGCTATATCCGAGTGCGACTCATTGCAATTACTGCGACTTAGACTTGTCTAATTGCTGAATGGGGCGCGGAAAGGGGCCTCGATCTCGTCCTTGGTCGTGTAACTCTTGGGACAACATTCGGATTGGGCTAAGCCGGGCAAAGTTTGCCGTGCCACCGAAACTATAAAAAATAAGTTGACGCGGCAGCCGGAGGACGATTCGGAGCGGAGTCAATGCTGATAATGAGGACTCGGTTGTCAGCTCATGCAAATTAACGCCGGCAACGAGGCAACTAATTGGATTGAAGGTGGAAGTGGAAGTGGAGGTGGAGGTGGAGGAGGTGGTAAAGGCAGAAATTGGGCAGCAGATGGGCTCGTACTCCGGTTTTACGCATGGATCAAGGACTGGCACGCGACCTCGTGGGTGTTTGACTGCACTGATTTGATTACTTTAGTTGGGAGGAAAAATGCGAGGACTGAGAGCTTAGGCTTTATCCGGATAATGTCTCTAATTAACTTAAGGCTGTTTGGAGTCTTTTAACATCGGGGATGCGACAAATAAGTAGTCGCTACTTGCTTAGCTGATTATTGCCCAAAACGGTGACAAATTCAACCTAGGCTTTTAACAGTTTAAAATGACATCCAAAATTGAATTAAAAACAGGAATGGAAGCAAAGTAATTAAAGCTTCCCCTTTCAGATATTGCAAAAATTAAATATTCCATAAAACGATTTTATTTACATTTTTTTTGGGAACATGTTTAAAAACAATATGGCTTGGTCCAGCCTCCGCTGAAATTTTCCATAACTTCTATGGCAACTTTCGTAAAACCATTACTATATCTCAAAGCATATTCGTGTAAATTGTAAAACAGCGAAGTTTAATCTTTGTATTCCTTGCTAAGGATATTTTAATTTCAGTCAGCCGTTAGCAACTCGGTAAAGAGACATATATAGTATATCAATTTTTGATCAGCATCATCAGGAGAGTCGATCTAGACGATCACGATTTCAAAATTACATTTTATATTTTATAAAATTCAACGAACGATCGAGAAATTGGTTGAAAAATCGTCACAACTTAATTGTTTTAAAACAATTAAGCTTTTGATTAAATATTACACTATTTTTTATAATTTCCAAAAGCCTTGGGAATTAATGAACAATTAAATCAAAAGACACTTTCTCTTTTTTCAAATCAAACAAATATTTCCGAATTTATTAAGAAATTTAGATGTAAAGATTTATTTGCCGCGTTCTGACAATTTTTATAATTTTCTATTTCCGAAGAAAACGGCTCGAGAATGCATATTTAGTGTTAATTTTGATGGCGTATGAAAGGTTATCTTGTAATCGACGCACTCGACTGTAGCGTACCGCCTTGTTTTAATTAAGGCTCAGCCGTTTTCGGCCCCAATTTAGTATTTAAATTAGGTAAATGGAGGCACTCACCCGTTGGGTAGACCACGATGGTCGTCGGGCGATTCTTGCTGCCGGTGGCGGCGATGAAGGTGGCCACCGTCTGGGCCTGGAAGGTGGCCATGCTGCTGGTGGGGATGGGCAGTGTGCCTATGGCCGCCGTCGTCGAGGACTCAATGAAACCGCTGAGATTTGCTGCCGGCAGGTAGACATCCGCGCCACCATTCCCCGCCAGCGGACTGCCGGTGACGTTTTCCGGGAGGAGTCCGGTCGTCTGTTCGCCGAGCAGTTCGGGCAGCACATCCGCTGCCGCTGCCGCCGTCGCCGCCGGTCCACGGGTCGGATGATCGATGCGCTGGCCGTGGGCCACGTCCGCCGCGTCGAGGGCCTGCAGCAGAAGGGCGGAAACGGACAGGTTGGGCAGGCTGGGCAGACTGGGCAGGCTGGGCACGTGCTGGGCGGGATTGGCCCGGGCCACCTTGGCCAGGGTGCGGCTGAGCAGACCCCTGAGATTCCCTGTAGATTGGCTGCCTTCTCCTTCTCCGTTTCCGACGCTTTCCCTGGCAACTCTTGCGGTCATATTGTTTAATAATTTCGCAGCATAATCGTAAATTTCAATGAGCATTGAGTGGTTCTCTACTTCTCTCCCCAACCGGCGGCTGTGTGCAAGACATGGTGTTGGTAAATGTTTGTCCCTAACCGCGAACTCCGGACACAGAACTACGAACTAAGGACCCTGGACACTGAGCATATACACGCTGAGTGTTAATTGCCTTAATGAATCACTTTGGGAAAAGAGGGTGTTGGTGAGAGGGCAGCTTTTGGGCCGTCAGCGACGATTGATTGCGATCTTAACCCTTGTGATGGCTTTGCGCCTGGCTACGTGCACTGGATATAAGCCAGGGATTACCCAATGGCTGGCAAAAACAAAAAGAACATCAATATTGAATAACTTTTGATTGATTTTGGGCTCTGCCGGATTTCAGGTCCACAATTTTCATTAAAAAGTATATTATCGATTCTCTAAAGTAAACGGAAAGTATGTTTTAAATCTGAGATAAGGTATGGAAATTTGCAATATTTTTGGCGTAACTGTTTTAAATGTTAACCCCACACAAAACGTGGAACTATTGCATATCTTGTTTATAAAAACTAAAATTAACTATGTCATACATCATTATGACTCTACATGAACTGAACTTACTGGGACTTAAGCATATAACTATGACAACTAGATGGTAATAGGAATTCAAGATGGGTTTCTGTTGTAACAAGGCCTTAACTTTGAGTAGATTTTTCCTAGAATTTCAAAGCACACGCTCATATCCTAATAAAAATATGTCATCGTCGATTAATTTTGATTTGTTAAATCGCTGACTGCCCGAAATGATGTAAGCAACTAAATTCGGGAGCGTAAAGGGTTCCCCAGCCCTAAACCAAACTCCCAAACAACCAGCTCTTGACCTCTCAGTGCCCACACTTGTTGTGGACGCAAAAGCGCAAACATTGAATCGAGCAAACCCCCCGCCACGGAGCCATCAAGTGAGCAATCCCACAGTCCAGCAATCTAGCAATCCAGAGGAGCTCCAGCTCCAATGGCACTTGAATTCGCAACTGTGGAGTGAGCGGGGATATATACATAGATGGGGTACACAGATGGGCATGGGGAAACGGATGCGAATGCGAATTACGGATCTGGTGGTGGTGGTGGGGGGGGGGACACATTGGCGACAACCGGCCATAAAAATATATTAACTATTGCATGGGGCTTCGTGGACTAGCTTCATTACGACAAATCGAATCGAATTGAATCGAAGGAAGCACCATGCTACTTCGTCTGGACACCAGAACCCATAATTAAATGGACGAGCACGATTCTTTATGTAGAGAGAATAATTTAATTCATCAAAGGGCAGTATTTTGCTTTCAAACTACCATGGGAAGAGGGGTCCAGAGGTCATTACTAATTTAAATCATCACATATATCAGCAAATAAACACATGGAAATGTCTCAATGTGCCTCTTTAAAGTGTCTGCTTAAAGCTGGTCTCTGGTTTAAATACATAAAACTAATTTAAGACCTTTGACAGGACTACATGTTATGCTGTAGGAAAGATAAAAAAAAACTATAAAAATGCTTTAGCCATAAAATATCATGCGAGTTGATTTCAGGCTTATGTTATTAGGTATATAAATGTTAAATTCCCCATTTGGATTATTTGTTATGATGACTTTTTGAACAGTGTGTTCTGGGGGGAAAGCACGGACGCAGTTGAAAAACAATCTCAGCGCGGGGTGAAATGGTATGGGCGATGATGGTATTGGTGTCGTTATAGGATGGGTTACGGGGTTTCGGTTCGGTTCGGCGGTTCGGATTCTATTGAGACTGAAGCGGGGATGCTATGCTGAAAGCGCGCGTCCTTCTGCGCTTCATGTTCATGTGCCAATGCCCATTCAAATGTGAAGCATACTTTGTCACTTTTGTTTCTGTGAATCTGGCAAAACAAGTGGTAGAGGGGGAGAGGGGGGGCCCCGAAAAATATAGGAACACACACACACACACACACACACAAAAAAAAGGAAGGGGGCGCGCGTACGCAACGAACCGTTAGAAAGGATCGCGAACGTCCCGGAATTTCCGTTACATTCACTTTTCGTCGTTCGCAGTTCGCCCTTTTTCGTCCTTTTATTCGGTTCGTCCTTTTCGCCGTTAACCGTACTCCACTCGCGTCGGCAGTCCGCCTGCCTTTGTGATGCGAGCGCCAAAGTGAGCGGCCTTTTATAGACCCTCCGTATGCCGAGGAACTTCCTTATAATTTCCCACAATTTCCCCAAAAGAGAAAATACACCCTGGTGGCACTGGAAAAACGGCAGAGAGAGAGAGAGGGTACACTCTCATTGCGGCACGCTGGAAATGCTAAAGGAATTCGTTATTTATTGTGCAAGGCGAAAGACAAATAAGCCAATGGTTTGTTCAGGTCGCCGTCAATACAGGCAGTTTATTTAATTAATTCGTATTGTCCGTTCACAAATTTTAAATGACTTCGGTTCTATTTATTTCTATATAAAAAATATACTTAATTGTAATGATAATTTCATCTCCTGGAGATTTTGATAATTTCTAATTTCTAGTCTAACTTACAACAGTTAAATCTTTTCATAGCTTAGGGAACACATTTAAATACCTATGGCACAAATATGTAATTTCCGATTTGATATTTAATATCTTTAAATTTATACTTGTACTTGTCAATTCTACCACGAAACATTTATATAATTCCGTCCCAAAAACGGTGATTAACGTGAAGATTCAAAAGTCTGAGATGATCACCATAGATTTTTTGATCGGATTTTCCAAACATTTACATTTTTTTTCGGAATTTTGAATTTGCCTCTTTAAAAAGTGCATATCCTGTTCAGCAAACAAAGACATCCTCTTCAGAAAGCTTCAAGTGGCAGCAGTTTGTTTGTCTCCAGACAACACAACGATGTCACTGTCAAAATCTTTTATGTCGAATGGATCTGAAATCCAATTTCTATGCTGAATGCAATACATTTTACATTTAAACAGGCCAACTGGAAAAACAATCAACAAGGGCAAACAAACGCACATGTGGCGCCAGGTTGCATATTGCACATTGCCCATTGCACATTGCACTTGGCACTTGGCACTCGATGCGGAATTTTACAAATCTAATTGCAATTGCTTATGGTGCGTATAGTGCGTATGGTGCGTATGGGAAATGCGCTTCGGAGGAGGAAGGAGATGCACAATTCTGGGAATGGAAGCAATGGCCGGGAACAATTGAAACATTTTAGTGTATTTGTTAAATGATTATTGTGACTAAAACACTCACACACCATGGCCATGACATATCCGTTTTAGTAAATGCTTTTGTTCATGTTTTTCGAGTAGTTTAGTATTAAAATTGCCCACATGGGGTGGCCTTAATAGCTCGGTTTTGACAAACCAATTCCATTTGCCTAATCCTTGTGCAACATTTGTTGCAAACGACTATTGCATTTTCATATGGATTTGAATGATGGCTTTAAATGGCTATTTTTGTATCAAATTAAATAAAATAAAAGAGAAATTTAATTCGCTTTTGTCATTGATAATAAATAAGAACAATTAATTAATAAGGTATTGTTGGGCGAAGCCATTGACGTTTACATGAAGCTAACAAATTAATGTGCTTATAATTAATACAATACATTTGCTTGGCAAAGCGAAAACACTGGTAAAAAAAACTTTGTAAATCCAAATACTTTGTACCTAATTAAAATATTTCCCGCTTATTTTTTTATGCATTACTGTCTTAAGTTATTTAAAATATGAATATGTTACAATTTTTTTATAGACATAGACAACATTTTGATTTTGTTTCCCACAATAACCCACTGCCTTCAATTTAATCTGTCTTACACAACAATAATATTGTAATAACTTAGCCAACGTAGTTATCAAATTCAGTGGTAGTCCGACCTGGAAAGATTCTAAACAAAAACTAACTAACAAACAAACAAACAAGCCGTTTGAAATGTTTGATTCGATTACACTGGCTTACAAATTTAAGTCAAATAAATTCTCCAGAGATCAAACCTTGATTTTCCGGTGCAGATGAAAAACAGTTCAAGAATGCATATTAATTTTTAATTTTATAGCGTATGAAAGGTTATTTTGTAATGCACATCCGCCACCGGCCCACGGGTCGGATGATCGATGCGCTGGCCTAATAAATGCATTTAAAAGTATTTGATAAAGTAAAACAAGAAAGCAAACTTCGACAAAGCGAAGTTTATATACCCCTGCAGCTATTGCTAAATTTAAATACTCTTTAAAACATCTAAATTTCGATTTATTTCCGTTTATGTTTAAAAACATTAAAGCTATAATGAATTTTAGCTAACTTATTCGATCTTTCCGATTTTAATAAAATTAAGAGCACAATTCTGAATTATTAAGCCATTACTATGTTCAAAAATATTTGTAATTTTATAAGGAAAAATTCTTTACATATATATTTATTTCATAACTCGTTTGTTCCCATGGGAGCTGTACGACATATTCGTCCGATTTAAATCAAATTAAAACAGTAATTGTGAAATAATAAAAGCATAACTATTTATCGAAACAATAATAAAAAAAAAGTTAAAAAACAGCAAAGTTTTAATTTTTTAAAATTTTTTTCCTCGAGCTATATGATATAGTCTTCCAACCCGGCTTGTTCCGACTTTCTTATAATTGCAATAGGAAACAGGAAATGCAGATAGCTTTAAAGCTGAGAGACAAGTTTGCGTATAAACGGCCGGACGGACATGACTAGAAAGATTCGCCTAGTTATGCAGATCATGAATATACCTATATAACAATGTAGTGAAATAACCCCATTACAAATGCCAAAATTGAAATTCATATCGTCCCGCCTTCGTTTGCCAGCTGTTTTTTCTTATCATTCGTTATTGTTAGAGGTGATAGTTACATGCGATAGCCCAAATATCGAGTAGACACCGAAAAAATTTGGATTTAAATTTAAATTTAAACTTATGGGTTGGAATGAATACATGGACCAATGCAATTAAAAGGCGACTTTAAATAATAATAAACCTTCATTTCATAATAAAAAAAAACTTCATTTCATAGTTGAATTCTACATTATTTATATTCTTTTTGTAAACATGAATTATTAATTAAAAGTACTGATTAGTTCACGATTAAAGTGCTGTTTTTCGTTTCGATAAAGTGTAAAATTTGAACTAGTACCATCAGTTTAAAATATTTTTTCAAATTTTCATATATTTAAAACAATTATTACTATAAAACTTTAGAATCTAGTGACTTTTGAATAGCTATAGCATGCATATGTATATATATGTATGTATGTACACTTCGCACAAAGCTTTAGTGTAAAAAGCTCTTGGCAAATGACATTGGCCGAATCAAAAGTCGGTAGATAAAACAGTGTAATCGCCATCGGGCAACCAGTTGTTTACCAAGCGTAAACGCAGGCGGAGATTAGTGGGACGGGAAAATCGGGAAGACAACACACACACACAAATCCAGAAATGGCACTCAAGTTCGCTGCGAATCTAAATTTTCTGTTCACGGAGCGGGCGGCGACGATCGCGGAACGGATCCGGCTGGCCCACCAGAGCGGATTCCGGGCCGTCGAGATCCCCTATCCGGAGGGCGAGACCGGCGACGTGGTGGCCGCCGTCAAGGACACGGGCATGGTGGTCAGCCTGGTCAACCTGGCCTTCGACAAGAGCGACGACCAGCTGCGCTTCGGCTCCACCAGTGTTCCCGGCTCAGAGCAGCTGTTCAGCCGCCAATTGGACGCCACCATCGAGTTCGCCCGCGATGTGGGCTGCGGCAAGATTCACCTGACCGCCGGGCTCCAGAAGGGCGACCGCCTGGAGAGCGACTATACGAAGACGTACACCGCCAACCTGAAAATGGCCGCCGACAGGTTAAGGGCCAGCCAGATGATTGGCGTGATAGAGCCAATCAACAAGTACGCCGTGCCCGGCTACTATATGAACTCGTACTCCAAGGCCGCCGGAGTACTGGCCGATGTGGCGGCGGACAACATCCGGCTGCTGGCCGACATCTATCACCTGCAGCATCTGCATGGCAACGTCTCCAAGACGCTCGACGAGCACAAGTCCCTCATCGGCCACTTCCAGATCGCCCAGGTGCCGCATCGCCACGAACCGGACGTTTCCGGGGAGCTCGACTACGGCTATGTCCTCAAGCTGCTCCAGCAGTTCGGCTACGACGGTTGGGTGGGCTGCGAGTACAAGCCCCAGACGACGACGGTCGATGGTCTGGGCTGGGTAGCCAAGCTGGGCTACACACTATAACCTGATCAAAGGATACTACGGACTTGCATTGCATTTACACTCATGTATTTACACTTTTTACAAACATAAAGCCGCCGGTTGAACCAATATTTTCGAAACTTTTCTAAACAACTTCAAGATGGTTAAATAAAAAGGTCATGGAAATGACCTACAACAAGCGTGGAGTAGAACAGTAGCTGCGCACACACGATTAGATAAGATTAGATAGTCGAATAGATCTACTTATTTCATCTAGCTGATCTAGCTCGGGATCACCCGCTTGGCATATTCGGCAATGTGAAGCACCCCGTGCTCCGGCGAGGCGATGTGCAGGTTGCTTCCGTTGCAGAAGACCGTGTTGATGTACGGATTATGCAGCTCGGCCACGAGGGTGGAGCAAGCTGTCGACGAGTCTCCCGTGGACTTCAGCATTTTCTGCAACGAAGAGCGATTTCAGTAAGCGATTAGTGGGGTACAAAAGGCATTACTGGTTATAACATTAGTTAGTACATTGGCATATTGTATTGTATTAATTGGACAGGAATTGCAGTTTCATTACCAACAGAATGTGGTTAAAATTTTCAAAATTACATTTGAAAGTCACATTTCAAGCTCAGTTAGTTTATAAAAATAAAGTCAGGTACTGACCTCCATAAAGTTAGGTATGCGTATAGTCGTAATATGGGCTAAATGTCAGTTAATTTCCTTTTTGAAGGTTAAATTCTAAATTACTATTCCTGATTAATAGAATTAATGCAGCTAATTGCATTGCAGCGTATTCCCATTAAATCAGATAACGGGTCGACAAATTTCTAACCTTATGTTTTTCCTAAAATATTTGCTTTTCAATTGAAAAGGATTAGAAAAAAAAGATTTTTAAATGTGCTTTACTTGAAAATAACATATCAAAAGCCCAAACCACAACATTATAAAGAGGCTTTATCTATGATGGAGGCATTATCTTTGATTTGGTTGGGTTTCGGTTCCTATCTGTTTTTTGCCACAATTTGTAGTACGAAAGGAGTGTACTATGTGTGTACAGAATACAGGTTCAAAATGTGTTACTCTTACCCCGTCATCTCTCGATTTACTTGAAATTTGATGTGTGAATATATATCCCTATAACCCCCTCACCACTCACCATCCAGAATTCGTTACCGGGCAGTGCGTTGCCGTCCCAGGCGTAGGACACAACGAGCAGCATATCGCCGTGCTCAGGGGTGGTCAGCTTCCGGGCCGGATTGCGCTTCGAATTGAGCACCCTAATGCCGCCCTTTGGATGGCCGGGAATGTCCAGCAATGCGCCGTTGCGCAGACTGCCGCAGTCGGTGATCGAGAACCAGGAGAAGTGCACGAGACCAATGTGCCCCAGCCGGCTGCCCAGCGTGCGCATGCGCTGCTCGAAGGTCTCCAGGAAGATGCGCTCCTGCTGGGCGGCCGCCTTCCACACGCCCAGACCGAAGCCCACCACATGGATGTAGGCCAGCTGGTTGACACGCTTCGCCCTCGCCTGCGCCTCCAGCAGCAGCATGTCGAAGCTGATGGCGTAGCGCCGTTTCATCACCAGATTGTCGAAGACGTCCAGCTTGTTTCGCGAGGGCCCAAAGCGCCGGTTATCAATGCTGGCCTCACCGTGCACAAGGTCCCGCGTGGCATAGAAGCCGCGCCACAGGCGCCGGTAATCCTCGGCCCGCGTGCCAGCAGGCTCATCCAATGCCATGCCGTAGCCCCTGTCGCGTGTGTTCTGCTGGCGAGCGATCACAATGTCCTGGAACTCCATGAGATTGCGCCTGGAGAGCCGGGCCCCAATCATGCCCACGATAACGCCGCTTTCCTGCAAGGTCGTGGTGTGCCGGTCAACGCGTCCGCAGTTGGTACGCTCGCCCTCGTTGACAAACTCCGTGTGGGAGCTGACGGAGAGCAGGGCGGACAGCTTGATGTCGTCGTAGCTCAGCACGTTGGCCAGCACCAGGGGCGCTGTCTCCTCCAGCGAGCCCACGGATTCGAAGCCACTGGCCCCGGTCTCGCCGCCCAGCAGCAAGTACTTGTCGTTGCGGGCAAAGAAGCTGGCGCAGCGCTTCTCCAGCAGGCGCTGCACAAAGTCGCACAGGGAGAGCGGCCGATAGATGGGCTTCTCCACGGAGTTGCCTGCATGCGGGTGGGATGTGCATCAGTTAAGACACTTAAGAGCAGGAGGAGCGAGGCGCTGTCTCACCAAAGTGACACTTGTGCTCCAGGTACTGCAGGTAGAGGCCCAAAGTGCGTTCGTGTATCAGCGGATAGGCGGAGCTCACCTGCTGGTTGATCCTGTCCAACCGCCGAGGAGATTGCTTCTTCACGCGGACACTCTCCACGCCGAACTGCAAAAACAAAAGTTGGAGTTTGAATGCGATTTTGGTCGGGTGGCTTGGCCGCACTCACCTCCAGGGGAAACTCCTCGGACTTGGCCATCAGCTTCTGCAAGTCATCATCTCCCGAAACGGGCTTAATCACCTGCCGGCAATCCTTCAGCAACTTGCGTCCGAAAGCGGACAGTGGCTGGGCATCTCCAGTGACCGCCGGCCAAACCTGGTCCACATCAGCTCCAAAGGTGGACATTGCTCGTGAGTGGTTGGTGATTGAATTGAACTGGATTGGATTTCGCGATTGTACTTAAATGGTTGCCTATGTGTGCTGAGGGCTTAGTGATTGAATTGCATTTCACCATTGTATTTAAATGGTTAGCGACGCCCCGCTCCCCCCCCCCAATCAATCGATGTTACGATAGTCCGAGACGTTCGATATATGTAAACAAATTTATTGAAGTTGGCCTTAAGGATGGGAAAACTGCAAGTTGGCAGAATATATATCGATAGCTATCGACAAATCGCTAATCTGGAAGTAAAAAGCCTGTTTTCCCCTTATAATTATTTCGGTCTGTTCTAAACAGATTTATATAAGCTTTTATTATTGAATCAAAAACATTGATGAAAACATTGCCGCAATGATAACTGCAAGTAGCTTTTCCAGAAATCTGCAATTCAACAACTTATGTGCTGTTGAAAATCAGAGTTCTCTGTGTTTTTCGATAAGCCATAGAAGCTATTAACTATCCAAGCACCTATTATTTACTGTTAATTTAAATAAGGAAGCTATTTAAGTTGTTCATAGACTTACAATTTTTTATTAAATACTTAGCAACGAAACTTAATATTAAAAATTAGTTTACCCTGCAGGTAAGCTTTTAAAATAGTCAACAATAAATTTTAGCTCGTTGTTTAATGCGATTATTGTTTCTACACTAAAGTAGGAATAGTCAAAATTGCTCCATTAAATAAAATAATGTCGAAGTTAAAGTCTGGAAAGCCCGGTTTTGTTATCTGCCAAAATATTAGCTTTATCAAAAAATATTTTTAAAAAATTTGTAGATTTAGTTGAAATACGCTTTTAATACAGGGTGATGTTTTAATTATAACAATAAAATCTTTTTAAATGATCAGAAGTCGGAGCTAAATATTCTCTCACCTCGTCTGGCAACGCCATGAAATTGAATAAATCCCGAAATCTGCTAGTGTGACCGTCCGCTAGTGGCGGGAAAAGGCATGGTGACACATCCACTCAATGTCGTATTCCAGCAGCGGTCGCCTTCGGTCTCACTAAACCCTAAGCACGGTTCCCGGTTGCCAAAAGAAATTAATGTGCATTTTATTTACGAAAACGCGAGCACGAGAGCCGAGCCACCAGCAAAAGGATTGTCGAGAAAGACCGCCATTGCGCTGAGTAAGTAGCGTTGACCGGAAAACAGCCGAGAAAGCGTCGAAAAGCGTCGAAAAGCACGGCAGACGGTGGAAATTGCGCGCGGAAAAAAAACTAGCGACAAGCCACACGGACACACACACACGCACACACATACCTACCTACCATGCACCCGCACAAAGCCGACGCACACAAACGCACAAAAATCGCACGCAGAAACCGAAACACAAACAAAAACGACGCTCTAGTCGACTTTAATATACACTTCTTATATTTATTCACTTGCTTCAAGGTTTCATAAAAACCTTATTATTACGAATTAGGAAAAAAAGGAGAATGAATAACTATGACTTACCCCATGCACTGTTGTAAAATATCAAGCCTACTTACCTAGTGACCCGACTATGAAATACCCTAGAATCTGCTCTTCCACAAAATACGTAGCCTACAAATTTAATAAAACCTAAAAAACCAAATTTTTCCGGTTTTTAGGGTCATGACCAAACATCTCTGGCTCTAATTTTTCCCCAGATCTCAACTTTTACAGGGACATACTGACATGGGTATGGCTAGATATACTCGGCTGTTGTGTGTTTCATGAGTAGTCAAAGTTTTCTAAAGTAATACGTCCATCAAAGTCTCGATTTCGCATCGTAGATCTAGCCATTTAGACTTTTGGAAGTATATAAGTTGTATTTGATAGGCTGTTTAAAATACCTTATTTGATATACTTCAACAAGTGGCAAATGCTGTACACAAAAGTTCATCATAAGCAATATCCTCCAATACATTTTCAGAAAGTCACACGAAAGTATTTCATTACAGATATATTTTTTTATTTATTTATTGTATATGATAGCATAGTTTACAAAACTAAGGCCAACACCAATAGACATTCGACTTTGGTTGATATAAACTTAGTTTATAGTTAGCCAAGTAACGTGTGTGTGTTTTTAGCGGATAGACGGAACAAGAATGTCTCTTTCTCCTCCTGTTGAGCACTTCTGCACGTATATCCCTTTTGTCCTGCTTTTGACATAATCTTATTGTTCTGGCTTGTTTGTTTCGTTTCCTTTCATTTCGAACCACCTTAGCCCGGTGAACGACGAACGACGCTGTCCCTCCGCCCAGTCAACGCCTGCAGTCCGATTCACCGCTTTCCCGTTGCCTCGGCTGCCGCCATCCTCCGGGTGAAGATGTCCGACTACAGCGACCTGGACCGCCAGATCGAGCAGCTGAAGCGCTGCGAGATCATCAAGGAGAACGAGGTTAAGGCCCTGTGCGCGAAGGCCCGCGAGATCCTGGTGGAGGAGGGCAATGTGCAGCGTGTGGATTCGCCGGTGACCGTGTGCGGCGACATCCACGGCCAGTTCTACGACCTGAAGGAGCTCTTCAAGGTGGGCGGCGATGTGCCCGAGAAGAACTATCTGTTCATGGGCGACTTTGTGGACCGCGGCTACTACAGCGTGGAGACATTCCTCCTTCTGCTGGCGCTGAAGGTGCGCTATCCGGACCGCATTACGCTGATCCGCGGCAACCATGAGTCGCGCCAGATCACCCAGGTGTATGGCTTCTACGACGAGTGCCTTCGCAAGTACGGCTCGACGGCCGTGTGGCGCTACTGCACGGAGATCTTCGACTACCTCAGCCTGTCTGCCATTATCGACGGCAAGATATTCTGCGTGCACGGCGGCCTGTCGCCGTCGATCCAGTACCTGGACCAGATTCGCAGCATCGACCGCAAGCAGGAGGTGCCGCACGACGGGCCCATGTGCGACCTGCTCTGGAGCGATCCGGAGGACCAGACCGGCTGGGGCGTCTCGCCGCGCGGCGCTGGCTATCTGTTCGGGTCGGATGTGGTCTCCCAGTTCAACCGCACCAACGAGATCGACATGATTTGCCGTGCGCATCAGCTGGTGATGGAGGGCTTCAAGTGGCACTTCAACGAAACCGTCCTGACCGTCTGGTCGGCGCCAAACTACTGCTATCGGTGAGTAATCCGCCATGCTCGAAATGCTCGAATTGCCTTACTAACTTCTTGTCCTGCTCTTGCACATGCAGCTGCGGCAATGTGGCTGCCATCTTGGAGCTGAATGAGTACCTGCACCGCGACTTCGTCATCTTCGAGGCGGCTCCGCAGGAGAGTCGCGGCATACCCTCCAAGAAGCCCCAGGCGGACTACTTCCTCTAAGACGAGCAGAACAGTTCGGCGACTTCCCGCTGCTGCTCCCCTGACAATCGGCTCGAATGGACGCGGGGCGGGTGGTGGGTGGCGGGTGCCCACGGGTGGCTGACGCAAATCGTTTAGGGTAAAATTCAACTGCCAGCCTGCCTAAGCAAAGCACACACGAACCGCAACTGCATGTGCTAGAGAACAACTGTAACATAAACATAAAGTAAGCTAAGATATCAAACTGGCGGCGGCGGGCAACAACAGACTGCATGTGCACCCCAAGCAGCCGGACACAGATCCGCATTCAGTTCGCGTTCAGATCTACTTAGTTTCCCAAGAACTACTTAGATATCTTTTTTTTTTTTTTACCATCTGTTTACCTGTATCTGTTTCATTTGGAGACTTGTGCTGTTACGTGCTCGTGGAAGTCATCTGGTTTGTGAAGAGATCAATAGTATGGGCCGCGTATGAAACCTGCGCATTGCATCTAGCTACTAAATAATAGGATTAATACCCCCTTGTCCGCGACTCCTGCCAATTCGCCTGGCGCAGACGGTTAGCAAACACACCCGCCACAGTCGTCTGCTCGACGCGAATTCCCTGAGATCGGGCACCTTACTATACATATAGATGTAGGTTAACGCATTAAGCCATCTTGACCGACAAAATGCATAAAGTCGGCAAGTCGGCAGAGTTAGGGATGGAAGCAAATGTTCAAAGACGTCATTAAGTTCATTGATTGGAAAAAGACTTTGCATGCCTGAAACGGAATTTCTCAGCCGGCAAACAGTTGGAGAAAGACAGATACGAAAAAAAAGGAGTAGTAGTTCGTAGCATGTAAGAAACGAGTTTTAAGTACGCCCCAGATTGGGATATTATATAAAAATAACTATTATTAAAATAAAGATAATAAGCACGACGTCGAGTCAGTACTGCATACATTTTGGAACCTTTTAGAGCCGCAAGAATCCTGCGATTCTACGCCAAAACATTAGCACGCTAAGCATCTATGAAAGATATGTGCTAAATATATTCCTGCATATTTTGAATAATTACTTTATCCCATGAAACTAAGTCTAGCATATGTCCTTCCCAATACATTCCCTTTCACAATCCAATATCCGTTTTCTTTTGCAGTTTCTCAGTTTATTGGGAACTTAAACTCTAGTCATAGTATACACATAACAAAAATAATGGTTATATTCCAGTTAGGGCGCTTGTGCTTCTGTATCGGGTTCATTATTGGTCTCAGATCTGTTTTCAGTGGTCCTCCAGCTCGAGTCCGTGCTCCTTTATTTGCTCGTAGATGCAGTCTTCAAAGGCGGCGGCAGCATCACAACTGGGAAAAGTATGCATAAGTAAAGGATGAATGGATGATGAGCCGGAGACGGTACTCACTGGTCAGGGGGTGTCTCGATGCCCTCGCACTTGGCCACCACGTCGGCGGGGGCGTCCTCCTTCTCGGCATCATGCTTGCTCATGGCCTTGACCATCTGCACGGCATTCTCCTTGTTCACCTTGCCGGCCTCATCCATCTGCAAATACAAACAAGGAGCTGGTAAGCAAAGTAATAAGGTAATTGCTCGCGTTTTTAGCACTTACGATCTGGAACTTCTTCAACACGCAGGCGCGCAGGCACTTGGCCTCGTGACTTTCGGGAGCCACATGCTTCATTAGCTGCTCCACATCCTCTGAGATCACACAGAAAAAAAAAACGACGATATTATATCAAACATATATGTTTATGCCCTTGATAATGTCAGTCAAAAGTTTGCAACTATTAGTTGTATATATTTTCTTGTTAAGCATCAATAGGAAAGTCGATCATGACAACTAGTCTTTCAGTTTTCAAGCTATCTGGATGAAACTTTCCCAAAAGTCATATTTCTAATGCAAACAGCACATAAGACAGAATCGGACGACTATATCATATAACTGCCATAGAAACAAATGGAAAAATACATGCAAAAAATGATAACTTCTCTGTTTTTCAAGATAAACAAACACACTTCGAGATGGAATGGTAAGTGATGGCTTACTATTTCAGAACAAAAGTTTTATTATTTTTATTAAGTCGAGCAACGTTACCAGGGAACGATCGAAAAATGTTGTTTATATACAACTATTGTAGACGTTTGTTTATGAGTTTTATTTGCTTCACATCTCACAACAGTAAAATGATGGGTCCGCTTTTCGAGAGACAACAAAAAAGTATAAATTCTGAGTATACAAAAAACCTATTGGCAAGTGTAATGTTACCTAATGCTGAAGATAAAATACCCTTGCTTGCTATAATAAAAGTTTTTAGCAAACTTTTGAAGATCAAAAAATTGTGGTTAGTAATGGTCAAACCAATTTGCCGACTCTAAATCGTTCGAAAACTTTTGAGCAGATTTTATTACACAAAAGTGAAAAAGTTTTCATTTTTAATTAGAAAATGCAAAATTAGAGAAAGACTCTTAAGAAAAACAAAACTATGGAGGTATATTGAAAATTAAAAACTTAAAAATTATTTTATTAATATTAAGAAGTTTTAGACGCTGTACTTATTTTTTTAATCCAGGGAAATGAGTGCTTAGCTCACAATTTCGAGCAAAGCTAAGATGTCAGAGGTTATTCCAAATTAATTTTATACCCGTTACACGTAGAGTGAAAGAGTTTGGGAAGAGTTTAAATTTAATAATTTATATTGTTTTATTTAATAGCTGCCAAAAAAAAAATGGAAAATTGCCAAGGAAAATCGACATTATACCTTATATTATGTATATGCACAAAGCTCGGGATATCAGAATGTCGTTCAAAAAAAAGGCATTTCACATTTTACATTTTAATTTTATAAAAAAAATATCAAAAATAGCCTGCATATGAACAGATGAAAAATGAAAAACCGTCTCGAAATATTCCTTTGTATGGGATGTGTAGCAAATAAATAGCAAATGCGGTATCATATCCAGTTTTCTCTCTGTGGAAGTGGCAAGTGGCTACTCCGTACTCACCATCGGTGGCGCCCGTCTCCGCCTTGCACTCGTTGGCCAGCTGGGTGGCATGCTCCCGGGTCATCCCCTCTTGCGGCTTGGCAAGGGTGGTTCCCAGGCACACGAGTCCCAGGAGCAGCATTACGGACAGATTGAATAGACGCGACATTTCGACTTGCGATTTGCTGTTTGCTATTTGCGAGTTGCGATTGGCGATTGAACTGCGCTACGTACGAACTCTGAATTGGATGCGAAACGCTGGCGACGCCCTCGTTTTATAGGAGAAGTTGGCTAAGGCAAAGTCCCGTGATTGATTTGGCAGATCAGATCGATCTCTAGCCGCGTCTCAAGCACCTCCGGCAATTACTCGCAATTATGAACTATATGGGCATATACGGGACCCGCCGGAGATGCCCTCGACTGGGCATCGTGTGACCAAATGACACGACACCTCACTACACCTCACTCCACTCCACTTCACTCCACTCAATTCCGCTGGACGTGATCGGATCGGATGGGAGCTGACGTGGTGGGAACTGGGAACTGGGATCTCCACTTTACCCCCTTAATTGGTGACTGGCATGAAATCACACACCGGGTCGGGTCCATTGGAAATGAAAATGCAAAATGCAAAATACAAAATACAAAATGCAAAATGCAAAATCCCGCTCGTAATTAAACCGATCAACAGCTCTGGGTGAGAGATGAGTGATTGTGACTGGCGGGGCCATCCAATATCATCTATTATATTATTAGACTATCCCCCTGCGTTTTGGAATCTCGCCCTCACATTCACAGGCAGGCGGCCACGCAAATTGGTCGTTTAGGCCATAATATACCCTTGATCACTCAACTTCCCAGTCAGTTTGGCTGTGATAAATCGCTTGCTCGCAATCTGCATTTCATGTTCGCTTTTTCACCGAGTGGAAATTTCAGTGCACGCAATCTCAATGTAGATCGAAACAGCTGAAATTGGATTATCGTGTTGGCATCTTGCATGCTTAGTTTTAAATTTTCAAATGCTTTTGTGTTGAAGAACTGTTACCACACTGCGATACTATTTTTTTGAGTTTCAATCTTAGTTCGAATAAGAAACAAGCACATCAATAAATTTTAATTTAAAGTTCCAAACTGGTTGAAGATTGTTATCGTGAAAATGTGACTCCGTTTTCTTGTAGTTTAAAAAAAACCCTTATTATGAATTTTATTTGTATTTATTTTTGGCATAAACGAAGTATCAAAAAAAGGAATTCAAAAGTTTAAAAATATAAGACTATAAAAATCAGTTTTATTTACAATGTTTTATTATTCTATAATAATAATATTAATTCAATCAATATTTATGATTTAAGCTTACATATTAATAATCTTTTTTTTATTATATTTTTTTTTAATTATTTGATTAAAACTTTTAAAAAATACTTTTTCCAAAGGCCGTCAATGTCAGTGTAATGACCAATTCAGGTGATGCTTTTTTGCTCATAAATGTTCGATAAAATCATGCATCAATTTAAAACATATTCTGAACATCATATTATTCGCCTCTTTTGGATATAGTTTTTATGACTTAAGTTTGTCCAGTCAGGATTTCAGACTATATTTATATTTCAGAAGCAACCGGAAGAATAGGGAGTTTTAAGATGACGTTTGATTAATTTCGAATATAGGAATATACATATTCCTTATTGTCATATTTAACTTAAATAAAGTGCATTTAAATCAAATAGGTACACTACTATTCTAAATCTAACATGCATGCAAATCATGCAATTTAATATGCATTGTATTTAACATTATGATTCAATATTAATAATAATTTTGAATTTAATATTCAGATATTTTTCTACTATTCAATTTCTTTATCAGTGCACCTTGTGACTTGTTCTGCTGCAATTTTTTAAATGTTCATTATTTTATCATTATTTTTTTGTAATTTAAAGCGCAGATGCCTTGTTACACAAATTAATCACCACGTCAGCGTTGTGAAAAATTTGATTCTAACGTTATTAAATGGCATTTTTATAATTTTTTAAAAACAATAACTGATGAACGGTTACGTGTTTTAACAAAATTTAACGTATTTTTAAAATACAATACAATTTAAAATTGAAGGCCAAAGAGTTGCACTTGGCCGTGTTCTTGAAAAATTCAGAAAACATTTCCGATTGGTTTTTGAAGTTCATTGAACTCAATTTGTTGGCAAATTTGGCACACAAAAAGCTGTTAGAACAGTATAGCCTCATAAATCTACATTGTTGAAGTTACCCAGTGTAGTTTGCATTAAAATTTTGCATTATTTCTATATCAAAGGTTAATATAATTCCGCTGCCCAGAGAAAACTTATACACGTTTTGTGTAATGCGCGTCTTTGGCACTGAGAACAATGAACTTGACGATGAAAAATCGCGTATCGTCAGCAAAATCACTGCGAGAAAAAATAATTGCGAAGGTGAGGTTGTGTGGCCCACTCTCTATTTAAGCCAAGAACTAGAGCCACAACCAGTGCAGATCCAAAGAACAAGCTGACGCGATGATGAAACTACCGAACATTCAGATGATTACCATCGTGGTCGGCGTTCTGCTGCCGATGCAGTGCATCCTTGTCCATGGCCAGAACACGGCCTTCGATCTCACCAAGCTGCTGCCCAAGACCGGAACGGAGCCCGTCTGGTCGGTGATAGATCGCAACCTGCCGCAGGTCCAGGAGATGATCACCACCGCCAGGATGGGGTGCATCGAGAAGCTCGGCCTGCCCAAGGACCAGCGACCGCTGATGAAGGTGACCAATCCCAGCGAGAAGGAGAAGTGCCTGGCGGAGTGCGTGCTCAAGAAGATCCAGCTGGTGAGTGGTCTACCGCATTGGGGGATATATAAGTAGGCCTAAACACACTAAATTGCCCACCCGCAGATGGACGAGAACAACAAGCTGAACCTGAGCCAGGTGGAGAAGCTGACCAGTCTGGTGACCCAGGACAACAAGATGGCCATTGCCATCAGCTGCAGCATGGCCCAGTCCTGCAACCGCAGCAGCTCCTCCAAGAGCGCCTGCGAGGCAGCCCACTTCTTTAACCAGTGCATCGGTCGCCAGCTGGAGCACAGCAAAGTGAAGCTGATCTGGTAGATGCGTAGAATAGGCCTCCTTGAGATAGGTTCCATCTCCAACTACTCCAAGTAGTCATTAGTGGTTCCAACAAAACTGCACATTTTACCGAAGTGTAGAACTACACTGATATTTCTAAACAATTGAAAGCTAAGCTTCTTCCAATGCGATAATCAGCATTTGTAGTAAGTCAATGTACTTCATAGTCAATTTGAATATTTTTCACTTCGAGATTCTTCCATTGCGGTTTTTGATTATTTTAAATATGAAAATACTACATATTTTTTAATAGTTAATTTTGACTGTTTTTGGAATAGCATTTTTTTATATCTGATATATTTAAATATAAATAGGACCTATATTAAAACTAATATTTTCCACAATATTTCAAATATTTCAATATTAAACGTATTTAATAATATGATTATTTAGTTTTACTTTTATATGAAATATACTATTTTGAACTCAAAAGCCAGATAATTACTTTTATTATTCCATTACTTTACGAGTGTAACTGATGTAAGTTATTTTGTACGTCAATCAATTCTTATTCACTGCCTTAAATTGTAAAAGTTTTAATAGCTTATCCAAATCTTTAGCACTTGTGTTAGAAAATCAAAACAATTAAAGAACTACATAGCTTTTGAGTTTGCCAGTTTATTTTCAAAAATAAAATTAGTACTTCCAATTAATTACGTTAATGCACATGATACCATCCCAGAGCCCCATAACCATTCAATATTTCGTTAGTTGGGCGCTTTATTTGTGTCGGGAACCACTCAAAGTTCTCGATTTGTTTCTAATTAAATTAAATTGAACTGTACTAACACAAAAAAAAAATTAATGGAGAACTGGTAATGGGCGGCGGCCTGCTCAATATCCTCATTCCTTGAGATCAGGAATCTTAAAGCCAGAGGCGCGCATCTCGCGGAGCATGCACATGGCGATCCCATGGGCGGCCTCACACCTAAATCAGGAATACACAGATACAACATTTGGATGAGACATTGTTAAGATTTTTTATCAAATATATTTGTATAATCAGTAAATTTCTGAAATTACTAAAATTAAGTGAAACAAGAAAAAAAAAATGAAAAGAAACTTTCTCAAGTTGAAGTTTTTATACCCTGGCAGTAATTACAGAAATAAAATGATTCGATTTAAGTTTTTCTATTTCATTTCATTTCATTTTTTTATGATAGCTTTTTGACTTCGATGTCCAATTTTAACAAATTTATATTTAAATAATTGTAGAAATGGAAAACCTGCTATAAAAAAAAGTTTTTGGGAGGTTCATCCGGATAGCTTTAAAACTGATAGACTAGTTTCCTTAGAAACGGATGATGCTGATCATGAATATATATAGTTTAAAAAATTATAAAAAAGTATAAAAAGACAGTTAACGCGTAAAAAAGTGAAAATAAAAAGTGAAGTGAAAAAATGTCCAAGAAATCTCTTATTATTTTCGAAACGGTGGCGTTTAAAAACGTTTCAAAACTTTAGTCTTTGCTGTGTTAAGCAGTAAAAGTTGTAATAAAAACTTTGAATAGATTTGTCTTGAGATTTGTCCGCAATTCGGTGTGTGAAGTGATTTCTTGGACACCTGTGGATCTCGAACTCACTTGTCCTTCTCCGCCTTCAGCTGCTCGTTGCAGCTCTTGACGATGCGCCGGCCATCGTCCTCGCGATCCGGGAACATCATGTTGACCATCTCGAGGGTCTTGTCCTCGTTGAACTGCAGCTGGCCCTCGGGCATCAGCTCGAACTGCTCCAGCATGCAGTGGCGGAAGCACTTGGTCTCGTGCTTGGCGTCCTCCTTGTTCAGCACCATCTCTACGATGTGCTCTGTTGGCATATTGGCATAGTGGCATAGCAACGAGGATTAGAATGGGATGGGTTGCTCTGCAAGATGGCACTTACCCCTCAGAGGCTTGGGCGTACACCCATCGCTGAAGGGCTCGATCAGCTCCACCACCTCGTCCACGGTCATGGACGGCTCCTCGTCGTCGGCCGCCACCGATCCCAGTAGCAGTGCGGTGCAGGCCAGTGCCAGCAGAAGGTTCGTCGTCCGGTTGATTTGCATCATTATCGCTTCTCTTGTGGAAAGTGGTCGGACCAACGATCGACGCCGGACCATTTATACCCGCCGTAGTCGTGTCCGGCACATCCGGTACAAGCAAATCGCCTCGCTTGTAGATCACCCATCGATAGCCATGACATTGCTGAGGCGAGTCATGCAACCCACCAAGCTACCAAGCCTCTAAGCCACCTGATCACCCACTTCCACCCATTCATCCATCATCCATTGCAGTCCAATCAAAACGCTCCACAATAGGTATATGCCGGTTCAACCTTTATTGATCGAGTGCTTTCAATGGGACCTTATCTGCTTTAACTGCTGATCTGATATGATTTATCTGATTCATCTATTGTGTTCGGCCAGGGGGATGGTATCCGATTTCCTAGGGAAACACGAACACCTTGATGTTGCTCTTGAGGCAAGAGAGCAGGGCGTAGGCGGGATCGCAGTTGGGGGCGTTCTTCAGGCCCACGGTGGAGTCCTTGCACAGGCTGATGCCCTTGCGGTACTCCTCCTTGTAGCTGTCCGGCAGCAGGATGTCCATCTGCTTGAGGGTCGCCTCCACCTGGAACTTACCCTTCTTGATCTAAAAAAAAGGGATTGCAACAGAAAATGTTTGTAGAACAATGGTTGCATGTCGGTGGAAATGGCGGCTAGTTTTGAATTATGGGATTACCGATTTAAAATAACTACAGACAACTTTCCATGTGATAAATCCAGATATGGTTGTTTTTTAGAAAATTAAGAGAGTTTTTTAATTGTTTGGGCTAATAGAAAGCAATCTGGCCTGTAACTGTACATAAACAAGAAAGAAAGAAAACTTCAGCAAGTCCGATTAAAAAAATTTCTATTCTATCGAAGTAATTAAAATCGAAGTATATTCAAACCAATTGAAAAACATTTATTTTTTGTATTTTTCTGATTGTCACAATAAGATTTTAATAAAATATAAGCCGTTTCATGCAGATAGCTTAAAAACTGAGACTCTAGTTTGGGTAGAAACGGACAGAGGGGAGGACAGACAAACGGACATACGAACATGGCTGGATCAGTGACATATATATTTTATAAAGTTTGGAAATGTATACTTCTGTGCGTGGCAAACTGCTGACCAAAATTATTGTATGTACCCAAAGGTAAAAAAATGTATACCTTGGTTTCATTACAATAAAACTTATTGAAAAAAGAATATTATGGTTCTGCCAATCTTTGATTCTTGTTTTGAAGAATAACAACTTTGAAAGTGTTTTTCTTTTTTGAAACTCTAAAATTCCATCTAGCATTGGTGAAATCATTGTGGCCTCGAACTCGACACTCACCGCCTGCATCATTTCCAGGATGCAATTGATATAGCAGTTGGTGTCCTTGCTGTTGGGAATATTTCCGTTGCGAATATTGTCGGCTATCTCCTCGCTGACCTTGGGATACTTGGGCAGGCAGACGTCGCGGGTCAGTTTTCCGGCGGACCGCATCTGCTCCTCCGTCACCTGGAAGAGGTAAGAGCCAGTGGGGTATCCTGAGGACAGTCTTTGCCATTTGGCAGGGAGCTTTAACACCTACCCCTGCCTTCGATCCGGGCAGCAAGGCCATGGATATGGCCACACAGATCAGCAGCAAAGGGAACTTCATTGCCGAGACGAGACAAGACGATAGGCGATATGATGCCACTCCCGACTCCTTTTATATGCGCGACTGCCAACATGCAAATGACTTCATACTGAATTGAGCCTTATGGCACACATCGATCGAACCGCAAAGTATGGCTTAGTCCCAGTCCCATTTCAATATTGCTATAATCTTGCCACACTAATTGACAGTTCGGTGTTGGGTCAGCCACCGTGCGAGGTGACATGCGAGATGCGTTCACAATCACATTGCTACGCCACACCTTCCCACTGTTTTCGATCATGCAAATGCCAATGCAAATGCAAATGCAAATGGAAGCAAGATATCAGCTGAGAACTATTGGGGCGGTTCCCGAAAGCAAGTAAAAGCCATATAGACGAGTGCCTCGATAACAAGGTACCCGGTTCCGAACCGAAATTATCAGAACATGTTTCTATAGACCCTTTTGTATACCTATATTTTGTGAAAACATCTTAGTTTTAAATTTGCATATCTAAATAAAACTTTGCATACATGATGTCTAATGAAAACGATCAAAATTAACAGAAAAACCGAAATAAAATACTTTACCTGTAGTATAAAGCTTCCACAAGATCATCGGCAAAATTATAGGAAATTGTTCCTAACTTTATTGTTTTACAATTATAGCCGAATTAACCAGATAGTAACTTATACTTACCCAGAATGGCTGTTAAGCTCACATTCTGATTAATTTTCATTTTAAATATTTGTACATGCAATTGCCAAAGAAGGTTTTAAGCTAAGAAGAAATAATTAAAAACCTAGTTTAAGCTTACCAAGGGTACGAGAACCTCATCCTTTGGGAACCGGATCAAGCTGGCTAATTCTCAGAAACTAGATACTTTTTAATCTACCCCTTTTGCCTTAGAGTACTGGGTATAAAAATAAGTAGATTATATACCTTTTAAATTAGTTGCAAGTGGGTATTTATATGGCAAATGTATTTCATTTGTGCATTTTGTGCGACTGATGACGTTGAAAATAGTATTGCGTGTGGCATGAACAAAAATGCTATTCACTCAAACCGATCATAGGTTATCTTAGGTTGGGCGGTGGTGGGTGGATAAAGTCAACCACCCAATTGAGCCTAAAGAGACTCTTTCTGTTAGGCCAAAGAAAGGAGAACCTGCCCAAAAAAATAATTACAATTTAAAGTTTGTAGGTTGATTTTGAGTCAGGGAAGGCCTTGTCAAGCGTTTGGCACTGATTCAATGTGACTTTACTTAAATTCAGTTTTAAGGCACAGTCTCAAACGAAATCAGGTCAAAAAGAGAGGTGCTATCCAAATTTCAATCTTTTGCCCCCATTGTGTGTGGAATCCAATTCAAAGACGCCAATATGTCCGAGCAGTTCAACTTTAACGACGCCTTTAATAGCCAAACCATGCGAGGCCGCGCCAATGTAAGTGACCAGTGACCAGTGACCTTGAACCTGATAGGTTACAGCACTCTGTCCCTTCCATTTCCACTTCCACTTCCACCTGGAAACCCACAGGTAGCCAAGGCCACCTGGGCTTCGGTGGGCTTGGTCTACGTCCTGGTCAAGATGCACAAGCGCCAATCGAAGCGTCGCGAGACGAAGCTCTACTGCAAGGGCTGCCAGCAGGCAATGCTGCACGGCTAGGGGTCATACACCCGTATTCTCGTTTCCGTACACCCGTATCAAGTATCAATTATCAAGAATCCCGTAATCAGCCCCTCAGTTCCCAGTGCTGTAGTTCAAAACTCGTGTTCTTTGTCGAGTCAATAAACTTCGGATCTTGGCAACCAGTATTTGGGAAAGGTAACAGTTTTTTTTTGGAATCTAGGTAAGGTACAAGATTTCACTTTATTTGCGAGAAAAAATACATTGATAAGGTAACAGATTATTTAGGTACCTAGGAAGGGTAAAAGTGCTCTAGTTCAAAGCTTTGTACTTTGTCGAGTCAATGAACTTTGGATCTTGACAATTGTTTTTTGGATCTAGGTAAAGTACAGGATTTCAATACCTAGGTAATGTACAAGGTTCTCAATTATTTAAATATTTATTTCGGATCCTGACATCCAGTATTGGGAAAGGTAAAAGTTTTTTGTATGTAGGTAAGGTACAAGATCAGACCCCATTTGCGAGACTAAATACCAGATAAAGGTACACGGTTATTTAGGTATCTAGGTAAGGTAAAAGTGCTCTAGTTCAAAACTTTGACCAGTTTTTTGGACCTTGGTACGGTGCATCGTTTGACTATATTTGCGAGAGTAAAGACATAGGTAGGGTACAAGGTACACAATTATTTAAGTATATAATAAGTAATTGGGTGGTAAGCAAGTTGAATTTGAAATATATTTTATGTCTATTTTGCATAGTCAATGTGATGTAAAAAATTTCAGTACCTACCTTAAAACTTAGCACGTATTCTTCCTAGGGTATATAGAAATCAGTAACTAATTCAGCTAAATTATAGCAACACATATCTTTACATGGGTAAGGTATAAAGTACCACAGCTTGTTACCTAGGTATTTCCAGATTTTTGACTCGAGTAGGCTGGGCAAAAGTCTTCGTCCCTTGTCATTCCATTCGATTAGGCCTCGCTCGAAAACAGCACACACACCTTGAAGGCGACCTAATCCCAGATCCCCAGTTCTCAGATACCCAAATACCTAGATACCCAGTTCCCAGACGATGGCTGACGGCTTCAAGAAGTACTTCAATGGGACAACTATCAATGGGCGAGCAAACGTAAGCACATAATTTAATGTTAAACCCTTTCGGTTTTGGTACTATCATATAATGTTGCGCAGTATTAACTTAAATCAGTTAAGTTAAAGCACGAATATATGATACGATTTAGTTCAGATCCTATTGCATTTCGTTTTGTTTTCATCGCTAATACAAATTAATTTTCAACTGAATTTAAACTAAAAGAAAAATTGCATACTATAATTATAGTTACTTCTGAAATGTTTTCTAAATTGCAAACAAAAATTGCTTTAAAAAAGTATCGAAAGTGAGTAAACACCAGAATTGGCTTTGTTGTAAAGTACTTAAAAGTTGGATGGTATGGCTATGGTAACCCTTGACCTTGAAACCCACTTCCCCCCCCCATTCTCCAGGTGGCCAAGGCCACATACGGCACGATAGCTCTGCTGTACGTCATATACCGCTTGCGCCGCGGATCTGGGAAGTCCTCCGGTGAGTTGGCCAGCGGGAAGTGCAGCTGCGAGTCGGACCACGAGGCGCCACTGAATGGCGACATCGGCGTCTATGGCGTGGATCCCGACTGCTCCGTTTGCCGGGAGCGTTCGGAGCGGGCGATGACCGAGTACGATCGGGAGCAGCAGCGCCGTTCGGCGGGCCACGATGAGGACGGCTGCCGCGACGACCCGCCTCCGCCGCCGCCACCTTCATCTGGCGGATCCGGAGGAGCAGGATCAGCTTCACCGCGCAGCAAGTGTCCCTGCGAGGAGAGCCCGCGTCCGACCAGCCAGCTGATGGGCCAGGTGCACGACACCTTCTACCGGGTGCTGCGTGGAGTCGTTGGTGCCGTCTTGGGCACTGCGGCGGTCAGCACCAGCGGGAGCGGAAGCGGTACCGCTAACGGTTCCCCGGCAGCAGCTCAGTTCGAGGAAGATGAGGGGGAGGAGGAGGAACGCCACGAGTACGTGAATGAGACGCCGCTTAATCGCCGCTCCGCCCCGCGCTTTTGCCTGGCCACCACCAACAGGAACAACAACAGGAACAGCAACAACAACAGCCAATGCCAGGAGAACGCCTCGGAACGCCAGCCGGAGGAGGCAGCCCGGGAAAAGGCAGAGGCCCAGCCAGAGGATCAGCCGGAGTACAGCGCCTTCAGCGACGGCTTCGCCTCCGGCCTGTTCTTCACCAGCGACGAGAAGTGAGCGGCGATCGGTGAGAGAAGGGAACCCCGTCTTCGGACCAGTTTCCTTTGGGGATCTTCCAAATTCTTAGTTGAAAATAAATAAACTTTTAAAATGCCGAAAAAATGGGCTAAACAAATTTTATTTTTGTCTTCAAGTCGACGCCGTTTTGTTATTTTAAATTATTTTTTTTTTAAGTTGTCAACCTGATAACGGCATCTTTACTAAGGAAGAATTTATTTGATTTTTTTAATCCGATCTCTACAACCATTTTTTCTATTTCATAAAATAATATTGGTATTAAAAAAAGTCATTTTCCGCTTTTCCTCTATACTCGAACAGATCAAAGTGTTATGCCAAGTATCTAGACCGAAAATTGATATGGAATTTCCTCAAAACGAGTAGCATTTCTTATCACTTTTTTTTCTATGTGGCTCTCCCAGTAAGGCTATTTCGCCACTAGGTAAAATCCATCAACTGCACTGATAAGAAAATAGCGTAGTAAAAATAAATATTTGGCTATTGAATCCAACTATAAAATGTTTCATATTTTTTTTACTAAAATTTTAAGTTTATGTGGAAAATAAATGGATATATTAAAATATGTTTATCCGTTTTCTTTTATTTATCTCAATGTTTTTTTAGTGGCGAATGTACCGTTGTTATATTATTTTACCATAGCAATTCTAATTTCAGTTCCTACCGCATCAAATGACACAACAAAATTTGAATAGAAATATGAATTTTATTGACAAAATTAGCTTTGCAAAAAATCCTGGCGGAATAGCACCTCTCCCCTAAATAATTAGGGTTTAAACCTTTTAAACTTAATCGTTATCTTTAAATTAAAAATACCAAAAAACGATGTATATTGGTTTTTATAATATTTTATTTAGCTTCAGTTTAGTTTAGTTCAGATAGAGTTTTTCTTTGCGGCGCCTTGTGGGCGCATCCAACTTTTGAATAATTTATCATTAGCCCTTTTGTGTTTTTCGGGGTTATCAATATCAATTAGCTTATTAACTGTTTTGGGCTGGATTTGGATTCGGATTTGGGGTATATGGGAATGGATTGTTTGGATTGGATTGGATTGCGTCTAACGTTTAAGCCTTGTGTATAATTATGAGTGGACTTCAACTAACATTTATATTTAAATTTATATGTATATATATATATATATATAATATAATATGGAAATAACTTTAACGCTTTGCTTTTTGGTTTCATTACGCGATCGTACGATCGTTATTCCTTTCTCTCTCTCTCTCTTTTAGATGCCGTCTCTTTCGCTCGATTCGTCGTCTTGCTCAGATTCAAGTGCTAATTTAAAATATATGTTTATACGTGTATATATGTGTACGTGTGGCGTTTGTGGGTTTAACTTGAAGGCTTCGTGTGTCCTAGTGGTGAGGATCATAAGGATCAGCTGGGAGATTCATTCGATCCCCGCCCCGATCCTTTGCTGTATTTGTTCGGGTATTCGCTTGTTCAGCTTGTTCAGTTTGGGTCAGTTTGGGCTGGTTGGACAGTGCTTCTGGTACTGGCTCTGGTACTGACTCCGGTTGTGATTCAAATTCAGCCCTCATGGCTGGCCACCGACTCCAGATCGCTGTTGTCCTCGCTGCCGGTCGCCTCGGTGGGTTCGCCCATGGCCACGCGTGCGTACTCGTCCGTGTCGATGCTCTTGCAGAAGTGGATGGCATACTTGAGCTTCTCCAGCAGCACGGCCTGCAAGTCAGGTGTTTCAATTCGCATTAATAAAATCTTCATGAATCACTGTCGAGTTGGTCTTACCTTGCACGAGTAGCGGGGCATCTTGAGCAGAAAGAAGCAGGTGTAGCTCTCGGGCAGGAAGTGGTCGGGCGGATTCTTCTCGAGCACCTGAAGCACGAAGTCGCGTCCTCGGAAGTCGGCAATGGTGCGTGGCAAGCGGGTGCGGCCCCAGACGAAGCGCAGGAACAGTGAGCGCTCCTGAAAGTGTTGAAATTGCAAGTTAGTAATCCCCAGTACTCAGATTCACAGCAATAGATTACCAGTTGTGGTCAAAATAATACTAATAGTAGTGGGACAATTTAAAATGGTCACAAAGTTACCCTTAAGGTATTGGACAATTTAAAGAATACAATTTATCATAATGCCTTTTTTTCAATTAACAAAATTGAATAAAAAAAACCCTTTATATTGTTCTGGTTTTTGAAGGAAAATGAAAACTGAAAATAATTTCTTTAAAATAACTATTCAACATACTGTTTGAAACAATTTTATAAAGTCGTGAGAAAATAACTAAGAATTCTTATTCATGTGTACTTTGTATTGAATTAAAAAAGATTTAAAGATGTGATCTATTTTTAAAACTACAAATCTAAAAAAAAATTCTATATATTTTAAAAATCTATAAATATAATATAAACTTTGTTTTAAAGATGCTTTCAAACTATTTTTGATTGCTATTTGCATAAGCTTAAATAATACTATGATTTTAACTTTCTTAAAATACACCTTTCAATATACTGTATAAATTATTTTATAAAAATATGGTAAAACAACTATAAATGCTCATTCATCTGCACTTTGTATTGGATAAAAAAGATATTTAATATCTCAGATCTAAAAAACAAATAGTATAAATCTATTTTATAAACATTTTAAAATACATATTTAACATAACGCGGGATATAGAAGTTGTTTAAAAGATGCTTTCAAACTATTATTGGTTACTTTTTGCATAAGCTTAGAATGAATTCAAATAAAACTTTTGATTTTTAAAATTAAAACTGTTAATAATTCTTAAAATTCTCTTTTAAATATTCCATATTTAATGTATTTTTTTTTTAATTTAAGAAAATAACTATAAATCCTCGTTCAACTGCACTTTGTATTGGAATACTTTTCTGTTTTAAAATATCCTTTGTTATATTTGCCATTTAGTTTAGAAAAAGTTGTGCATGTTGCTTGAAACTGTTCTTAATTGCTCCTTTCCCAATTTAAAAGAGGACTAATATTTTGACCTAAGCTGTATATGTTTGCTGGAAATCCGAATAGAAAAGCCATTCGAATCCGAATCCGAATTCGAGCAGACTGTAGAAGGGTGTTGGATGACCCACCTGGTTGGTAAACTCCTCCATCACCTCCCAGAACCAGGTGACCAGGGCCGAGCTCGGGTCGAAGCCCTTGTAGGTAGCGACGGACTTGAGCAGGCCCAGCGGGATGTCCGGCGAGCCGCAGACCATCGCCTGCAGCTCGGCGGCGGAGAAGAGCGAGAGCAGCGGCACCGGGATCACCTTGGACATGCCGTCCCGCACCGCCTTCACCTGCTCGTCGAACTCGTGCAGCCGGAATCCAAGGGCCAGGCGGACGTACTCGGCCCGGTTTCTGGGCGAGATGTGCGTGTAGCGCGTGGACAGCGGCACCTCGTGTCCGCGGGCCGAGGAGGTCGAGAACGGCAGCTCCAGCGCGCTGAACAGCTTCGTGTCGTCGTCCATGTTGCGGATGCAGAGCAGTCCGGCCACGTAGTCGCGGTCCACCTCGGTGAGATCGGTGGGTCGCAGCACCTCGCCGGTCAGCTGCCTCCAGACGGGCTCGGCCAAGCTGAAAGCAAAAAAAAAAAAAAAAAAGGGCAAAAAGGATGTATGAATTTATTTGTATTACTTTTCACCAACGGCTTATTCACAAAAATCGTTATTTAACTTAATCAAAGACAATTATGACAACTGTGAAGTAGTGGGTATCCTTTAGTTCTAAAGAATTCGCGGTTCGATGTTCTCTGCGCTGCGTTGTTTTGTAATGCGAATCTATGATCCATAGAAGTCATGGGTTAAAGGAGTTATGCGAGTCATAAGCCCCATGAGCTTTTCTTATTTAGACCAGATCAAGTAGATCATGTTAATGAATAATGGTTTGAATCACTTGATGACTGAGTAAATCAAGTTAAGATCAAGTTCTTATTTAGATCAGATCATGTAGATAATGTGAATGATTATGAATTTGAGTCACTCCATGACTAAGTAAAAAGTTAAATTAAAGTTAAGATCGTGTTCTTATTTCGATCAGATCAGTAGATCATGTTAATGAATAATGGTTTGAATCACTCGATGACTGAGTAAATTAAGTTAAGATCAAGTTCTTATTTAGATCAGATCAAGTAGATCATGTTGATGATTAATGATTTGAATCTCTCCATGACTGAGTAAAAAGTTAAGTTAAAGTTAAGATCGTGTTCTTATTTCGATCAGATCAAGTAGATCATGTTAATGAATAATGGTTTGAATCACTCGATGACTGAGTAAATCAATGATTTGAAGTAAGTAAAGTAATGATTTGAATCACTCCATGACGGAGTAAATTAAGTTAAAATCAAGAGAAGTAACGCTACTCACTTGATGCTCAGCGGCGATCCGGTGCGCACGGCGATGCCCATGAGCACGCCCAGGAAGCGGAACATGTTCATCTGGAGCACGGAGCAGAGGGTGGGATCGAGCAGGAAGCAGTCGCGGTTGGCGCCCGCCTCGCCGCGTCCGTTGGGCGTGTTGATCAGCAGCGGCACACTGCCGTTCTGCAGCTCATCGCACATCTCGGCGATGGACTCGCTGTAGCCGCCGCCGCAGTCGTCCACGCTCTCGCCCACAAACTTCACCTTCCACACGCGATGCGGCAGAGCCAGTGCCTCCTGGGTGAGCAGCGGCAGCTTCTGCACCATCTGCCCGAAGACGCTCTTCATCCCATCGACGCCGGCCAGTCCGTTGCAGCGGCTACGCGACCGCTTCACCTGGATGCGGTTCAGCTCGATCACAGGTCCGTGCTGCTTGTCGCGCACCATCGTCGTCTGGATGACCTTACGGAAGGCCGCCTCCTTGATGTTGTACACGAGCACGTCCTTCAGTGCGCCCAGACTCAAATCGCCGGCAATGGGCAGCATGGCCAGGCAGGGACAGACCAGCTCCGAGAAGTGATGCAGCAGGATGAGGCGGGCATGCAGCGCCTCGGGCGCTAAATCCCGCACCAGGTCGTACTCCAGCGGCGGATTGGGCAGTGGACGCAGTCGCTCGCTCAGCTGCGACGTGGACAGGGCCAGAGTGTGCGCCGATCCGCAGGTGACCTTCACAATGTGCTTGCCCTGGAGGGCGGAGACGAGCCGTGGCCGCTGGATGGCCGTCACGGTGCCATCGCCCAGCTGCCCCTCATCGTTGTCGCCCCACGTGTAGACCTCGCCGGCATCGCTACAGGCGACGCAGTGCAGCGAACCGGTGGCTATCGAGATGATCTTCTTGCCCTGCAGTGCGGCCACCTTCTTGGGCCGTCGCACATGGTCGACGGAGCCGTGGCCCAGCCGATGGAAGTCACCCTTGCCCCAGGTGTACACCGCCCCCGACTTGGTGAGCGCCACCGAGAACTGCGAACCGCACTCCACCTTGACCACGCCCAAACCGGCCAGACTCTCGATCTTGTAGGGCAGCTTGCAGCCATCGCTGCCGCCGCGTCCCAGCTTCCCGTAGTCGCCATCGCCCCAGCTCCACACATTGTCGTCGTCCGTGATGCACAACGTCTGCGCGTCGCCGGATCCGCAGGCAATGTCGATGGCCCGATAGCCCAGCAGTGCCTCCACCAGCTTGGGCCTCAGCTGATCCTCGGAGTCGCCGTGTCCCAGCCGTCCGTAGCGTCCCTTGCCCCAGGTGAGCACATGTCCGCTGGCCGTGATCGCCGCCGAATGGGCACTGCCGCACGCAATGTCCGCCACACTCATGCCGTTCAGGTGCTCCAGCAGCTTGGGACGATCGTAGCTCATCCGGTTGCCGTGTCCCAGCTTCCCATCCTCGCCCTCGCCCCACGCGTACACCTCGCCCTCGGTGGTCAGCGCCAGGCAATGCTTGCCGCCGGAGTTCACGGCCACTTTCTTCACGAACACATGCTGCAGTGAGCCCAGCAGCGTGGGTATGGCCCAACTGTCGCTGCCGCCCACGCCCAGTCGTCCGCCGGATCCGTAACCGGTGGCGAACAGTTTGCCATCGGGGGTGACGGCGAACAGGGACTGCTCACCGCCGGCCAACTGCACCGGACGCAGCAGACTGAGCGCTTCGCATGGCGTCGGCGTCTTGATCCGGCTGCCCTCCAGGCCGCCCAGTTGGCCGCGATGGTTGTGTCCCCAGCCGTAGATGGTGCTGGCTCCGCCCCAGCTCAATGCCCAGTCGTCGGGCCGTCGGTTGAGCCACTGCAGCAGCTGGGCATCGTGGGGAGCCTGGAAGAGGGCATGATCCTCATGCTGCAGTATGCTGTTGCTGTTGCTGCTGCAGCACTCCACATGATGATGATGCTGATGATGCTGATGATGATGATTGTGATGATCCTGTTGCTGCTCCTGCGGCGGTGGCGATACATTGCTGGCCGTGCTGGACGAAAGCGATGTGGTGGAGTTCAGCATGGACAGGCCGGGCGACTGGCCACCAGTGTGGACCAAGGACTGACCCTGTCCCTGGCAATTGGAAGTCGTGGAACTGGGCAACATCTCGGCGAACTTCTTGCGCACCTCCAGGCAAAAGGGACGCGGCAGTTCCGTCCGGCGTATGAGGGATTGGGCCACCCGGACGGCAATGCAGTAGCGCTTGAACCACGCCCACTTGTGCACATCGCCAGTGGTGCTGGCTGCCGAGGTGGCTGCCGCGGTAGAAGCCTGAACTGGCAGCGTGGCATCCAGCTGCATGTCGCAGGCCAGAGCGGCCAGGGTCTTGAAGTAGTCCGAGTGCATCAGATGGATGCCGCCACGCACCTGCGGTTCCTCGTACTCATACTGCCGCAACAGCTCAGGGATGAGGGGTTGCAGCAGGGCGGAGAGTGAGGGATCCTGTGGTCGGGGTGCCTGCTCCAGGAGCAGCACGGCATGCAGCTTGCGCAGCGACCAGATCCTTTGTGCCGTGCTGAGGGCGCCCAGTTGGGAGCAGGCGGCCAAAGCGGAGGCCAGACGCAGCAGCACACCGGTCTGGCGGGGCGCCAGGCGGGAGTCGAGCAGCGACATGACCAGGGCCATCGACGGCTGCGACAACACGGCCCGATCCGAGCCGCTCTCGCCGAGCGTGGCCGCCGGCATGAGGGCGTGCACCCAGAAGCGCCAGCCCCAGCCATTTACGGAGCTGTCCGAGGAGAACTTCCAGCGGAGCTCGTCGCCCGGCACCCGGATCTCTGGTGCCCAGTGGGCGAACTCTCGTCCGGAGCGCATGGCCAGGACACGGCCAGAGCCGTCCATGATCACCAGCGGATCGTTGCGCTTCTCCGTGCTGCACTGGCTGTCGAACTCGAGGCGCAACATTTCGGCGCCCGGGATGCGCACCACGCCGGTCACATTCACATTGTCCACATACGGATGACCGCTCTCCTGCATCACCGGCTTGGGCAGCTTGCCCAGGCAGTGGCGCGACGTGCACAGATCCTCCAGCTCCGTGATGCATGTCTCCAGCAGCATGGCTGCCACGGCCGGCGTCCCGGCGCCCAACGAGATCAGCGTGTCGGCGATTGTCTGCGCCGTGCTCGCCGCTCCACAGCGTCCGCAGACGGCCAGCTTGAGCAGCTCCACCAGCGACTTGGCCTCCGGTTCGCCCAGCAGTCCGCCAAAGTCATCCAGCCCGTGGCCATGGCCATGGCCCTGCATCTCCTGCATCTCCTGCAGCTGACCCATGTGGGCCAGCATCTCCTCCTGCTGCTGCGTCATGGTGGCGGCCATCACGGACATGGCGCTGGCCGACATCCTCGAGTGCTTGTGCGCCGCATTGGGCAGGGCGCTGCTCGACAGCGATCCCGACATGGACAGCGATCCGGTGAGGCTCTGGAACGCGCTCAGTGGTCCGGCCGTCAAGGGGGCGGTGGTGGCCGTCATTAGGGCAGGCACCTCCATGCCCGGATCCGGACTGTGCTCCTGCAGTGCAGCATCAGCGGCATCGGCGGCATCGGCAGGCGCCTCGCCACCGCCCTGGGCAATGGTCTCCGGCAGATGCTGTACCAGTGCTCCACCACCCATCAAATTCAAGCCACTGGTGTGGGGCTCCTCCTCCTGGACAACTCCCGCTCCGCCTGCCCTCTCCTTGAAGTTCACCTTGCTGTGACTGGTGAGGGCGGCCACGATCAGCTGGCGCGCCTGGAGAATGCTCATGGCGCGCAGCACATGACCCAGGGCCGCCTGCCTGGCCGCCGGCGTCTCCAGGGCGGACAGGCTCTCACTCAGGCTGCCGGCGAGGGGCGGACGGCCGTCCGGCTTGGTGGCGCCCGGCTGCAGTGCCTCCTCGGCCTCGTAGATGCCCAGGCTGCTGCCGCCCAGGGGATCACGGGTGCTGCCAAAGGGCACCGGTCCGCGTTTCTCCTCCTCCGGCGAGGCATTGGGCAGACCCCAGGCGACGGAGTGCGAGCTGCCGCAGGCCACGCGATTGACGAACACCGCATCCAGGCCGATGACCAGGGCGGGCTTCTTGTTGACGAACGTGTTGCCGCTGCCCTGCTGGCCATGATCGTTGTCACCCCAGGCGTACACCTGCCCAGCATCCGTGACGGCCAGGCAGTGAAGGGCGCCGACGGCCACATGGATCACCCGCCGGCCGCGCAATCCGGCGATGGGCTGCGGCTTGCGTACATGCTGGTCGCCGCCATGGCCCAAACGGTAGTAGTCGCCCTTGCCCCAGGTCCACACTTCGCCGGCGCGCGTCAAGGCCAAACTGAACTGGGCTCCGCACTCGATCTGCACCACACCGATGCCGGAGAGTCGCTCGATCTCGTGCGGCGTATCGGATCCCTCGCTGCCGCCGCGTCCCAGCTTGCCAAAGTCACCGTCGCCCCAGGAGTAGACGGCCCCGTCCTCGGTGAGGGCCAACGTCTGGGCATCCCGGCTGCCGCAGGCCACCTGGATTACTCGTTTGCCGGCGAGGGCTGCCACCAGTTTGGGCTTCAGCTGGGTGGTGTTGTCGCCATGACCCAGGCGACCGTACTCGCCCAGGCCCCAGGTGTAGAGCTCACCCTGGCTGCTGATGGCCGCCGAATGGGAGGAGCCGCAGGCCACGTCGCGGATCTTCTTGGCACGCAGCGCGTCGACGAGACGCGGCTTGTCCAGCGTCGTCCGGTTGCCGTGACCCAGTTTGCCGTCCTCGCCTTCGCCCCACGAGAAGACCTTGCCGTCGAGGGTGAGGGCGAGGGCGTGCTTGCCGCCGGAGTGGACGGCCACCTTCTTCACCACGTACTGGTGCAGCACGGGCAGCTGGTGCGGCAGCGGGACATTGTGGGTGACCCCTAGGCCGAGGCGTCCGTTGGTGCCCTCGCCGCAGGCGTAGACCTTGCCATCCTGGCTGACGATGAACAAGCTCTTGGAGCCGCCGGCCATGTGAATGGGTCGCAGTCGACTGATGGTCTGCGAAAAGGTGGGCACCTTCACCTTGGAGCCCTTGAGGCCGCCCAGCTGCTCCTTGTCGTTGAGGCCCCACACCATTACGGTGCAGGGCAGATCCTGTTCGGCGGCCATGCCGGCGTCCGGATCGCCAAGCGATGTGCTGACCAATCCGGAACCCGTGCCGCCGGGCGCACTGTACTCGCTGGCCAGGAACTGGGCATTGGCCAGGATGTGCTGGATGTCGGGCTGCTGGCGGCGACCCACGAACTTCAGGCCATGCACCTTGCACTGGATGCCGTTGTTCTGGCACTGCTTGACCACCACCTCCACCCACGGATAGTAGGTGGGCACCTGTTGCATGAGCACCACCCGACTGGCTCCCGCCGGCACCGGTATCCATGTGTACTCCTTCAAACTGTCCACGCACTCGCCCACGCGTATCTCCAGCAGCGAGGGCATATGCGAGTGATCCTCGGCGCTAACGCGCAGCTCCAGACTGTGCACCAGGATGCGGTCGTGCAGCTCCAGCCGTATCCAGTGGCGGCACGGACCGCTGGAGGAGCTCTGCCATGGCTGATTGCTACCGTTCAGCAGATGCTTGGCGGCCGCCTCATTGGAGCTGACGGTCAGCGAGCGGATGCAGCGGGACCAGTCCTCGATGAGATCGCTACTGTTGCTATTGTTGTTGCTACTGCTGGCCAGCAATTGCTGCTGCTGCTGCTGCTCCTGATGGCCACCACAGGAGTCGGCCATGGGTAGGGGGGCAACCAGTTCCACCTCGTTGATGTGACCCTGCCAGGCGGGCTGCTGATCCTGATCCGGAAAGTCGACGGTGAGTTGTTTGCCCTGCACCGATCTCACCACTCCAGTGGCCTGACTCCGGCCCAGACGCAGCTGGCATAGAAGGCCGTAGCGCAGGGAGGAGCTGCGCAGACGCACCCTGGCACCCACCGCGATGGGCGGGGGGCGTGGCTGGGTTTGGGACTGGGCGGGCAGCTCAACGAGTTCGATGTGGACGAAGCAGACCCAGTAGGTGCTGCCATGGTTGCGCCAGTCGACCTGCACGTTGAGGTCGTGCAGTCCCTCGGTGTCCACGATGAGCACGGTGCCCATGTCGCCCAGCTTGATCTCCTCGAAGTCGCGGCAGCAGCGCACCGTCATCCCGGGACGCACCAGTCCGCGCACATACAAAGCATAGAGATCGGCGGTTTGGAAATCCTTGCGGGACTGGAACTTCTGGGGCGGAGCAGCGGCCTCACTGGCCACCGGTTGACCCTCCACTGTGTCCGAGGAGGACGACGAGGAGGAGGACGAGGAGGAGGAGGAGGTCGAGGCACTCGAGCTGGGACACTCGTTGTCCGAGTCCGCCTCCGGATCGTGGGACGATGAGGCTGGCAGCGGCATTGTGTCCTCCTCAATGGTATTGGCACACACATCCGGATGCTCGAGAATCCACTGGACAATCTGTTCGGGCGTGGGCATGATCTCCGCCTGCAACGACAGCTGCTTGAGGGCCAGCTCCACGGTGCGTCGCGTGAAACCCATCTCCATGATCTGGTTGGTCAGCTGGGCATCGGTCCACTTCGACTTGACCTCCACTGGGTCCATCTCCAGCTTCTGCGGCGGTCTCTGTTCCGCCTTCCTGGCCACATTGGCCACCGTGGCCACATTGTAGACGGGCACGCCATGCACCATCGTGGGCTGGGGGATGAGCGAGTGGCCATCGGCTGGCCCAAGTCCGCCATCGCTCAGCTCCTGGTGCGCCTGCGTGGCCAGCGATTGGATGCAGTTGAGCGCCGCCGTGGCCAGATCCATGTAGTTGTAGCAGGCCTTCACCGGCGATGCCTGGGTGGCCCTCAATAGGATGCACTGTATCAGCAGCTGGGCCTCCTGGCCGCTGCCACTGCCAGTGGATGGCTCCCTCTCTCGCTCCCGCTCCTGTTCCCCCGCATCACTGCGGTCTGGATCCGGATCGGGATCGGGATCGGGATCAGCAGCCGCATCCGCATCAGTGGTGGAGGCATAAATGCTGACCGCCGGAGCGCGCTGCTTGAGGATGCGACGCAGGGCGGCCTGGTGGCGGTACAGCACACCATTTGTGTGCAGCACGGCCATCTGGAGCTGCTGGGCGCGGAGCAGGGCCAGGTCGAGACGCCCATCCGCACTGGTGGGCAGCTGCTCGCGCACCTCCGGCGCCGGGCCATAGAGCAGCACCGTCCACGCGTTCAGCAGCATCTCGTTCATCGGCAGTCGGCTAAGGCTGAAGACGCTGTGGTCCAGATGCGGCATCACCGCCGCCAGTGGCACCTTGACGAATCCATGGATGCTGCCCGTTCCAGTTGCAGTTGCAGTTCCCATGCCACCGCCACCGCCACCGTCGGGTGCCAAAAGGCATCGCCCCTTGGGTGTGAAGCTGGCAATGACCATGTGGCCGCCCTCGTGGAAGCAGTGCAGACCGACGCGCGGACGCAGATCATGGCCACCGATGGCACCCAGCACGCCCAGCACGAACACCTGTTCGCTGTCCAGCGGCGTTGCATGCGTTGCATGTACGGAGTGCAGGGAGTGCACCGAGTGCTCCGCCAGCAGTTCGGCGGCCACGCAGAGCTTTTGCGCCAGGAAGGAGTTGATGACCGGATTCCAGGCGGGCAGTGTGTGCAGGCGCCGCAGCAGGGCCACCAGCTCCTCGGCCGCGCTGCCCGAGTGGGAGGCGGTGAGCAGGACGCGTGCCTTGCCCTCCGCCGTGGGCAGCAGACTGACGTCGCCGGGACAGTGGAGCGCGATGCGGCCCAAAGTGGCAAACAGCTGGTGCACCAGCACCGGCATTCGCGCCTCCTCCCCGGCGCCCCACTGCGCCAGGATGAACTGCAGCAGGCGCAGGCAGTGCAGCTGCCGGTACACGCCCGCCTCGCTGCCCGCCGGCTGCTCCAGCAGCGACAGGTAGTGGCCCAGCCAGCCGGGGGTGCTCAGCTCCAGGCACAGACGCGGACAGTCGCCTGGAAGGGGAAAAGGGAAGACGGAAGCACTCACATTACTCTCTTAAATAGGGCGGGATCAGGGGATCAAGGGATCAGGGGATCGGGGGATCATCCCTATCACCTACCCTTCGCTCTGCCCACATGGAGTATCAACCATAGCACACCCCACCAACGAAATCCTTAAAAAGAAACTCAACTCATCCATTGAATCTAAAATAGTTCTCTTTCTGCCTAATCAGAATAACACTAATGATCTTACAAGTAAACTTTTTAGTTGTAAACCATAAGCTAGCTTTAATTTAATAAATAGAAATTAAAAAAAAAACAATATTAGATACCCGTTGCTAAGTTAGTTAATCAATTTCAATTATAACTATTAACTGTTAATTCGATTTGGGAAATTTTTGTGTAAATTGATAGATATTGACCAAATAAACATATACATATAACATATCAACAAATATAAAATTGTTCTCTTTCTGCCTAATCAGAATAACACTAATACTCTTACAAGTAAACTTTTAGTTGTAAACCTTAAGCTAGCTTTAGGTTACTTTAAATAAATAGAAATTAAAAAAAAAAAACAAGATGAACGCTTCAGAACGCCCTGAATATTGGAGTAACGGGTATAAAAGTCAGTGTGGAGTCGAGGAAAAAACCATAACTATAACCTCACTTGGATTATATATATGTATATATATTGGACATTGGACCATATATCTGACAGACTGACAAAAGACTTCTATGCCAACTATTCGCGCAGTGTAAAATATGGATTCTTATACTTTTCCAAATCGTATTTTTTGCATGTGTACACGGTACAGTGATCATGATCATAAATCTTGATGATCGGTTAAATTTTGATGCAATTGTTTGTTTTCGAGGCAATTTGCTTATATTTCGATTTTATGCTTTATATTATATATTGGTTTTATTTCCTTCTGATCCATCCCTTGACTGCAAGGGTATTACAACTTCGGATTGCGAAAATTAAGGAAACTGACTATATACATTGAAACCGCAATTCTAATAATTCTAAAAAACAACAAAGTTTTAAGTTTATTTTTTATTTTTTACTTATTTTCCGATTGTTCCATTGGGAGCTATATGATACCATACTACTTGCAACAGTAAAAATACACTTTTAAGAAAGTTTCATCCAGAATGCTTTAAATCTGGCAGACTAGTTGGCGTAGAAAAGGACGGACAGACGGACACGGATAGATCGTCTCTTATAGTGACGCTGGTCAAGAATATACATATATATATGAAATATGCATTACTGACTTATCAATATACCCCCTTTGCTGGTCTAAAAATTAAAAAGGAAACCGATTTTTGTTGGCATATTTTGAATGTTTAGACTTAAAAATATGAAATGATATGATAACGACACCTTCACTAATGAAGAATTTTTTTTTTCTGATCTCTACAAGGGCTGAAATCATGTCATGGCGAATATTGGGTTTAATTTTTTTTCTTTTTTGTATTCTTAAAATGTCAATTAAAGCCATATACAAAATTGTATATTAAAAATATTGTAAATTTCTTTTTTTCATTCTAGAAAAAATGCTTAAAATTCAGGCCTATAGACCAGAGTACCCCCTTAAATTATAATACCCCCCTGGATGGCTATACAAAGTGGGCGCTAAGGCGAAATTTGTATAAATACAAGACTCTAGTTAAATTAGGTTAACAATTCCAAGTGCCCCCATGTCGAATACCCATATTTTAAAGTGTATAGCCAATAAATACTTGCAATGCCAAAGACTTGGGCCAAAGGAACTCACCCGATATGGCTCGGATGAAGCCCAGATTGAGCCAGCTTAGCGAGTGGGAGATGCCGGTCATCGATGGCTTGGGATAGACGATGGCTCGGAACATGCTGGTCATGCCGCGCAGGGCGTGCTTGTCCAGCTGGTCGCCGTGCAGGCCGGTGCCCACGGCGAGGATCTGGAGCAGCTTGGCGGCGCAGTGGCGCAGCAGCTTGGATGGATGCGAATCGCTGGTGGGCGAGGCCTCGCTGCCGGCGACATCCTCGCGTTCCGGCTCCGTGGGCGAGGCCACGTTGAGGGCACTGTCGGCCAGCTGCAGGTCGTACTGGCCCTCCTTGCCCATGCGATAGGAGTTGGTGGCTCCCGTGTACCACTCCACACGCACCCAGCTGGGAAAATTGGGAAAAAAGGAAAGCTAAATGTTGGTATCGAATCCGGGGGGGAAATCAGCGCACACTTACCCATCCTCGCCCACCTCGCTGATGATGCGTCCCTCGCCGGGCGGATTGCCATCCTGGTCGCCCCACTTCCAGTCCGCTCCGCGCACAATCCGTGTGCCGATCTTCATGAGCTTGGCCAGATCGGGCCCACTGAGCTGCGCCTTGCTGGACTTCTGCTTCAGCACGCTGTCCTCGTAGAGGACGCTCAGTTCGCCGTGCACCTGGCCGCCGGCCACGCCCTCGCCGCCCGTCTGCGACAACAGGCCCAGCACGGTGCCCAGCAGGCCGGAGTTGATCAATAGGCCCAGTTCGTTGGGGCCCAGCTCCTTGGCCAGCAGCCCGAACACGCTCAGCAGGAAGCGGGCGCGCGGCAGGCGCTTGAGCAGCACATAGGTGCCCAGATTGGTGCTGTCCTTGCCGCGGGCATGACCCTGCTGCTCCTGGTTGACCAGGCGACGCAGTTCGCGTACCGCCCAGTCGAGGACGCGGGCCTGGGCCAGCAGCAGTCGGGCCTTCTGATAGGCACTGATCATGTTCAGCTGCCCCAGGACATGTAGCGAGCTACCGGATCCGTTCGATCCGCCCGTGGACTTTAGATGCAGGCCCAGGAAGCCGTTCAGCAGACTGTATTGGGCTGCGTCCAGCAGGCCGTGCAGCTCGAGCAGCTGCTGGACCAGCTGTAGACCGGCCAGACGCAGTTGGTAGCGCTGCATCTGGCAGTACATGGCCCGGCGGGCCGTCTCCACGTCGCAGCTGTCCTGCAGGGCAAAGTCCACGATGTCCTGCATGAGGGCCGGCTCCAATTCGCCCTCGCCGTGGATCTGCCGCTCGTTGAGCCGCCGCAGCAGCGTCTCCTCCTCCTCCTCCTGCTGCTGCTTCTGCTCCTCCTCCTCCACCTCCAACTGCAGCTTGGGTTGCGGCTGCGGCTGTGGCTGCGGCTGCGGCGGCTTCTTTTCCTGTTCCTGCTGAATTGAGGCATTGACCAGATCCTCCGGTTTAGCTGGTTTGGCTGGCTGTCGCGCGGAGCGCAACTCCTGCAGCAGGCGACGCACCAGCAGCCGGAATCGCGGCGGTCGCTGCAGGATGGGCAGACGGCGCAGTCCACGCTGCTGCGGACTGATTGCGGGGCGCACCTCGTAGAGCAGGAAGCGCAGCCGCTCCAGGATGGGGGCGCAGACCTCCTTGTAGCTGCGGTTGAGCTGCTGCCGCGTGCGCACCACCGACCACTTGGCCTGGTGCACCAGCCGTATGATCTCGGCCAGCTGGCGAGGCGGGGACGACGACGACGACGACGACGTCGACGACGACGACGACTCCGCTTCGAGGGCGCTGAGTACCAGTCCGCCCAAGTACTGGTGCCGGATGAGCACGGCGCTGAGCAGACGCTCCAGCTCCTGGACGGGATGCTCCGTGGAGAACTCCTGGTGCCACATCAGGTTGTGGGCCTTGCAGTAGCGTTCGGTGAGCGCCAGCCAGGCGGCCACCGGCGGCTCCAGGAGCCTGGCCTCCGCCAAACCGGCGACAAAGGCGTCGGCCCGCTGCTGCAGCTGCGACTTGCTGCGTCCGGCGGCCAGCTGCTGCTGCATCTGCTGCTGCAGCGGCAGCGGCGGCGGCTGCTCCGTGGGCGTGTTGCCCGCCGTGCTGTGGCAACTGTGGCTGCTCCTCGCCTCGCCCTTCTCCTCGTCGAACGGATTGCTCGGCTGCAGCAGCTGCAGACCGCCGCTCAGCAAGCTGGACTTGTCCAGCTGGCGGCACTGCAGCTCCGCCGGCTGCAGGGCCGGTCCGCTGCACATCAGGTTGGCCACCAGACCCAGCAGCTGCGCCAAGGCGCACTCCGAGCTGAAGTGGGTCAGTCGACTGGGTCCCGGCGCCGATGACTATATTTGATTGGATTTGATTGGAGAAGATCATAAGATTAGTATTAACATACACACAAAAAAATGACATGGGTAAAATCAACATAGTATTTTATTGCTTTATTGTTTGGCCCTTTGAATACTATTATATACTATTATAAGCTATAATATATACTATTATAAGCTATAATATATAACTTATAATGTATAACAATTGAATTAGTTGAAAAGTTGGTTTTCATTTGTTCATGCATGTTGTGGTTTTAAAAAGTACTGTTCTATTTTGACAAACAATTGCTTGGTTTTTATTTAAAAATATCTGGTTGCTAGGTAGTGTAAAATGTTTTCATGTTTACTATTTTATACGACCATTCTGACTAATATATCTTTCTCAATTTAATCGATGGATTTAAAAATGTTTAAAATTATTTAAATTACAACTGCACGCAGGAAAAAAGTCATGTTAGAAAAATAGTTACCATACTATTTACAAAACTGTTATGTATTTGTATTTTTTTTTTACCATTGGATAGTATTATCACACTTAAAATAGTTGAATAACCATTCATTTTTTTAATATATTTTGTGGTTTTTGGCTTTTATTTTTGTAGTTTGTGAATACTGTTTTAACAATTAAAATAGTTTAACAACTATTTTTTTTTTTTATTAATTTGTTGTTTTAAAAAGTACTTTAATAGATAATTGCTTGGTTTTTATTTAAAAATATCTGGCTAGGAATTTTAAAATGTTTCGTTTAGTACTATTTTATTCGACTGTATTGCAATTAACACATATTCAACCATTCTGATTTAAATATCTGTCTAAATTTAATGAAACGATTTTAAAAGAAAGTCTTTTTACCGCCTAAACTGTTTTGTATTATTTAAAAATTAGCTGCACACAGAAAAAACAAACATTATCATAAATAAATAGATTCTTTAATATTAACAAAACTGTGATATTGTTCTCCTTATTTTAATTATAATAATAATTATAATGTATTATATAACTATATTATAATTTTATATAATATACATATATAATATATATTATACAATTATAAATACTTTAATATAAAAAAGAAATGTGCAAAATAAGAAACTTATACTTTAATAGTTAGAGAACAATTTGTACCTAATCATTTTTAGATGAACTACTACTTTCCCGTCAATTATTTATTTTGTACTAGTAACAATCGTTTTAACTATTAATCAGTTGATTTAACCCATGTGCTTTTCTATGTGCAGAGTAGTAAATTAAGAGGGGAACCCACCTTCTCTTCGGTGCTAGCCTGGGCCATGTACTTGCCCAGCTTGTGGTGCTGCAGGATGTGCTCCATGGCGCTCCTGAGCGCCGCCTGGCCACCCAACTCGGCCGTGAGATCCTTGCCCATGCCCGAGTCCAAAATGCTGCGCAGTGTGTCCGACTCGCAGCTGCAAAGGATTGTGGATTGAGAACACTGGTTGACATGATGGCTGATGGGTGACTCACCTGTATCCCGTCAGATCGCACACGTAGCCGGCCAAGATGATGCAGCGTGTGCCGTCGAGCAGCAGGTTCTCCATGTCCGCACGACGCACATAGTGAGTCTCCGGGTCCGCTGGCGGCGGTCCCTGGCCCTTGGGTCCGCCACGGCAGATTATGCCGGGCCAGCCCATGTCGTCGCCGTCGCGTAGCTCGCCCTCACCCAGCGCCCGATTGAGTCGGTCCAGGACGCGGAGCAGCGGCAGGAAGAGCCGTGCCCACCGCAGATTGCCCAGGCACTGGGGCCGATCGCGTTTCAGCAGCACCAAACCCACCAGCAACTCGTGCAGCAGGGCGTCCGAGATGTCCGCCTGCAGGATGCGGCCCAGGTGGCCCACTTGCTGGCCCAGCTGCGGCCCCAGCGAATGTTCGGCCGGATGCTCGCGACACTGCAGCGCCAGTTCGTGGGCCTTCTGCAGGGTGGCAACGCAGGCGGGGATCAGGGCGTGCAGATATTGCAGCAGCAGAGCCTCGGCACCGGTGGTCTCCTCCTCGGGCTCGGCCTGGTGGATGTGGGCCAGCAGCAGGCGCTGGAAGCGATGCAGCAGACTCAAACTGGGACTAGTGCTCGGCTCCTGGTGCTTGTGGCCATGCTGCTCGCGCTCCTCCTCCTCCTTCTCTTGCTGCATCTGCATCTGCAGCTGCTGCTGATGATGCTTGCCCAGAGCGGGCGACAGTCGGGTCTGGGAGAGGGCCGCATTGTTGCCCAACAGCCGCGTGATCAGCTGCAGCAGGGGCAGGTGCACTCCGTCGCCGCAGTCGGCGGAGGAGCAGGAGCTGCTCTCCAGCCGGATGGCGTGCTGCAGTGCCGACTCCAGGCCGCCCTCGGCCATCAGCGAGCTGACCAGCAGGTCGGTCATGAAGCGGTGCCCGGCGGAGGACGCCTGTCCCGGCTCCGATGGCAGCAGCGAGGTGAGCGTCTGGGCACGCTCCGCTGCTGTGGGCAGCAGGACACTCCATCCGTCCTGAATTGAGGCGAAAAGTTGATTGATTAGTCTACATGGCAATGGAAGGCATGCTACGCATTCCTAACAAGTAGTCTAGAATTGTGAAATGCTCCCTGGCACCAAAATTTATATTCCAATAGCAAGCAGTCATATAAAAATAAAGGTTAAGTATACAGTTGCGGTCAAAATATTAGCACGAAGGCAAAATAAAATGACTAGAAAACACTTTTAAAGCACAACAGTATTTTATTTATCAATTACCAATAAAGCATACTTGTCCCTAAACACAACAACCAAACAAATTGATTTAATTTTTGTTCCAGCACAATAAAAATTGTTAATTATTGGACAAATTTCACCTGTTAAAATAAATCAAATTTTAAGAAAATGACTGTACAATTTCGTTGATCTCTACTTCAAATAGGATTTTTGTTATCTACATATGTTTAAAAATTAAAAACGTTTTTTTAGGAAGTATAATTTTTTTTTAAATTTTTAAACATATAAAATTAACGTATTGGAGTACTGAAAATAAGTCGCAATTAGTTTATAGAATTGCTTTTGAGAACATAAAAAAAAAATTAGTCAGTTTAAAATTACTTTTTTTTTTACTAATAAAAGTGCAATCTGGGCATTACAAATGTACTAAGTTAACAGACTTTCAATCGAATATTATTGGTTTGGTATATGTTTTGTTCTTTACTGCGCTAGCCACATTAAGTTAAAATAATTCTAGCATTGCTAATTAGTATTATTGATCCCAATAACATAATATTCTCCTTTACAATAAGCTTTTAATAAAACTATAAAATCATTTTATGTCTGTGTCTTCAACTATTGTTTAGTTGCAAAGAAGTGTGGCAAAGAGTTCCACATTTCAATAGCATAAACAAAAAGCTTATGCTATAAAGATACTTAGGTTGCCTTGAAATAATTACTTTGCAAAGGAAATGATATATTTCTAAAGATGTTGTTCGCGCTGTCCTACCTAACTCGAATATATATCCGACTGTATTAGTAAAAGTCTTTGTTATCTACCACTACAAATACTTCTCCTTAATTTAACGTAATCCTGTAGCAATTAAACAGGAAAGCGAGAACAGACGCACTCACCTGCAGTGCCTGCTGTGCTGCCACTTGGATGGTGCGCAGCACCTGGCTGCCACCGGCCAGTCCCAGAATGCGGGTCTTGAGGCTGCCGAGCAGGCGACTGCCACTGGCCAGGCCCACCTGGCGCGGCTCCACGCCGTTGGCGATGAGGGCGAGCAGCTGCAGGCGCACCAGATTGAGGCAGGCCACGGCGATGCACTCGCTCTCCTGGTTGGGCGTCTGCCGGTTGTCCTGGCTGCTGCACATGCCCAGCAGCTGATCGAGCAGCCGGAACGTGGGCTCACCCAGGTCGATGACAAAGGGGGCGCGCAGCGGGACACCCTGGTGCGAACTCTGTGTCCACACCAGACTCTGGCCACTGGTGCAGGCAATGCCGCTGGCCGGGAGCGTGGGCAGTGCGACGAGAATGGGGATGCGCAGCAGCGGTTCGCTGGACACGGAGGCGGGACAGATCTGCTGGCTGTCGTTGCGGCCCCAGCCGAATACCTCACCGCTGCTGGAGAGCGCCAGGCAGTGGGCCACACCCACGGCCACGTCCACGATGCGTTTGTGCTGGAACAAAGGAAGCGAAGCAAGCGAAGCGGATGAATACCACAACGTATAGGAGTATGGATGCATTACTCACCTGCAAACTGGTAACCAGACGCGGCACACTGCAGCCCTGCACGCTGCGCTCCACCAGCTGGTGGCCCAAACAGGTGGCCTTGCCCCAGGTGAAGAGCTGACCCTCGTGGCTCAAGGCCACCGAGAACTGGGAGCCCGCGAAGACGCGCTGCACCCGCGGCAGCGACTCGACCAGGATCGGCTGCAGGCTCCCATTGCAGTTGCCATTGCCCAGCTTGCCATAGTCGCCGTCGCCCCAGGCGAACACCAGTCCCTCGGCGGTGAGGGCCAGCGAGTGGGCATCGCCGCTGCCCAGGGCCACGTCCACCACCATGTGCTCGGCCAGCGCCACCACCAGCGTGGGCAAACTGCGGTCGTCGCTGTTCCCGTGGCCCAAACGGGCGTACGTGCCGCGGCCCCAGGTGAGCAGGTTGCCGCCACACGTGATGGCCGCACTGTAGGAGCATCCGCAGTACACCGACTGCACGCAGTGCTGCTCCAACGCAGCGATCTTGGTGGGCACGGCGCGCGCGTGGGTGTCCCCATGGCCCAGGCGGTGGTCCTCGCCAGTGCCCCAGGAATAGGCATTGTCTGCAACGAAGATTGAAGGTCGCAATGAGGACATCGTTCAGCGTTTGGGGTTACAATTCAAAATATACACAATACACAATACACAGTCAAACTTCCTTATTTCTATAGAAATAGTAAATGGAGAATAGTTAGATATTTTGATTTATAAAAGTTTGACCAGGTTTTTGATAGGGCTTACAAATTACAAAAAGGGAGCATGGAAGTTAAATTCCACAACTCGAACAACCATCTTACCCCGAATTTTACCAGTATAACAAGTAAGTAGTAAATAGATAGATACTATGATTTACGGAAGTTTGACTGGAGAATGGTTCAAAAACTGGGGTTAAAATTTGAGAGATTAAAATACAATTAAACTTTTATAGCTCAAACCCTTTTACCCCGAATTTTTTTCAGTATTTTTCTATTGACAATACCTATAACTATAAAGTAGTAAATAGTAAGATACTTTTATTTATGGAAGATTGACAAACATGACAAATGGTTCAGAAATTGGGGTCACAAAATATTTTGAACAGATAATGGTTCGGTACCCCGAATTTTACTAGTATTTTACTATGGACAACATAACTAGTAAGTAATAGATAGAGAGATAATTTAATATATGGGTCAAAGTATATAAAAAAGTATCACTTTCTACTCTACCCAGTTAAGTTAATTTTTAAGTTAAACATATCAAATATTTACTTCCTTCAACTTGAAAAAAAACAAATTCAAGTCAAATAAGCCCAGTTATAGAAGTTTAAGTGATATACACTCTATGACTTGAAATAAAGGGTTTAGAGTGGTTTCACTTACAAGTGCTCTTAAGCTACTCGTATCACTAGGAAATCTAGTAAAGTAAACTCTACAAGTTGTAAGTCTGTAGCAGTTTAAACATTTGTTAACGCTGAAAAGCATGCTACCCATTTCGTTTGCAACTCAAGAGAAAACTCCTTATCAACATAAATAACAAACTAAGCTGACATTGGATTTCTAAAATACATTACTAGGTCGAAAACCAGAAATATTTGTTTTAATTTTATTTTAAACTATTAATATCTAAAGACATGAGGTGAACATTTGAAAACCATTTATCTAAACATGATCTTCTCAAGAAAAATTAAATTTTTTAAAAGTTTGTTTACAGGTCACTAGACATGATCTTTAGTAAAGTAACAAATATAAAGATGTACAGCTGCGGAAATAATAATATTAGAGAAACAATGTTAACAATGTGTTGAAATAATTGCTATTTCCATAAGCTTAAAAAACTAGTATTTTCATGACCGCAGCTGTATAGTATATGTAACACGGCGTTACGAAATAATTGTCAAGTCAATTTGCACTAAAACTTGTTAGAAAATGTTTGAAACCTGCGGAGTTTTGATCATAGTACCCTTAGATATACAGTTGCGGTCAAAATAATTGTAGTGATTTAGCTTATGGAAATATCAATGAAAAATATTGAAGCTTAAACTATAAACTAATTGGGGCAAATATAAAAATCTACAATTATCATGGATATTATATCATAGATATAATATTATAATATAAAAAAAAATTTTTTTTTGAATATTAAAACAAACATTTTTTTTTTAATTTTTAATTTAAAAAGTTATTGATTTGTTAAAAACAAGTTGCTAAAAGAATAATTTTTAAAAGTTAATTTAAAGGAATTATTAACAGTTTTCAATTTCCTTTAAAAAGTAAAACAATATCAAAGGGTTTTTAAGTCTGATTTTGTTTAATGTTTAGTTAGCATTATGGTAAATTAAAATACATGTTTCTAAGCACTTTAAATTTCCCCACTACTATTAATTTGAGCGCAGCTGTAGGGTTCAGAAGTGCAATTGAAATTGAACATTTATGGTGCACTCCTGATCGACAAAAAACAACCCATTCCCCTGAAGCCTTCTCTTCAACTTACGGTTGCTGTCGATGGCCAGGAAGTGGCGTCCCTCGCAGTGGCCGGCAATGCTGATGAACACCTCGTGGGCGACCTCCTCCAGGGGCAGTGGCTCCGCCTCCGGCTTGGCCAGGCGCCAGGTGTGCAGCTTGCCCTCCTGGCTGAGGAGGAGCAGCTGGCTCTCGCAGCAGGCCACCTGCTTGACCTGGAAGCGGCAGGCGAGCGTCGGCACCGTCGTGGCTTCGCCGCTCCAGCTGAGCGTCGTCTCGGCGCTGAATCCCTGCTGGTCCTTGGACAGCGAGGGCCAGCCCAGGGCGTAGACTCGCTGCTGGGGTACCGACGCACTGGCGGACGACGAGGCATCGGGGGCGAGGGCGGGGCCGTGGCCAGTGCGGAGCAGACAGCGCGGCATCAGCGGCTGCACCAGGCGGTCCAGGTGCGAAATGATGACGACGGCGGCGCGTCGCAGGTCCACAATGGCCGCACTGCTCTTGGGCAGCGAGAGAAAGCGCAGGAAGGTCTCGGTGGCACTGGCCACCGGAGCAGGCTCTCCGCCGGCGATGCCGCCCACTCCCTTGGCACCTGTCGTGGCACCGATCTTCTGGTAGCGCAGCAGGATGCGCTGCAGCGGGGCGCCCGTCTTGCGCGGCATGTCCCTGTTGTCGTTGCCCGCGCGATCCTTCTCCCACAGCAGCAGCAGCAGCACGACGCACTCGAGCGTGGCGGCCAGCGTGCCCTTCTGCACGCCCAGCTCCAGCAGCAGGCACAGCGCCGTGTGGCGGTCGTTCAACGGGGCGGTGCAGCGACCGCCCATCGGGTCGCCGAGCGCCACCAGGCGCAGGAACTTGATGGACCGCTCCATGACCTCTAGCCATAGCGACGAGACGACGGCCGCATCGAAGAGCGTGGCCTCCGGCAGTTCCTGCAGCGAGGCCAGTGCCTCGCTCAGCAGTTCGCTGCACATCTCCGTGTCCTCGCCGGAGCGCCAGGCGCGTCGCAGGAAGGCGAAGCTGAAGTTCAGCGCAGCCCGAGTGGCCACACGGGCCAAACCCAGAGCACCATGCTCCGGCGTCTCCGTCGGCTGCGGCTCCATGTTCGCAGCCTTGCTGGTCGTGATGATGGTGGTGGTGGTGGTGGTGTTGTTACTGGTGGCATTACTGGTGGCCACGATGGTGCTACTCGTGGTGGCGGCGGCAGTGTTACTGGCCACATCCGGTTTGCTTGCCGCCGGTTGGCGCTCCCGCTCTCGCTCCCTTTTCAGGGCCACAAAGTAACGCTCGTAGACGAACAGCTGCTGCCGGAGATGCTGGGCGGACAGGCAATTGCCGGCGGCGCGCAGGGCCAGCTCCTGCAGCTCGGAGATCATGGAGCGCTGGCACTCCTGGCGCGCCTGCTGCGATGGCGGCTGGCTCCAGAGCCAGCCGCTCAGCACCAGATCGGTGGCCTGGCTGAGATGGGCCGCCTGCTGGGCGGCGGCCTGCGTGGTGAGCTTCTTGATGGCCGTGTCCGAGTCCAGCGGCCGGCAGCCGTCGCAGTTGCAGGCGGAGAGTGGGCCGCAGAACTCGGGCTGGCAGCAGGAGCACTTGAGCTGCTGGGCGCCGCAATAGTGCTTGCCATCGTCGCCCAGGTAGGACAGCTGGCCGCGGGCATTGAGGAGCGGCGCCGATGGCGAGGACACCAGCTCGCAGTCCTGGATCAGGTGGTTCCAGAGCACTGCCCCATCGGCGGCGTTGCGCAGGGAGGCGATGAGATCGGCGCGCAGCCATTTGGCGTCCAGGAAGGGCAGCGGACGCAGGTAGAGATCGGGCGATTGGCTGGCCGGTGCTCCAGATCCTCCACATGATCCGGATGCAATGGCTCCTGATGGCGGGGCAGATGTAGCACCAGAAGTAGCAGCAGCAGCAGCAGAAGCTGCAGCTCCAGCTGTGGGTGGGGCGGGAGCTGACTGGCCACTGGCGCCACCTCCGTTCGCCGGTTGGCGGTTGAACATGGTCTGTATTCTCGGTTTGGGCTTGTCCTTGTGGCCTAGTTACCGCCTAGTGCTCCACGGCCCAACTCAGCCTGGAAACGGACAACAACAACAACAATGGCATGGCACATTTTCCCCAGCGAAACGGGGAAAGGGGGGCGTGGCGATGGCGGGCGGCGGCGGGGGCGGGTCAATGTCGTCACTGGCACACGAACTGCACACACACACACACACACACACACACTCGCGCACGCACAAAACTGCACTCTGGGCGTCCAGGATCAGGATAATCCGTTGTTATCCTGCTCCGCACTGCTCATTTTGTTAATCCGCACGGAGTTTATGTCACCCAGTTTTGTTCGCTTGCACACGCACTCGCAGTCTCCGATGTTTGTACTTGCTGTTTTCGAATGCGTTTAATTTAATCAATTTAATAGTTGTCTTTAGCGATGGCCGATAGTTTCCAGCCCGTGACTCGTTCGCCAGTGTTCTAAAGTCACTGCATGGCAAAGTCACTGCTTGACGAACGCAGTGCGTACAGTGACCACTAACTAACGGGATCTGAAAAGTGATGGGTATCATTTTTTATTTGCCCATTACATTTGAAAACATTTTAATACGTTTGTGGTTTGGCGAATAGTAAATTTTGATTATGATTAAAGTACATTTTGGTTATGATAAACATTTTAGCAAGTATCGATAATTATTGTTACACAAAATATCACTTTAATAGGAGAGAAAAGGAAACCGCAACAGGAATACCGATGACCTAATGATATGGACTCCATTTTAGGTTATTAAAGAAAAAGTCAAAGTTAATTTCTGATTTGTAATAAGCTTAAAAAAAAATGTAAAGTCTAGCAGCTATTATTTTTAAGTGTAGATGTTTTCAAGCAATCCAGGTAAATTGGGCAAAAAAGTTCTTTAATAAATGGACACGTAATAAGTTTAAGACATTGTAATGAGGAATTCTTCCTCTTAAATAATATGGTGCATATTATTTCTCCTTTCATCACAATCCGCAGTCACATAGCGAAATAGCAGATAACCGTTAACTAGTCACCTGGAAGAACGGTACTCTTCGCGAAAAGCAGAGAAGTGTGACCAGTCGGCAATACGATTGCTATTTATTTCGGTATTCTGCGCGGGAAAGGTAGTGGGCACACTGGCAGACCTAATAAACTAAACAAATTTTTTTTACTGATTTGTGAAAATCACCTCACCACCGCTGGCAATCGGGAGCAGCCAGGTCAGCCACGATGACGTCCCGCAACCTGACCGAGGTGTTCGTCATCATGCGCAACAATGCGTCCAAGAACCGTAGTCACTACGACGATCGGGTGAGTACTGCAAAGCAAAGGTCAAAGGATACCGATTTAAGCATATGTTTTGCATTTGAAGAGGGGCAGCGATGCGGAACGCCTGTTGAAGCACTCGGTGCGGGAGGCGGAGGAGGGGCTGGAGCTGCAGGACGATTATGGGACACCGCCCGCCTGGCTGGACAAGTTCGAGGAGGCGCAGTACACCATGTCTAAGTGGGTAACACAATCGCCTCATTCTTCATGTTTGCTAAGGGTTTTTCTCATGCGCAGAATCAAGCCGAAGCTGGACGAGCTGGGCTCTCTGCACGCCCGCCATCTGCTGAGGCCGGCCTTCGATGACCAGCGGGACGACGAGTGCGACATCGAGGTGCTCAGCCAGATCGTGTCCAAGCTGATTACCTCCACGCACCGGCACATCCAGTGTGTGCGCTCCAGCATCGGCGTGGGCAGCAAGGTGGAGCAATGCCTGACGGCCAACGCGGTGCACTGCGCCCTGCTGCAGCTGCAGGAGCTGACGGTCAAGTTCCGGGCCAGTCAGAACGCCTACCTGTTGCAGCTGAACTCCCGCGAGGAGCGCTCGCAGAAGTACTTCGACGACGGCGGTAGCGGTGTCGCCAATGTGGATGTCTTCACCAATGTGGAGCTGGGCGAGAGCCAGAGCGCCGAGAACTTTGTCGACTCCTTCGACAACTTCCTGCAGCCCGCAACAGCAGCAGCAGCGGGGGGTAAAAACAACAGCAGCAGCAGCGGCTACCTGTTCGACGACGACGACGAGCAGACCATTGACGACCACTTTCAGCGACCGCCGGCCAGCCGGATGACCCAGCAGCAGCTGCTGCTCTTCGAGGAGGAGAACTCGCGGGTGGCGCAGCATCGCGAGCAAGAGGTGACCAAGATAGTGAAGTCCATCTACGATCTGAACGACATATTCAAGGACCTCGGTCACATGGTGCAGGAGCAGGGCACCGTGCTCGATCGCATCGACTACAACGTGGAGCAGACGCAGACGCGCGTCTCCGAGGGACTGCGCCAGTTGCACAAGGCGGAGATGTATCAGCGCAAGAACCGCAAGATGTGCGTCATTCTGGTCCTGGCGGCGGCCACCTTCTTCATGCTGCTGCTGCTCATCCTGGCCAAGACCTAGTTGGCCACTACTAGTCCACGTTCACTTCTCATTCCCGTGTTGTATGTGTGTGTATATTGTAAATGTATAAATACATGTTATATTTATTATTTATTGCTAATGCTAAAAAAAAAACGCAACTACTCCTGTCCTGAATCACATGCGCTCCGAGAGGCGCGAGGCGACGGCCCGCAGGTTGCCGTACACCTTGCTGGGCGGCGAGCCCAGGATCAGGTTGCAGACGGCTCGACGCGCCAGCTGAATGTTCTGATAGCTGCCCAGGATGTGGATCTTGCTGTCGGCCAGCACGATGCGGGTCTTGGTCACGTTCTCGATGGTGAACTTGGTGCGTCCGCCCTTGCCGGCCAGGCGTCCGATGGCGCGCGACTGGTGGTCTCCGCGCAGCGTCTTCACGTCCTTGATCTCGAAGGACTCGACGAAGAGGTCCTCCAGCCGCAGCAGGGCCAGGGCGTCGTCCACCTCGAAGCCGCAGAGGAAGGCGCGCACAAAGTCCGCGCCGCGCTGCAAGTTGGCTATGTCCGGCGTCTCGGGGCCCACGCGCAGCTCCACCTGGCGCGCCTTCATGTTGAACCGGATCTGCAGCTTCATGTGCTCCACCACGGGCGTGAAGATCTTCATCCAGTGCTCCTTCAGCGAGGAGTACCTGTGCGGCGGCACGGACACCTTGCGCAGCTCGCTCCTGGCCCTCTTCGCCTTGGGCGGAGCCGATGCTCGCGACGATCCCAGCACCTGGCCCTCGATGCCGGTCGCCTCGTCCACCTGCATCTCCATGTCCTGTTGCCCGCCCCCGGTGGCCCCGCGTTTGGGCGCCCTCTTCGCCGGCTCGAACGCCTCCGCCTTGATGTTCTCCAGCTCTGCCTCCATGATGTGATCTGTCGTTGTTGCTGTTGCGGCTATTGCGTTGTTTTCCAAAATATTATATTCGCCTGCTTCAGCTGCTTCGTCTTCCACGTGCTCAGTGTGACCGCGTTCGAATTTCGATTTCGAAAATACCAAATAACGGAGATCCAAAAATATACCAACAACGTTCTGCACAAACATACACCCAAAAAAAATTTCAAATAATTCGGGCATTCCGTAAACTCTGAATTGCTGTTCCTCACAAATTCAATTAATATGACATTACGAATGAAATGAAAATTGTCAAAAATTGGTCAATTTTCAATTGAAAAAATAATTTGTGTATTCCCGAAACGTCTAAATCTCTGAATTGCTGCAAATTAGTCAGCTGTTCCAAATTTCTGAAATTTCATCATTTCAGCAACCCAGAGACTGCTGAAAATAAAATAAGGAAGTCCGCTGATAGAAAAATATAATCTAGTTTTATTTGTCAAGTTGAAAATAAAACTTGCAGAATAATCATTATGTGAACAAACTTAACATAAAATCGTTGTTTTTCGAGATTTTTATCAAACTCATAATAAATATTAGCCCTAAAGTTTTTAAAATAAAATGTTGCAATATTGTTTCATAAATGTTTATCTGTTTTAGTTGGATTGTTTGTATAAGGTTTCTGAGTTCATTTTTTGTTTGCAAAATATTAATTAAGGATTATTTTCGGTCCTTGCTTTTTTATTTGATATATATAGTATATATTATCGTCCTTTGATATCAAAATATATAATAAGTGCTGTGATACGAGTATGACAAAGAGCTAACAGCATGGGGGGTGTTAAATTGCTGAAAATTGAAAAGGTTTAAGACAGTCTAATTTTGCAGATAAATTTTAAAGATATTTGGTCAATAATAATGTTATCTTGATTTCTAGTGGAAGCATACATGTAAGTGTCCTTATACTTAAATGTAAGTGTCCTTATACTTATACTTATATGAAGGGGAGAAAGTTTATGGAAGTTTGAGTGACATGACAAACGCGCGGCAGTGAGCACAGTACATTTGTCGTCGTGAGTTCCATATCAGGCAGCCCTTGGTCAAGATATGCCAATCGTTATCGAAAAAATCACAATCGAGTTTGCGGGAAAATTGAACTTTCGAAAAGTTTTGAGATTAATTGTGGTCAGCGTTCATCTAATAGCCTTTAAAAGTTTCTTCGCCAACAATGGGAATTATTTTTGCATCAGTCGAAGCGATAAGCAAACCATTGCAATGCCTCCTGTTTCCCCGGCACTTCAAAGTAAAGTTAAGTAAGGCAAAGTGGAGTTAAGTAAAGTTAAGTACGAGTAATGCGGCCACCAAAGGCAGGCGATAATCTCAAGTTTGCAATTGCACTGGCAATTTGTTTGTTATCTCCTCCGCTGCCTCATTCTTCTGCTCACACCGCCTTTGCCCCTATTTAGAGCTCTTGGGGAAAACTTTTCCCGGAGCATAAGCTATTTGAATAAGGACACTGATGAAAACTTTAAATGACATTCAGAGTGAATTGAAAAATTAAAATATTAAAAAAATATTTATTTAATTTAAAAAAATACAATTTTTCCATTTTCTAATAAGAATGTACAAAAAACTCTAACATTTAATTTTTAAAATAAAAAGTACATACAATACATTTTGAGAAAAGGGCTTGGTGATAGTTTATTTAACGAAATAAAATTGCAAGCTAGTAATAGTAAAAAAATTATTGAATTATGCAAATATGAAACAAAACTCCTTTTTTAAAGAAGAGAAATAAAATCTTTTTATTTTGCTATGTATTTCAAAGTTTAATAAATAAACCTCACTTCATTTTTAAATTTTAATGCAACGAACTTGCCGTAAAACAATTTTGCTTTGATTTCACAAATTGGTTGTTATTTATTTAAATTAAAATTTGAGTAGTATACCATACATCTACCACAAAAACAATCGGAGATTAAAAGGAAAGTTTCCAATGCTAGGTTGCTTTTAAAGGATCAATAAATTTTCAAGAAATCGATTTTATTTGTTTTAGCATTTCAAAAGGTCTTAAAGTTCTATATTGAGAATATTCCATTAAATTTGTATTAAGATTTTATATGCTGTTTGTTATACCTTTAACCTTACCCCGTACCTTGCATTTTTTTTTTATATTCATAATTTCTCATTTTTTATGTATGTACAAAGACCGATGAAAAAATAGGCATATATTCTTTTTTTTTCAAATTGAAAAACGAGAAATTAAAAAAAAAATTAATTGCTTTGACTGGTCTGGATGTAAAACTAGTTTATTACATGCACGACATTCCATTTTAAGGCGACTTTGAAAATGTTCCAAATTGGACCATTATGTTAGAAGTGAGGAGCAAAATTGAAAATTGTTTACAGGGGGGCAAATTAATTATTTTGAAATAGGTTGCTTTTGTCTGTTCCTGGTTTTGAATGTTTTAGATAAACCGAGTTTTTCCCCAGTGCAGAAAAATCGTGGGAGGCTGAGGAGCGATATGAGTGCAAATTGCGTTGGCTTTCATTTGGTATGCACTCATTTGGGTTATCTGCTCGCCCACTTAATAAACTTAATGACTCTCGAAGCCTTTGGCTGCACATGATTTTGCCAGGAAATCGCCTAAAAGTGCTCGGCTCTCGAGTTGCCAGGTCATCTGATGAGGCAGTGGTCCAGCCTCCCTTGGTCCTGCCACTCCCACATCCGCCTGCGCCTCAGCCCCGCCCCCTTTGAGGTCCTTTGACTGCGGCGTTGTCCTTGGAAGCCGTCGCTCTAAAGCCGACGACGAAAATGAAAACGCGAAATACACGCGTAGGGGCTTCAAAGGTTGTGGATCAACTGCATCAAAGTTATAATTAGTTGAGGTTACGTTCGGCACAGGACCTCAAAGTCGGACATGTATTCCTGCGTCGGGCACACAGCAAATAAATTATAATTATGTTATGATTTTGTAATTTTTATAACCGTGAACTGTCAAGTTTTGCAAGAATTATAAGTAAGAGTTTATGTAATAAATACACACACATTTAAACATATTTTAACGTTTTCAAAAACAAATGGGTACACTGGTAAAAAACGAAGTAAATTTAAAAAAAAGCCCTAAAAGAAAAAAAAATGTTTCTCACAAATACTAAATCGTATTATATTAAGTAGTTTTCAAATCTATCATAACATATTTAGTATTTTTAATGAAACTGGTAAAGTATAAATATTAGAAATCATGATTTATTTTTATTCTTGAAGAAAAATTGTGATAATAAGTTATTGTATCTCTATTAAAAGTAATGCATTTTTATTTGTTCTTCGTTGAGAGGAGAATCCGGGATGTTTAAAACCAAATTCATAAGCGTTTAATTTTTTTTTATTATTTAAAAAATCAATTTTGGCAATTTATTTAAGAGACTTAATCTAAGGGATAGATAGTGGATAATGGATAATGGATCCACTAAAAGTATATTTCGATATTAACGGATATTTCCCTGCCTAGAACTGCAATTTTATTCCATTTCAAATAATTTTAGAGCATTTAATGATTATCGATTTAATTAATTTAATTTGTTAATCAACCAGCCTTTATTGGTCAGACATGAGTTTGTCGTGGTTTCTGTTTCTGTGCATCACTCGCATGCATCGCATCCTGTGCCCACAAGGATAATCAGATTAACCGTGGCCCATTTGGGCTTCTTTCCTCCGCCCTCACTTGGCTTCCCGGGCCGAGTATTATTTGAGGGTCCGGTTAAGGGCATGCAGTACCAGTTTCACTTTGCGGAGTAGTTTTGCCTGGCGACATGTGTTTGTACTGGTGTCGCCCTGCAGATTCCCCAATCCTTGGCAAAATTATTGCGGCCTGGGTGAATGTAAAACATTTTATTGTCTTGTTGTTCGCCGAAATCGCGGTGGAACTTCAGGGAATGGGCAGCACCCAGATTTGTCATCTTGAAGGAACACAGTGGCCATTGAACGTACATTATACACTAAAATATAAGAGGTAGAACAAAAACTTGATTTCTTTAAGTGGTATTTGGTGCGGTGTAGATACTAATCGTACTATATCTTAATGGATTTGACATTATTTTCGTGTAAAACGACAAATGGTCGTTCAACCCAAATTAATTCTAAAAATAAAAATAAGCACTGTATTCAAAAGCCTTCAAGAAATTTGGAAAGCCTAGCTTGCTGAGATCTTGCTTACAGCTGACTGACTATTGCCAATGCCCCATTTTGATTGATATCACACCACTGTGTATTGAATAAGCAAGGTAGCTGGCGCATTGGTTGTATGCACTAACCACTTGCTTGTAGTTTGTTGTGGCTAATCAACATGGGTTCGGTGAAATCCAAGTTCTGCAAGTTGTAAGAAACCGCAGCACTGCCACCGACAACGATTGCCCACGACATTGGCAAAATGAATTAATTACAAGAGTGGAAGCGAACTTCGGCTAGCCGATGTTAATGTACCCATGCAGGTATTGCAAAAATTCAATTGTCTTGAAAACAACTATGTCTCCATATTTATGCCTATAGGGCCGTAAAGCTATGATGATTTATTCATTTTTATGGCAGCTATATTATATCATTAATAAAATTAAAACCGTAATTCTGAAATAATAAACCATTACTTTATATCGAAGTATATTTAAATCAATGGAAAAACAGAGAAGGTTTTTTTTTTCAACTGTTTCTATTGGAGCTATATGTCCGTCCGATATTAATAAAACTAAAAAGAATAGAAATTATTTTTAATTAATTTTTTTTATGCTGAATATCAAACAATTACTTTATCTTGAAGAGTATTACAAAGAATTGAAAAACCGCGAAGTTATAATTTTGTTTTATTTATTTATTTTTTCGATCAAATTATAATACCCTCTGCAAAGGTATTACATCCAACTTGAGCTGCGAACATATATAAAATGATGAATGCTTTTAGATATAGCAATCGGTATAAATTGATACTGATCAAGAACATACATATAATATATACTTCATGGGGTGGCAAAAGTCTTCTTCACTGCGTTACAAACTTTCGACCAAAATTTAAACAAATACACACATACTTAGGTAAATTACAAATGTATTATATATTTATTTATTTAATTATGATTATCACTTAAGACTTTACTTCAATATAACTCACCGGGGACCGCATAGATTTAAGTTTTCACCCACTTACCACAAAAAGTAACACAAATCCGTGGGGGAAAAGTTCCTGGCTTCGATTGAAGGCGGAAAACGTGACGTGTGGTCTTCGTTCGTCCGCCGCGTCCACCTCATTTGGTGCTCGACTAATCGCAAATAACACACATCGATTACCAGGCACTGCTCGGTGGAGGTCGGCGGGCGGCGGGCGGCAGAAAAGGGGGCGGGTGAGGGCCAGACCGGGCCGGAAGAACTAAAAATGGAAGCAGAAACGGCAACAGAAACAGCAGCTGAAACAGAAACAATTAGCACGGAGCAGGACGTAATTGGCGTGCAGTTACGGAGGCTGATTAAAGAAGCAATCATAAAATTAAGACCCATAATCCTGTGCAATTTGGACAAACACACACGCCAACGGAATGGAATGGAATGGCATTGAATGGAGAGGAGTGGAGAGGAGAGGAGAGGAGAGGAAAAATTGGGTAAGTTCCGGTAAGTTGGGGAATCCCCAAGAACACGAAGCCCAGTGGAGGCTAATAATAACCGACCGAAGCCAAAGCAAACGGATGGGCAGCAGGACCAGCATCGGAAAAACAACAGCACCAGCACAAAAATCACTTTACACGCTCCAAATGCGAAGCGAATGTGTGCGTGTGTCAGGGGCGGACGAAAAAAGGGGGCTCGGGGGCCTGGGAGCCCCCCACTCCGAAGGGTTCGAGTTCGAGTCGAGTTTGAGTCGAGTCGAGTAGAAACTGCACGATTCCTTCGGTGGAGGCGGCTTATTTGATCCATTACTTAACTGAACCTTTCCTACATTACCTGCATAACCACCAACAAAAATAATATTACTTTCTGCACAATACCTAATTAAATATAGCCTTTTATGACAGCAGACCAATTGTGAAAATATTTAGATGAATATGAAAATTTAACACATAAAGGATAGGCATAAAGGAAAGCGTAAGAATCCTTACAATTAGTACTATAGAATATATTTAAGAAGAATATTACAAAAGTGTCTAAGCACTCTTTATTAACTTGATTTCATTTCGACTTTTGTCTTGTTTTAAGAAAGGAGCACAATTATTTTCTTAAGCTTGATTTTGAAGACAAGAAAATAAATATCTTAACCAATTGTAGCAGAACAATCGAAATTGGGAAAGGAAATGTTTGTCAAATATAAGTAATACATAAATTAATATTTATTTCTGACTTAATAAATAATGAAAATAATGTTTCAAAATCATTTCAGTAGGTAAATTGGGAACCAGCTTGAGAATCAATACAAATAGAATTAGTATTAGAAAATAAAACACTTTCCATTAGCTTGATTTAGTTATCATGTTTAAGGAAGGAGTACAAATTTGTTCTTAATGTTATGCTTTTTAAGATATTCTTAACAATTTGTAACAGCACAAACAAATTTGGGAAAGGGAAAAGAAACGCATTGTGAAAATGTTTGAAAACGGATATCAATGTGTAATGATCCACATACAACACAATTACCACTGAGAAATTTCGATTTTAAATGCATTATTGCAATTTGTTTGCTTCAATCCCTGTTTTAATTTAATATATTTAACGGAAAGCCTTTCAGTTAATCAACGCTTGTAATAACATGATTTAAAATATTTTGAAAAATGTGCAACTAGTGTTGCTGCTGAGAAGAAGGTTCCGAAACAGCCCATTGATGGACCCCAAAGAACTTATGCTGTCGTTGCCCCTGGCGTGTCCGTGCAAGTGTTCCGGAGTCTGGAGCCCGGAGTCGGGAGTCCGGAGTCGGGATTGCGGAGTCTGCACTGAAGTCCAGTTGAGCTGCTGCTACGTGCGGCGATTCGTGTGCTACTTCATTGCCGTGCCACAACAGCCAGGACCAAATCCGGCAGCAATATGAAACCTTCATTAGCGAGCTGTTTTTCGGGAGCAGGACACTGGACGCTGGACGCCCTCGCCGCCGAAACGGATTGAAAACGCTTCCGGCCATACAAATTGTACGTGAAACGTGAGAAATTCATTTTTGAGGTGGCCACGCAACAGTCCAGCAACAGGACGTCTAAATGGGATCCCGAAATGACTTTCTCCTTGGTCATCTGCATACGGGAGTATAATCAATACGTTTCAATTTCTGTACGACATATTAATTTAAATTTTATTTGAAATGTTAACTCCCTCAATGGGCTTGCCATATAAAAGATTTTAGTGTTTAAATAGGTTAAACTTTTTGTTATATAGTCATTCGGTTTTTATAAAAATAAATGTTTGAAATCATAAAAAGTATCTATATTTTCTGTTATTTTGCTGTTGATATGAGATATGGTTCGGTTTTTATAAAATTAAAACCAGACCATACAAAAAGTTATAGTTTTTACCCTTGCAGAGGGTATTATAATTTCAGTCAGAAGTTTGCAACGCAGTGAAGGAGACATTTCCGACCCTATAAAGCATATATATTCTTGATCAGCATCACTAGAAGATCCGATCTTGCCATGTCCGTCTGTCCGGCCGTTTCTACACAAACTAGTCTCCCAGTTTAAAGCTATCTGTATGAAACTTTCCCAAAAGTTGTCTTTCTATTGCAGACAGTACATAAGTCGGAACGAGCCGAATCGGACGACCATAAAGCTTCCATAGGAACAATAAAAATATTAAAAAAATGTTTTTCTTTTAAAAATATAACTTTTCTATTTTAATTTTTTTTTTTAATTCTTTTTGACTTATTAATAACTTGACAGTTCTGAACTACGCTTTTAATAATATTAAAATCGGAAAACAATATCGTATAGCTGCCATAGAAACTATCTAATAATTGAGCTGCAAATCATCATAGCTTCAATATTTTTAAAGATATACGCAAGTAAATGATAATTTTAATGTTTTCAAGAATATTTAATGTTTTCAATAGCTGTAAGGGTATATGAACTTCGACTTGCCGAAGTTTGCTTCCTTTCTTCTTAAACATGATGTGCGTATACATGAAAAAACACGATTGCGAAAGTTTCAAAACTCTAGCTCTTAAACTGGACTCGCAAACGGTATAGAAACAGACTAATATACGGATATACTATATCAACTCGTCTTATCGTGCAGATCAAGAATATTAATACTTTATAGGGTCGGAGATGTCCGTTGAACTTGTTGCTCGAGTCCCTCGATAAGAAAGTCGTGATTTGCTTTCTTATGCCAATTTTCGACGAAAAATCTTAAACGAAAATCTCCGAAAATAAAACAATAAACTAGAATATTTGGATTTTGCTAACCGAAGAAGTATATTTTAAAGAAATTTATTATCAAAATGTGTAATCATTTTAGGTCGTCATTTTGAACGATTTGGGACCCTTATTTTGATCTCGTATGTTAATCCTGTTCTAGATGTTTATTCTGATTTCGGATCTTAATCCTGATATTGAATCTTTATTTATACAAAGAATTGCGTGAACCTTTTTGTTGCTCAAAATGGGTTGTAGGGTATTGGTTAGCGGTTCAGTTTTTTTTTATAAGTTTATCTTTTACTTAACAAAGGCTTACTTAGGCTTCTTCACATGACCCATCAACAACACTGAGTTGGGGGTGCGGATGGCAAAGACGAATGGCCGATTAGCGACGAACTCCTTGGAATTGGCAGGAAGTGACTTGGCATGATCTGGACCTATAGAATTAATAGCTTTGTAGTAGTTCTAAGGCCCAAAAAGTAACTGAAATCTTACCCGAAGAGTGCGAATATAATGTTCCCAACTCCGCCACCAAAATGTCTGAACTTTGGAGGATCTTGTCCAAGCGCACCGGCTGATCGAGCAATTTGGTCACCTTCGAGCTGCCCGTGAACATCTGATTGAGGCCCAGCTTCTTCAGAGGATCGCCCATGTCACAAACGAATTCGAGCCTGAACCAGGGCAGGCCCACCGTGACCGACTGGCGGTGCAGGCGGTTGGCGATCCGGTTGAGATCGAACTCCGGCTGGGCCAACTGCTCCTCGAGGTTAGCCAGTCCGTCGAGCTGATTGGGCAGCAGGATCAGCATGCTGGTGGCACTGTCCTCGAAGGGCAGTTCCAAGGCGGTGGCGTCCAGTTCGGGCAGATCGGCCAGGCCATAGACTTCGTGGTTGTACATCATGTCTACATTGAAAGTTTCACCGTTGGCGAGGTGGAATTTGGATATCCGCGAGTTGCCTCTTTCGAACTTGTGCTTCCAGAAACCGTGAAATTCTACGTGGTGAGTGAGTATCGCCTGCATCGGGGAGCTAATGTCGAATCTCTGTGTCCAGAAGTGTAACCATCTTACCCTGTTCTCGCCGACATCCATGTCCACGGACTTCGTGCAATATTCGAAATAGAATTTGGAGAACTCGTCGTAGCGGGAATTGACTTTACCCAGCTTTTGGTTGTAGAATACTTTGGAGACACAAGTTAGATTGGCACTCTGGAGATGCTCCTTGAACTTGATCAGTCGCTCGAAGTCCAGGGCCACGAAAACAGGGTGCTGGTTGAACTCGCCGACCCGCTGCACTTCGCTGAGTGTTTCACCCTCCGATGCGCTGTAGATCAGTGCCAGCATGGCGTGCACGGCGAAGGGTGAAAAGACAACGTTGCCGTCTTGATCCTCCAACTTCATCATTCCCTGGAAGAGCTTGGCGCTGAAGCGGGTCATGTAGGTGGGCGCCAGACATTCTCCGGGCTCTGGCTTCGCAAGGCTTTGGGCAACCTCAAGATGTCCCAGTGCCAAAAGAAGGATCGCTGCAAAAAACCATGTTAGTAACAACTATTTATAGATGCGGTGGTTTCCCATCTACCCACCGACTTTGCTCGCCATTTCTTCTTATCTCTGGCTATTTGCTCAAGAGTGAATTAAACTTGAACTAATAATATTTTATTCTTCCGCTGGCCGACCAGCTCGCTATCAGTTGCGCTTCGAAACTGAACGTCGCAAAACTTATCATCAGAAGCGGAACAGAGCCACGCCTCACAGCTACATGGCTACACGGAATGAAAAAAAAAACAACTATTTAATTATTAAGGCTACATTTAAATAAAAAAAAATAACTATAAATTACGAAATGGTAGTCAAAATGGTTGTTAATAACATAAACTACAAAAAAAAACAATCGCCATGTAAAATACTGAAATGTAGACATTTTCCTTTGTAGAGGGTATGATAATTTCAGTCAGAAGTTTGCAACGTCTCCTTCAGTGCGTTGCAAACTTCTTACTGAAATTATAATACCCTCTGGAAGGGTATAACAAAAAATTATAAGTCTGTATTTATTTGCAATAGCTTACAATTGACTTTAGCGACTTGTTGAGGTTATTTCTCAGCAGACCGTCATTCTTTTGTGAGCTCTCTAATGCTGAGGTATTTTTGACTGTCCCCCAAAAGTTTTCCAACCCACACTGCACCGCTGGTGGGATTTTCGAAAGGGCTAAGCGGTGGCCGCGTATTTCGGCGGCATGCAAAGAAATGTCAAAATTCAATTTAATGCTGCCGTAACGAAAATCTGTCAGCTTGCAGCACAAATAATGTCAAAGCCAAGCGCACACACACACACACACACATACGCACACAGTACACACAGTATATACGGTGAAACAGCAGGACTTGGAAGGAGTTGAAGGCAGCCACAAAGTGCCATTCGTCCTGTGACAAGACGCACACAAAAGCCAAAGCAGGATGCTTGCGTCTGTCAGCGGCAATTGTGGCTGATTTGCGCTTTTTCTCCGCCGCAAAAGCGAGGGGTGGGCTGGAATGGGGGGTGGGGTGAAAGTGGGTGGGGAAAGGGGATAGGGATAAATGCAGAGCCCAACCGCAGGGCTCGTGAAAACATCGCACAACATTCCAAAGCATTTGATAAACGGCGACGCCTCGCAGTATAGAGTATGTGCTCCTCTTCCTTTCACTCCCTTCAAAATGTCATTTCTCCTTTAGCTCCTGCACGGAAAAAGAATTTGATCTAGCTTTTGATTGCTTGCTCAACGTATAATCGAATAAACCAAGCATCTTGGTTAACAACTGTGAGAGCAAAACCTACCCAACAAGGGTTATTTCAAATGTAATACTTTATTTTTCGGACATTTTCAGCCCAGTTTTATTTACAACCAAATAAATGTGAACATATAATTTTAAGTGGAGCTATGGAACGTCAAGAAATTCGAGCTCTTTGAACTTTCAGTTGATTTCACAGTTTTTATTAATTTTATTCATTTAATATTTATATTTGAAAAGGCTAAAAAAATACTAATACTTTCGAAACCAGATTTGTTTAAAGTGTCAGGAAAGGGTCCGCAGATTGCAGTTCGAATTTTACTGAGCTGCATTGTGATTCCTCGAAAGGTAAGATAAATGTGAATGGGTGTTCTCAGGTGTTGCGTTTAATATGTTGGTACCGCTCCTCTTAAGCCATTCAGGCTTAATATTTATTAATATTAAATGAATGACAATTTGATTTAAATTCCAGGCTTCGTAAAAAAATTAATTTACAGTGTCTATTCAAATTATTGCCAGGTGCATCACAAATAAACGAAACGATTTTGACACACACAGCTCACTTGTGCTATTAGCACACGAGTAAAAAACATTTCCTGTGTGTGTGTGTGTGTGTGTCAAAAAAAAAATATTTGAGCTACTGATTAGACTTTAATAGCATTAAATAACTTATTATAAATTATTAAATAATGTTAATTTATAGTCTTGTGGCTTTTGTCAATTACAAAAAACACAAATGGAGTGTTAAATGTTGATTTCTCCTACTGAAGAATTCATGGTCGTATTTTTTTTTATGAATTCATTAAGGGCAGTGAAAAATGTGGTTTCTTTGGTTCTGAAGAATTCGCTATCTCGATTTGTTGAAGAACGCTAATTTTCACAATATTAAATTGATTTTTTAATCGCGGACACTGTTAATGCCTTTTGATCGCCAACATATTCTTTTGTCAATGTATAAAATAATAATAATCTGTCTGACATGCAACTGTTTATTTTCCCCCACTTGAGCAGCCTTACTTTAAGGACGATTTTAAATCAAAGTGGATGTGCGCGAGTTAAAGGAGCTTTTTATTTGCTTCCGGGAGAGTGTGTGGCAGTCGCTTTTAATTGAGCTGCAAAGAAGGGAGGCGGGTCCAGGCTGTTTTTGTGAATTTCAGGCATTCAGGCATTCAGGCTTTCAGTCTTTTAGGCGTCGCGCCAACAGCACGAATCCGAGTGTTTTGACTTTGTCGAATTAGCCATTGTGATAACATTTATGTGTGTGCCCGCTCAGGGGTTGTGTTTTTGTGCTGTGATGTGTTGTGTTGTGTGGTATTGTGTTGTTCTGCCGGTGCTTCATCGCACTTAATTGGGCAAGCGATTGCCTGACTTGCTTACAAATGTGTGCTTGAGTTTGCAACGGAAGGCGGCAGTCAGGCCAAAGATCACCCATACGCCCGGTGGGCCAGGGCACCAAAAACGGGCATTTGGAAGCGAATGAAGGCGTCACGCACTTGAGGACTCGCTCACGTATTGAGCATGTGTGTGAATATTGTACGCGATAAATTATTTTAAAGCGCGTTATGCCCTCCACTTTCCACTTTCCATTTTCGCATTTTCGCGTTTTCCAACCCGCGGGGCTGCCCTGCAGACATCTATTTAATATAGCGCGACGCATCAGTTTTAATATTGTTACGATTTTATTTACGCACATGAACGTTTATAAACGTTTATGACATGTCAGGCCCCATTCCCCTTGCGGCCCTTTAATTCCGCAGTGTGGCTTCGGTTTGTGGGGTTTCGGTTTTGTGAGGAAAACGGGGCGACACTACTCAAATAATATTTATTGTTTCTGATTTTTCTTTAGTCATTATTATTACGCATATTTATTATGCATTTATTAATTTGTTTTGCTGTGGTTTTTGTCCACATCCACATCTACATTCACATCTACATTCACATCCACCTCCAGCGGACACACACAGATACTGCCGTCAATGGATGTCAGCGGGCAGGTTAAACATTTTCGTTTGATTTGTTATCATTGTTGTATTTGTATTTGCTATTGTTTTTGCATTTGTTTTTGTTGCTGCTTACGCCGCTGCTGCTGTCGTGGCTCGTTGATGGCGTTTGTAATTTCGTTTTCGGCACTATGTAATTTATTAACTTTTCATTGAAAGTTATGTGCAAACGCACGTTGACGACATCTTTAATTAATTACATTTTAACATGATAATTAATAGTGCCGCGTGCGTCGACAGGCCGACAAAGCCGACACAGCCGAGTGCCAAACGCCGAACACCCAAAAAGCTAAATCAATCGATGGGTAGCCCCCATCCCCATCCCCATTCCCATCCCACCTGAGCATCCATTTCGCGTCCTTAAAGCCGCCCGATCTTGAGTTAGGTTATGGCTACGTGCTCGCGGTACAAAGCTGGACCGGCTTTAAAGCCCATCCACCGGGCATGTGGCATCGATAGTCATAATAATAACATCATGCACAAACACAGAGCCCAAAGTCCAAAGACCAAAGTCGTGGGCACTGATGATGACCATAATGATACACAAACAATTGCCCAGGAATTTCAATTCAATTCAATTCAATTCAATTCCTTTTTGCACCCATCACTCGAGTCACTTTAGTGGCATGTCCCATTTGCGGTTGTAACAAACGGCTTGATTTCTTTTGTTTCTTAAAATTAAAAATAATTTAAAATTATTGAGTCATCATTTTGTTAAATACAAGCACTTAAATGTTCTGTTTTTGCATTTTAGCTACTATTTTGAGTTAATATTACTTGATCCTGTATGCCTGGAGTTAAGCACATAGTTATTTAATTCACCGATTGATCGGACAAATTATGCAAATCAATATTAAGTACATTGATTTTGTTTGAATTTAAATATTTTTCGCTTTGGCTTTCATCCAATGCGGTTTTGAATTATTCAAAGTATGGAAATTTTTTTTTTTTATTTGACTAATTTTGCAATTGATTGAACTGATCTGAAATTAAGCCATATCAAACTTTTATATATATTAGGAACCATTTCAGATCTTAAATATTAAATCATGCAAATTAATATGCCTTGAACTAATTATTATAATTAAATATTAATTATAAAATTTAGATTTCAATAGCCTATATATTTTTACTTTTTACTTTCTACTTTTCCATTTTGTTATCAGAGCAATCAATGTAATCAATCAATTAAATAACATATGTATATTAGCCAATTAGTTCTTGTAATGAATATTGTATGTTAAATCCCTTTCTGCATTATTTTTCAGTCAGTTGTAATTTAGTTGAAAAGTATCTTTCAGTCGGGCAACTGCCTACCATGATCTTTGCGATACTGCTCTTGTGCCTTTTGTTTTTCCGCATCTTGGGTGTGTGTTTGTGTTTTGGTTTTTTTTTTATCATTCCTCATGGTCCCGGAACCCTTCGTCCTGCTCTCCGCCAAGGAAAGTTGTTCGCACAGTAGCCAAGATTGAGTTCTTATTCAATTTGTACGGATTTGTTGTACGCCGGCCCTTTTGCAGTACGCTCGTCCGCTCGTCCGCTCTTAAGGCCTAACCACTCATCTTTGGCCAAGCCCCACTCAACTTCTCATTCTTCGGGCTTCATTGGAATTTATTTCATATTATTTTCGTTGGTCATGGTCCCCGTCCCAACGTCTGCCCGCCCTGCTCCTAATCCTGATCCCTTCTTTCCCGCAATACAAGTTGGCACTGCATGGCATTGTTTTGGGGTGCGACTGCAAAAGTTCTTCGAGTTGTGGCCCCAGCTGCAGTCAATTTAGTTGACCAACCCATACTGCCCTCCTGCCATCCGGCACTTTGGCTGCAGGCCTGCAGATGGATCAAGTTAGCTGCTAGTTGACTCCTGCTGCCAGTCCAACAAATGCCCGGGGCCAATCAATGCGCCGGCAAAAGT